CTCGCTTTCTGTGCTCCGTCTAAGTCTGTTTCTTCACTGAGGTCGATGCCTTCGTCCTTACCAAACGGTTCGGCTTCGGTCGAGCCGACACCACGTTGGCCGGTGGTGGGGACGTTAATGGGAGGCTTCACGCTCACTCACACTCACTCACACTCACACTCACTCACACTCACTCACTCCCTCACTCACTCACTCACTCACTCACTCACTCACTCACTTCACTTCACTTCACTTCACTTCACTTCACTTCACTTCATTTCACTTCACTCCCTCACTCACTCACTCACATACATCATCATCATCATCATCATCACCACCACCATCATCATCATCACCATCATCATCATCATCATCATGTGCCAGCGATGTTTACCAGCCACAGGGCATGCAGAAAGAGATCACAAAATGTGCGGCTGCGCTCGAAAGAGTGCAGAACATTACTTTGGTCAGCGGAAGTATGGTGAGCACACCATCGTTTTGATAGTGTGTCGGAAAAAAAAACATCAGAGCCTGGTGGAACTCGATGAAAGCGAAGCAACTTACTCACAAACAACTTACCCTACGTACATACACAGAGATCCTAAATTACCATACATACCTACCTACTACCTACCTAATACCACATCGTCCCTCCAGCACTCTTATCCATTCCTCTTCCCTTCTCCTTTTCTGTGCTCCGTCTAAGTCTGTTTCTTCACTGAGGTCGATGCCTTCGTCCTTACCAAACGGTTCGGCTTCGGTCGAGCCGACACCACGTTGGCCGGTGGTGGGGACGTTAATGGGAGGCTTCACGCTCACTCACACTCACTCACTCACTCACTCACTCACTCACTCACTCACTCACTCACTCACTCACCTACCTCACCTACCTCACCTACCTCACCTACCTCACCTACCTCACCTACCTCACCTACCTCACCTACCTCACCTACCTCACCTACCTCACCTACCTCACCTACCTCACCTACCTCACCTACCTGACCTACCTCACCTACCTCACCTACCTCACCTACCTCACCTACCTCACCTACCTCACCTACCTCACCTACCTCACCTACCTCACCTACCTCACCTACCTCACCTACCTCACCTACCTCACCTACCTCACCTACCTCACCTACCTCACCTACCTCACCTACCTCCCCTACCTCACCACCTACCTCACCTACCTCACCTACCTCACCTACCGCACTCACTCACTCACCCACTCACTCACTTCACTTCACTTCACTTCACTTCACTTCACTTCACTTCACTTCACTTCACTTCACTTCACTTCACTTCACTTCACTTCACTCACTTCACTCACTCTCACATCCCTCACTCACACACACCACACTCGCATCACTCACTCACACTCTCACTCACTCACTGTACATGAACATACATACATACACACAAACTCACCCACCATCACCGCTCCATCACTCTTATACTTCCTCTTCCCTTCTTGCTCTTCTATGGTCAGTCTAAGTCTAAAGAAGTTGGTAACATGTGGGGTTATCCGGTCCTTTAATTCAGGCTTCGATGGATTTCAGCGAACTTCCTCTTGCAATGTAAGAGTGGGCGTGTTGGATCTTTTACACATTGCAGACTGTCCTGTTTGCAGTCTAAAGCCTCAAGTACCTTGAAGTTCGCCAGCAGTGTCCACGCCTACTGGCTGTTCACTGTTGCGGACCGAGCAGGGGCGCTGCAGCAAAATCCCAGCTGCCGTACCAACTTCCCTATTGGATCCTATTGGCATAGCATTGCGGTGTTCCGGACGCTCCCCTCTCTTTGTACCTTTTCTTTCTGTGCTGGTAAACAATACTATTGTCTTGTCTTTGATTCCATCCGATCACATGAAATGGAATGGTTGTAGTCTTTTCCCAGCTTGGCAACTTTCAAGCGACAGTGACATTCCCAAAGGGTTTGCGAACGGAGTTCTCGTTTCCCCCACCCACGTCCCACACGCAATAGCTGAAGTTCCGCCTTTAGGTCCAAGCAAAGATTGTCGTAAGATTTACTTACAGCCATGCTGTACTTTAGGTCAAAGTTTGTCATGGCTAGTATAGTCTGATAGGTTTGAGGCACAATGAAGACAAGCGGACAGTTTGCGAAGGGCAGCATAAGAGTTCGCCTAGCGCATCGTTAAAAACCCGCTGTTCATTTCAGCTTTGCTACTTAAGGCTGCAATAATTTGCACATGCACGAGAACAGAGATTGTTAGGCACCTCCCTTTAGTCTTTCACTACTGCACTCTTAAGGTTGTGTGTCGTGCAGGCTCCTAGCAAAATGCCAAAGGGTGTTCCACTGTTTTTCTACCCCTCTACCTTCGCAAACATATCATTTTCGGTTCCGAGATGTTCTGAACGCCCACAAACCCCTACTTGGAACAAATTGAACATCCAGTGCGAATGATGTCATTGCATCTTCAAAAACATGTTTGTTCTATATTCCAAACCCTTATCAAACACCCAAATCGTCATGTCAGCCCGCGGGGCTCGGGCGGCTTGGGCAGGCCCGGGCCATGCTAGAGGAGGCAGACGAGGCAACGATGTCTCAGGAGGAGCTGGTGCCTGGGGGTGCATTTGGAGCGGGGTGGAGATGAAAGATGCTGGATGAAGTGCCTCCTTGGGTGATGAATGATGTGGGTGAAGATGCTACAAGTACATGAATTCAAGTGGTTGCAACAATGGCGATGTTTAGATAGGCTTCGGCTTTGTCTTGAAGTAGACCAGCTATGGATCTAGGCCCCGGACTGGTTTGGCACGGCACTGATTGGATAGACCCGGAAACTTCACAGTCTGATGGCCCCGTGTGGTTTCTTTCAGCCTCACGCTAACAGGAGAAGTCGAATTACATTGAAGAGTGGAGTGAAGAGGTACTCCGATACCCTGTTTCTTGATTGGGACATCATCGGTTCTTTGTGGGGAAGATGACCAAGAAACGTGTTGAGATCGTCTTCAACCCGCGGGGAAATAGTCGTAGTTTGACCAACTAAAATGTGGAAGAGAACTCACACTATCCTCTAAACAAATACTGCAGAGTGGGGTGGCAGGGCTTCGCTTCGGATCTTTTTGGTATTTTCTTGGTGCACCTGGACGGCAGTAGCAGACCGTTCTGCAGGTCAGTCCTGGAATCTTCATCGCTAAGACATCGTGTGAAGCCGAGCTCAAAAATCAGGTCCCATCATGTGGCATCTCACAAGAAGCTTTGAGCGTGAGATGGATGGGGATAGAAAACTTCCCGGGTCGCACAGGTTTGTGCTTAAACCCTGAATCCCAGTCGATCCACCAGAAACTGGGGCAGTTTTCCGATGTCAATGCACCCAAAAGACGACCCGTTGCGCTGTCTTGAATCGCCCAGGGTGCGGCTCCGATCGGAAGCCGATGTGGTGGGACACCTAGTGGCCACAGGCGAGGTCGATGCGACTTGGAGGTTGGGGTTGATCCTTTTACCATGACAAATTGTGACAACGGGGGGGATTCAAGCACCTGTTTTATGTTTTTTATTGGGGGGGGTTGATGGGTGCATGACCACTATGCACGGAAACCAAAACAGACCAGAAGAAAACGGCAAGCCCAACCAATTCGGATTATCGCGAAAGCTAGCTTCTGCTAGCTGAAGTCCCTCTTGCTTGCAGGGTATTGGGGAGGTGGAATCTCCAATCGCATGAAACTTCACAGTCAACTACCCCCCCCCTCCTCCACCCCCCGGCTGGCTGGTTCACAAGCAGTTTGGCCCTGCCGAGCTAGCTTTCGCCCCTTACCCCTGGGCCTCAAGTTGGTAAATGTTCCATTTGGTATCTTTTAAACACCATGTCGAAAGATTGTTTGTTGGTAGTCATTCCCCTAATGGGCCTGGGTCTGTTGGGATGCCTGGGATTTTGGACGGCTCAAGGTTTCTCAGATCAACGTCCTTGTCCACAATTTGACACAGCCATGGAACATCCATCCATCATCTCCAGATGCTTTTCGCAACATACGTGGGACTTTCAGATGCGTAGAACCGCGGTGGTTCTGCGCTAGATGCCCAAAGGGTACTGGCAGAGTTATCCTAGACTGTCCTAGACTCCTAAAAGTGAATCCCTACTATTTTGATAGCGGCGTTATTATAAGTTATTCTTTTGTTTTGGGGCCTTTGCTGCATGATGATTAGATATTGATAATAGCTACAACCATTGATGAGAAAGATGAGATGTTCCACACATACACCCGCGCATTTATTCACACATGCATATACATAGTATACCCCTTTGACATTTATGATAGCTGTGGAAGCCATGGCCCATGTATGGATGATTTACCTCTAAAAAGATGGTTATTTTTCACAGCTAACATCCACTTCCCGCATGCTCCAAGGCTTCCGAGCTTACAGGCGACATGGTGAAGGCAATGGTGACGTGTTGAGTTTGAATTGCCACTTGCGCAAAGTGCGAAGAAAGTTGTTGAACATCGCTATGTGGCGACCTCCTGTCCCAGAATCGGATCAAGGGAAAGTATTTCAGGAGAACCTTGTTCTTGAACTATCTTTAGCTGCTAAAACCCGCATATAGTTTCCCAATTGTTTCCCATATGAACTATATCTTCAATATTTTTGTTTGGAAAATCCCATTGAAACACCTCAGGTGGGCGAGGTCTTTGAAGTCACCGAGGTTGTGCCGCCCAACGAGGAGGATCCGTCCCTTGACCCATTTGGGGATTTGGGTATCACAAGAAAAGGGACACAAGGGATGAGTCTGAAAAAACAATCTCTGGTAGTTATGTCATGTTATGTTATGTCTTTTTTTCTCTCCAAGATTGTGGCTTCAATGTACTTCAGTCATATTCGAAATTGTTCCAACATGTTCCAACCAACTGGATGGCGCACCAGGTTGGGCTACCTGCGGGTTGGTGACCGGGGCTGGATCTTCGATGTGGGCATTGCTGGGCCATGGGCCTGGGAACTCGGTTTGTTGCAAGATGGGTACCTCCGAGACCATTTTAGGGAAAATAATGATCAAATTTTGGGGGTTGCCCTCTGAGACACACCGGAGTGGTGAAACTCAGGATGTGCTGACTGTGCTGAGTACTTCAGGTTTTGATCCTATTGAAACCCACCCGCTGCCAATTTCAACTGGAACTGTAGGGCTTTTTGTACAGACCTTTTGTCTTGCCGGTCACAAGGGCCCAGCAAAGGATTCTTTCCCATTCTATTGCATTTGTGTCGCCAGTTCTGGCTAGTGGTGGTCTTGTTTGGAGGCTTTCCGAAACTGAAGCGATGACTGGAATCTCGCCGAGAATTTCGTAGTAGACAAATTGATGAGTTCCTCGTGTCGCAGCAAGAGTCTTGCATGTGCCTTCAGATTTCGCGCATGCTTTTCAGCGCTTTCCCCGTGCTGCCAAACCAACCCCATGGAGAGCAATGCAGCAATGGGCACATATCCGCCGTATGATTGACATGAACCATCACAAACCGCCAACAACTTGTTTTTCCTACTCAACGTCGCAAAAAAACACCGCCGGCAACAACCCGTACAACAACACCCTCAGGCCCTCCCATTCAACCATTGCAAAAGACACCGGTACCCGCGCAAAAAACAACGCATCCCTTTTTCATCCTTTTTTGCATATGTATAACAACTTTTAGGTTCCATGTGAAATTTCCAACACCCCCCTGACCTTCGTGCAGCAGGTCGGAGTGCCCATCGTTGCAGAAGTCACGGGGACCATAGCTGCAAAGTGCCCTTCAGCCAGGGTTCAGCAACCTAGGGTGATCCATAATCATAGCGGTTCCTTTTCCTGAGCCTTCCCCAGATGGCAAGTTGGTTGATAACTTGGTCTAGTTTTTTTTTTAGTGGATTTATGATGACACCTCGACAGTTAGATGGTTTTTGTGAATCAATCTACAACTTACATAGGGCCAGGCCCCTTTCCTGTTTGCCGGCAACATCACCTCGACAAATGTGTAAGGTGATGCCATTCCCAAGATGATCTGAAAAACTATCAACAAACCATTTATTTGTCTCAACAATGAGAAACAGGGCATGCAACTGTGTTTGGGTTGGAAGTGCTCTCTGTGCAGGATAGCGCTAATTGCGGTACTGCCAGTGTAGGGGGGGGGCAGGGCGGGCAAATAAATCACAACACATCTCGACTGACAAACGCATGGATTTTGGCACTGATTCTTTCATTGTGTGCTATATGGTTTTGCAACAAAACGTTTGACAAAAAATCGAAAAACTAGGGAGGCCGCTTTATTGCAGTATCGCATTGACACTACCTACCTGTTTTGCCTTTCAACTTTCCATCGAATTCTTGAACTGCCTTCCTTGGCCGCCAGACGAGGTACGCAAAAATCCTTCGCAATCCCAGTAAGTACGCTGAGCAGGGTGCTCAGAGCGAGCACGAGTCCATCCACACAGGAACTCCACAGTTCCTTCGCCCGGGTCACAACCAGGTACCAAGCAGCCCTTGGGGACGATGAAGACTTCGAACAGGATCCCACTGAGGCCACACCACAGCTGCAAAAATGGGGTGCTCCAGAAGATGGAGCGGGTAAAAAGGGACCAAGGTGCATAGCTAAACATAGCGAAACCATGCTAAACCCAATTTTTTTGTCATCCATCATGGCAATTTGAGCCATGTCAAGGAAAATGAAAATACAAAGGAGGCATCACTTTGAATCGGTCGAATGAATGGCAACGTTGTTTCCGCTCGCACACAGACTGCCACTTGGTCACTGGGGTCATGGCTACCAGGTGTCGGAGGAGTTGGGCCCTTAGAGCACTTGGGTCATGCACCTGGGACAACCACCATCGGTTGTACAAAACCTGAAAATTTGGACCCTTGTGTGGGGACGGAAATGCGTTGTTGCGGATATATCCGGCAAGGTTTGCGAAGCTTGCATTGTGGGCGCAGGAGGTGCGCAATTTGATTTTCAAAAAAACAGCAACTTGCAGCCACTTGGCAGCCACTTGCTTAAGCAGCCACTTGGCAGCCACTTGGAAGCCACTTGGCAGCCACTTGGCAGCCACTTGCTCAAGCAGCCACTTGGCAGCCACTTGGCAGCCACTTGGCAGCGACTTGGCAACCACTTGGCAGCCACTTGCTGCAGCCATTTGGGGCACGTGTCTGCGAGTGGCTGCAAGTGGCTGCTTTGGCAAGTGGCTGCCAAGTGGCTGCCAAGTGGCTGCCAAGTGGCTGCCAAGTGGCTGCCAAGTGGCTGCCAATGCTTTGGCAAGTGGCTGCAAGTGGCTGCAAGTGGCTGCTTTGGCAAGTGGCTGCAAGTGGCTGCAAGTGCTTGCCAAGTGGCTGCTTTGGCAAGTGGCTGCAAGTGGCCGGAGGTGGCTGCAAGTGGCTGCAATTGGCTGCAATTGGCTGCAAGTGGCTGCTTTGGCAAGTGGCTGCAAGTGGCTGCAAGTGGCTGCAAGTGCTTGCCAAGTGGCTGCTTTGGCAAGTGGCTGCAAGCGGCTGCAAGCGGCTGCAAGTGGCTGCAAGTGGCTGCAAGTGGCTGCAAGTGGCTGCAAGTGGCTGCAAGTGGCTGCAAGTGGCTGCAAGTGGCTGCAAGTGGCTGCAAGTGGCTGCAAAGTGGCTCGACTAAACTTACGAGTGGCAATTTTCCTTTGTATTTGGTTGAAAGATATTGTCTAGAATGTCCTCCCCGGTGTGATTGACAGTCCCGGCCTATGCGGCACAGACCTTGCAAAAACAACTTTAAACAAGAACAAGAACAAGAAGAAGAAGAAGAAGAAGAAGGAAGAAGAAGAAGAAGAAGAAGAAGAAGAAAAAGAAGAAGAAGAAGAAAAAGAAGAAGAAGAAGAACGAGAACAAGACAAAGAACAAGAACGATTAGAACAAGGAGAACAATGAGAACAAGGAGAGCAAGATGGAAAACAAGATGAAGAACAAGAACAAGAACCACAACAAGAACAAGAACAACAAATAGAACAAAATCAAGAACAAGAAGAAGAACACAACAAAGACGAAACTAAGAACAAGTCCTTAACTTTCGATCATTCCTTGATGCTACGCCGTAAGATCTTGCCCTTGAGTACGCTGTAAGCTGTTGTCCTTAAACTTCAAACATCTTGGATGCAAGCATGTAAGATCTTGTTCTTAAATTACAAACATCATTGGTGCTTCGGTCTAAGATCTTGTGCTTTCAAACATCTTGGGCGCTACAGAGTCAGATCTTGTCCTTAACTTTTGATCATCCTTGATGCTTCGCTGTCAGATCGCAGTCTGATCTTGCAATCATCTGGGATGCTACCGTGTAAGATTTTGTCCTTAACTTGCAAATCTTTGTTGCTACGAAGTAAGATCTTGTCCTTAACCTTCAAACATGTCGGATGCTACGCTCTATGATTCTGTTTGTCTTGTCCCTAACCCTCAAACATGTTGGATGATACGCTGTAAGTTCTTGTCCTGAACGAACAAGAACAAGAACCAGAACAAGAGCAAAAACCACAACCACAACCACAACCACAAGATCAAGAACAAGAACCAAAACATCAACATCAACAACAACAACAGCAGCAACAGCAGCAACAACAATAACATCAAGAACAAGAACAAATTCAACAAGAACAAGTTCAACAAGAACAAGTTCAACAAGAACAAGTTCAACAAGAACAAGTTCAACAAGAACAAATCCAACAAGAACAAGTTCAACAAGAACAAATTCAACAAGAACAAGTTCAACAAGAACAAGTTCAACAAGGACAAGTTCAACAAGAACAAATTCAACAAAAACAAATTCAACAAGAACAAGTTCAACAAGAACAAATTCAACAAGAACAAGTTCAACAAGAACAAATTCAACTTCAACAACAACAACGACAACAACAACGACAACAACAACAACAAAAATAACAATAACAAAACAAAATAAATAGACAACAAAAGCAAAAACAACAATAACAACAAAAACAAGAACGAAAACGAGAACAAAAAAAATAATAACAAGTTCTTGGAAGATCTGGATGCTGCCCAAGAAGATCTTGTCCTGAACTCTCAAGCATCTTGTATGATTTTGGTTGCTATGGAGTAAGACTTTGTCCTTAACACTCAATCATCTTGGGTGCTACGGTGTAAGATCGTGCCCTTGACATTCAATCATCTTGGACGCTACGCTCGAGAGCTTGTCTTCAACTTTGAACATCTTGGATGAAATGACCTAAGACCTTGTCCTTGAATTGCAAACATGTTGAATCTTGGATGCCACTCTGTAAGACCTTGCCCTTAATCTTCAAACACCTTTGATGCTACGGTGTCAGGTCTTGTCCTTAAGTTCCAAACATGTTTGATGCTACTCTGTAAGATCCTCTCCTTAACTTTCCAGCATCTTGGATGTTACGGTGTAAGATTCTGTGCTTAACTTTCAAACATGTTTGATGCTATTCTGAAAGGCCGTGTCCTTAACTTTCAATCATCTTGGATTGTACGGTGTAAGATCTTGTCCTTAACTTCCAACCATCTTGGATGACATGCTGTAAGACCTGTCCTTAACTTTCAATCATCTTGGGTGCTACGCTGTCAGGTCTTGTCCCCAACCTTCAAACATGTTGGATGATACGCTGCAAGTTTTCGTCCTTGCCGGACAAAAACAAGAACCACAACAGCAAAAACATGATTAATATTCTGGTTAAGATGTTTTTTTCTTTCAGCCAATCTATTGATGGTCGACTTCAAAACTCCGCAGGGCCTGGTTTATAAAATTTGATATAGGTATGACGATGGAATTCGAACCTCCACCAGTTAAAATATACCCTTTACATCAATGATTAAATGCTCAATGACCAAAATTATAGATTATAACACACTCAAAGATGTTATGACCCGCGAAACGGCGACTTACAAACCACGCTTGTTACTCACCTACTACCATCATTAAACAACCCACAAAAATTACTAAAATTACTAAACAGGTAGTCGCAAGTTCGCTGGCTGCAAGTGGGCGCTGGCCCTCAAATACAAACAATCTGGTCCTTTGTTTTTTTCTCTCCGAAACAGCTTTTATACCTATGTTTCAATCGGTGCGGGTAGCTGCTGGTGCATGGCTGCTAGCAATCTACGACAGACAATCTTGAAAAAAAAAGGTAAAATCTACAAAATCATTTTTTTTCAAGATGGCACGTGGCGGCAAGTGGCTACGAGTCGCTGCAGATGGCTGCAATCAGTTGCAGCCACTTGCAGCCACTTGCAGCCACTTGGCAGCCGGCAGCCACTTGGCAGCCACAATGGCTGCAGCAAGTGGCTGCAAGTGGCTGCCAAGTGGCTGCCAAGTGGCTGCCAAGTGACTGCTTGAGCAAGTGGCTGCCAAGTGGCTGCCGGCTGCCAAGTGGCTGCCAAGTGGCTGTTTTTTCGAAAATCAAAATGATGCACGTTTGCTCGCTCTCTGGAAACTTGATTTCTGAATCATCGTAATGTACAAACAACACGATGTGCTGTTTTCATCCATTCAGCAGCTGAGGAATGAAAAACTATGGAAGGCGCTCCAACAGGAGAAATGCCGGATCAAGGGTTTCATTGTTTGGGCAATCCTTTGCTGTTTGTTTCAGTTGGGTGGTTTGTTCCAGTATGGGTGGTTTTGTGTCTTTGCTTAAGAGTGAAACTACCCAATTTATGCCAATTGTGTGTCCATATTCATGTTGACAACTTCTCAAAAGTGACAAGACAGACTGCAATTTTGTACCTATCAATGCAGGCCAAGGGATTCATGTCTTGCACAGTTCCAAACATTTCCTGCACTATGACGTTGAGGACATCGAGACCGAGACGCTGGACGAAGAGCAGCGAAAAGCGCCAATGCCCCAGATTTTTTTGTCACGAAAGGTAGGGTGTTAGTTGCTTGAGTTTCTGTGTTTTAGCATATTCTCCTTTTCGGGGCAGAGGAGGGACAGGTCTTGTTTTGTTTTTTTCTCTCGGTCATTGTTTGTTTTTCCGGGGCTGTGTCATGTCAATGTGTTACTAGAAGAAGTTCTTCACCTTAGGGGAGGGGAAAATGGTTGCAGTTCTGGCTCTGTTCATGCACCTTTGATTTGCCAGGCTCCAGCACAGGTGGTTTATCTAAAACAAACTGTTTCAAATTTTGGGTGGTTTTGAGCAAGTTTGAACAGAGCTCTACCTGAATGAATGAATGTTTCAAAACTGTTGTTCGTCACCAATTTTGCATCACGGAGGCATCAATGCCGCCAAATCCAATTTCCAGTAGCTCAACAAAGTTGGCAGTGGCCAAACGACGGGAAGATACACAGCTATGAAATCCTGTGGTTTCTGCGCTACATTGACATGACCCAAGTTTTTGTTTGCAGCTATTTATATATTTATTTATATAATTTCATATAAACAAACTGAAATGTGTTGGCTTTGCGGCACCTCGCATTTCTGATCACAAATATAGGACTTGCCGCTATGGTTGTTGCTTCGGAGGCTCACATGAAAAGAAAGGGTACCAGACGCAAGCGGTTGCATTTGTTTTTCTGTTGTTCAGCCTTTTTGATCTTCTTGCACAAGACGCCGACATGCGCATTTGGCCGACCCAAGCAAGAGCTGGCAAGTGAATTTCGAGAAAGGACGGGGCACAGCTCCAGACGGAAGGTCAAAGACGTGCTGGGTAATGCTTTTTCACTTTCCCGTGAAGAGAAGCAACTTCTCACACAAATTTCCATTGCCAGCGACCGGAGGAGCTGGCAGGATGTCCAGTCCCGCTTTGTGACATATTCTGGAAAGGCACCACAAATCTACAATGCTGCGATGAATGCCGCGCTGCGATGCCTTAGATATGATGAAGGGGCCTCGATCTACCAAAAGTGTCGTGAGACTTGCGAGCGGTTTGAAGAGGCAACTTTCACATCTGCTCTCAGGATTTTTGCCAAACTGGGTAAACCTGAAAAGGTGCGCGAAATCTGGGACGAAGCCCAGAAAGAATGCACACTTACTCACATGCTGGTTGCATCTCGTATCCATGCTGCAGCAGTTGAAGGTAATGTTGAAACCGCAGCTTCTATGTTGGACCTCCTGAACACCAACAAGCTTGAGATAAATGAAATTGTGCTCACATCCGCAATCAAATCTTGTTGGGGCTGGGGAACAAACCAGCATCGTGCTGCCAAGTACTTTTGGAACCTCTTTGCTAAATTCAATGCGAAACCAGATGTCGCAGCTTTTGCCGCCTTGATGGGTGCCTATAAGACAGCACCTTTGAAAGACATCCTTTCAGCAAAGGCGGAAATGGAAGAATTGGGAATCAAACCTGTATTTGCATCCCATATAAAACATAGGTGCATCATAGCATGCTGACTAGCATTCGCGGCTCAGGTGAAAAAGGGTCTGAGTTGCGTAGCTTAACGGTTGTTTCCCCAGTGTTTAGGTTTATCAGTCCATTTGGGTGTAATAGGAATTACCCCAGCTGAAACCTGAAAATACAGGTTATCAGCCGTAGTCTCTAAAGCCATGGAACGGACAACTGGAGACGCCTCAGGTGGAGGTGCCCTTGTCCCTGCTTCAGGAACGTTGGCGACTGCATCAACTGGTTCTCAGCAAAGCTTGCCGGCTGGGACAAACCCCACGCCCATGTCAGTGGATGAAGGTTTCTTCACACAGCCCGTGCAAGCCTATTTCCAGTTCGTGCAAAACAATCTTACCTACATCAACGAAGGTAACATTGATGCTTTCAGGCAAGAGGCAGAGGAGAGGCACACACACATCTCATGGAACAAAAGGTCCAGCAACTGTACCAAGAGTTTGAGGGAATTTGCCTTAGCGAAATCGCCCATCAACGTGCAGAAGCTGACCGCAGACATGAGCACCTAGTGTCAGAGTATTCAATGTCCCAAACGGCAACTGAGCATGAGGTAGCAAAACTGAGACAGGAACTTAGCGATGCAAACGCAAGGCTGAAGAATGCTGCAAATGCAGTTGCACTGGAAGCTGAACAAAGAGCCAACCCAAAGGTAGCCCACGTTACAGCCCAGTATGAACAAAGGTTTTCTGAACTCAGAGGTAGCCTCGAGGCAGACTGTAAACGAATCGTGGACGAAACAGTGGAGTATGCAAAGAATGGCATGGAAGGTTTCAAGAAGGAGGAACAAGCTGTAATCCAGGAGATTAGAGAGGAATGCAGTAGGCAGGAAAACCAAGCTGCTGAACTCAACTTCCAATTGCAGGGACAAGTGGAGGATTTGATGGAGAAGCTCAACAAGTACAGCGCCCCGGAAATCAATGTCGACAGAGCCGTCGAAGTTGATGATTCACAAGGCGGGAACAATGTCGATTTGTACATGACCCCAAAATCAGCGGTCGGTACTAAGGCTGGAGCAGAACCCATGCCAAACACTGGTATGAGTAGCTTAGCCATGGACGCCAAAGAAAGGTTGAGCAACTTGTTCTCAACAACCCCTGCCGGATCAGCAGCCCCTCCAAAACTGCCACCATTGCCAGTTCAAAGACAAAATGATGATGATGCAAACCAAGAACATAGTGTGCCCAGTCCTACAGTAATAGCAAGCGACCCTGGCAAGAAAGCGGCTGAGGCAGGCTTAGGTCTTTCAGGTCAACAATTGCTAGATCTCATCACCAGACTGACTTCAAAGGATTCAGATGGTGAAAAGCCCCGAACAAAAGAGGCAGAGACTATCAAACTGAACGACATGCCTGCCCCAGAAGCATATCGTCACTGGCGTAATCATGTCAGGGATGAAGTCAAGTCGTGTTCTGACAAACCCGATGAGGCTTGGCTTTGGCTCAATGAAGTCTTTGACAACAAAACCCCTAGGGAAAAGTTGGAGGAAAAGCTGCAGGAACCTGGGAAATTTATCACACTTGACACCAAATTGTCGGCAGCGTTAACTCGCTCGGCCAAAGGTGATTTAGCAACAAAGGTCCATAACTTCAAAGATGAGAAGTCAAAGAAAGGGATCCAAGTCAGAGGTAGGAGAGTCCTTTTGATGTTTGAAGATTACTTCAGGACGTCTGAGGAAGCTGGCAGTCTCTACCGCGTCGAGGACCTACTTGGAGTCGTTCGCACTGGAGAATCTGTGGAGGACCTTAGAAGGTTTCTGAACCGATGGGACGCCACAATTGCCGGCATGGAAACCCCGCCAGATGATTTGGTTCTTAGAGACATCTTACTCAGACAAATCCGAAAATGTCAATTGATGAAGTATGAAATCGAAGCATTTGACAGAGCTCCTGAAAAGTCAGAACAAAAGTCTTATGCATTCTTGTTGAGAAACATTCGTGATCTTTTGGATAGAGAAAGACTCCGTTCAAACAGAAACAGAATCGTTGAAAAGAACAAGCAGACCGAAAAGCCTCAGCCCGCTGCACCCGCTCAGGGGGGCAAAGATCGCGGCAAAGGAAAGGGCGACCGAGGTCGAACCCGTGGTCGTAGCCAGAGCGGAAAGGGGGATAAAATATGCTACAAGTTCAGGGATGGCAAGTGCGAAAAGGGTAAAGACTGTCCCTACAAGCATGTCAAAGATTCCTCAAGATCTGGTACCCCCAAAAGGAAGGGTAAGGGCAAAGGTGGTAGCAGAAGTGGTTCCCCCAACAGAAAGTCGAAGGAAGAGATGGCCAAGATCCCATGCACTTACTTTCAACAGGGCAAATGTCGTCGTGGTGACAAGTGTTTTTACAAACATGAAGTTGCAGCTGCACCCACAAAGGATCCAAAACGCACCAATAGCCCTGCACCAAAGAAGAAGGCCAGTGCAAAAGCTGCGCCATGCATTACTCAAAGGTATGCATGCATAGCAAAGGGAAAAGGGTTGCCGAAAGCTACAAAGGCCATGAAAGAACAATGCCATAGAGCTATTGTGTTTTCATCAAAAGTGGAATACATCAAAGTCCCAGCAACAGGTGAACAGAGGAAGGTAGTGCACAAACCCCGAATCTATGAGAAGACGTTCCCTGATTCAGAGTCAGTGCCAAAACCCGACAAACTCGTGGCTCACCGTGCTCAGGTTTCGGCCCGACAGTTGCAGGAACTTGTAAAGCTCTTCGGCAGTGAGACGCAGCCCAAATGCCGATTCCGATGCAATGACCCAGAAGGGGGAGTATCATGCAACCACTGTAGAGCAATGATTGGTCCCAAAAACAAAGTCAGTAACACTCATTTGCCCACTGTTGCTACACCGGCATCAAAAGATGGATGTGTTTGGTTGGTTGACACGGGCAGTGAACAGGATCTGATTAGTGAGGGTATGCTGAAGACTGCAAAGGCGACAAACCGCCGTGTCAGCGACACTCCGATCAGCCTTGCTACAGCAAACGGTTCGACACGAGCGGATGAGGTGGCCGACGTAAAGGTCGATGCCCTACATCAGCCATTTTCACCATACATTCTCGAGGAAACTCCTGCTGTCCTTTCGGTTGGGGTCAGGTGTATGGAACAGGGTTACAGTTTTGTGTGGCCAGCTGATGGAAGGCCTTACTTCATTCGTCCGGACATGGGAGTCATTGAGCTTAACGTAGACGGCCGTGTGCCGGTTATTGATAGCTCTTGTCGTGTTTTGAACAGTGGACAGTTCAAGAAAGATTGTGATCTGTTACGTCTTTTTGCAATGGTTGCTGCAAAAGCAGAAGGTGCCGAGGAAGAAGGCGTGGATGAGGGAGTAGCTCATGATAGTGAAACCGAGTACGTCAGGTCTAGAAAGGCATCTGACCTTGAGCAAGAGGCATGCAGCAAATCTCACCAGTTTTGCCATTACCCCAAGAATCCATTTTGCAAAATCTGTCAGAAGGCGCGCATGATGGCGCCACCCGCAAAGAAGAAGGGGGGACAGAAAAGGTTGGAAACCAAAAGCTTTGGGGATCACATTGTCGCTGACCATACTGTAATCAAATCCAATGTGGAAGAAGGTGTCAAAGGTGAAACAGTGGCATTGGTGATGAAGGACATTCACACTCAGTTCAGACACGTCTATCCAAGTCAGACAAAATCGAGTGAGTCATGTGTCAATGCTTTCAACCACTTCTTATCTCACAAGGATGAAGTTGGGGCAGTTTACACTGACAATTCACGAGAACTTATTGCTACAATTTCAGAGTTGGGGTACAGACATCAAACATCAACAGAGTATGTGGACAGTTCAAAGTCGTTTGTGGAGAGGGAGATCAGGCACATGCTTGAAGGCACACGCACAAACCTTGTGCAGTCAGGTCTTCCATTGCAGTATTGGCCAATGGCTATGCAGCATTTCTCCATGGCAGTGAATGCCACGCCACAACTCAACGGTGATGATGCCCCATGGAAACTCAGATTCGATGAAGATTTTCCAGGTCAGTTGATTCCTTTCGGTGCAAAGATACTGTTTTGGAACAATCCAAAAAGGGTTGACAACACATCTGGAAAGACATCACCAACTGCAAATGATGGAATCTTTTTGGGATACCATATTCAACCTGGTTTCGCATGGAAAGGTGAGTATCTTGTTGCCAAGTTAGAAGCATTGGATTACCATGCAGAAACGGGCAGCATCACAGTGCAGCGAGCACGACGTGTTGAGCTCATCGCGGGAGGTTTTGTCTTCCCACTCCGTGCATTGAAAGAGGCCAAATAGCCCAAGCCGGACCGCCTTGCTGACAATGTCATTGCTGATCCTCGTCCGATTCCGTTTCAATCCGAACTGCAAACAGAGGAACATGCAGAAGCAAGTGAAGAAGCAATTGACAAGTCAACGGAGGCAGTGCTTGACGCACTTGCCAGTGATGAAAGGCCGGCTGAGGAACCAGTTTTTCCTGATATCAAGTACACTCCAACTGGAACACCAATCCCGGATGGTTATCATTGGGACGGCACACGCCTTGTGAAAACGTACAAAGGGTCAAAACGCCCTGAGTCAATCCCATCGGATTTTTGGAAAATGCTTAGTCCGAAGGATAGGCAAAAGCTCGTTGAGGAGGAGGCTGAAAAGATGGCTGTTGGCAGCGGCGGTGCTGCATCAAGCTCAGCATCAAAGGGTCCGAAGAAGAAGAAAGGTGCGGTCGCAACTGCAAGAAAGCTTCGGGTAAACCCTAGCCCCTCAGGTGAGCCTAGTGTGTCAACATGGGAGGTCATTCCAAAGGATAGACCGAAATTTTGTGTCCCTGCAATGCCGAAAGCGGTTCCAGCAAAAGCTGAACTGCATCGCCCGGAATTGAGAGAGATGATCAAGAACAAGATCGCAGAGTTGGAATTCAAAGTGGCTCTTGAATTGTTTTCTGCTGTTGCACGTTTGGTTCCCAAAGATGAGGTTAGGAAAAACCCCAAAGCAAAGGCTGCCTTAGATAAGGAGTGGGAGAACCTCAGGACAAAAGGAGTATGGGACGAATCCAGAGTCAAGGAATGTAGAAGCATTGTTGAGGAAGCCCGCAAGAAAGGGGAAACTGTACATCTTGGTCGTATTTTTGAAGCCTGCTACGAAAAGGGGTCGGAACTTCCAGCTGATGATCCTCGTAGGAAATTCAAGGGCCGTACAGTCTTCCAGGGTAACAATGTCCGCGACCAGGATTCTGACCACGCGTTGTTTGCCGAGTTAGGTAGCAGTCCTGCTTCGATGGAAGCTGCAAAGCTTCTTGACGCGTTTGGTTCTCAGCCCGGATTTTCAAAAGCTCAGGCAGACGCCATTCAAGCTTATATCCAGGCCCTCTTCACTGGGGTGCCCACATGGCTATCATTGCCACGGAACAGATGGCCAGAACACTGGGAAAAGCAATTCTGGCAACCCATGGTTCCTTTGGTTTTAGCTTTGTATGGGCATCCAGACAGTGGCGGTATTTGGGAAAACCACCTCAACAGCAGAATCGGAAAAGAAGGTTGGAAACAAATTCTCCCTGATATATGGCAAAGTATTTTCTATCACGCTGAGTACAATTGCATGTTGGTTGTTTACGTGGATGATTTCAAACTCGCAGGTCCCACCGAGAACATGGACAAAGCATGGGCAAGTATCAAACGAGCAGTCAATATTGGTGACCCCGAACCCTATGATCGATATTTCGGTTGTCAACATGTGGAGTTTAACAATGTTACACTACCACGAAAAGCTCATCCTTTTGCACATGTTTTTGATTCTCAGGCGGCTGCTGCGGCACGTACACAACATCGAACAAATGATTTTTGGCAACATGACCCCTTCAACAAAACTTGGACAAGGTATCATCTCCAGCCACGGAAGAAGTTGTTCGAGCCTGGCGATGAGGGGGGGGAGTTTGTCACGTCTTTGCATTCAGAACGGGTTACAATGTTCGACAAAAATGTTGAATTTAAAGGTCTTCCAGTTCTCAACATGCATATGTCAGACGAAAGTTCAGCTATTGTTGAAGATGACATGACAGTGGATCAAAAGATTCAGACAAAGGACTTCTGGACAGGAAGAACAATCTTCAGGTATGGTGACGAGTATGGCAACACTAATCAGTTTGCCCTCCCATCAAAGAACAGACCCGGTCCGCACAGAGACAAAAGGGAAGCCAAGAATGAGAAGAAATCTCAACGGTTCAAAAGCATTGAGAGTGTCGTTACGAACAAGTCCGGTTGCATGAACAAACCTGTAAACCTGGTAAGGTACGACATGTCTTCTTTCATGGAATCATGTGTAGATGCATACTGTGAACTGGCAAAGGTCCAAAAGGATGACTTGCCAGTGGTTGCAACGCCGTTCACAGAAGCGGGAATAGCCCGGCAAACTCTCGATGAGAAGGAGAAGCCAGGGAGGTTGCAGCCGATTGCATCGAAGGTCCTGATGAAGATTCTCTTTGCGGCCCGTATGGCACGCCCAGATCTCTTAAGAGCTACTCAAAGCTTGGCATCTAGGGTGACGAAATGGTCCATTGAGTGCGACATTGCATTGCACAGATGGGTATCATACATCAAGTCAACTACAGATGTTTTTATGGAGGGTTTTGTGGGAGACTCGTTTGAGGATTGTCAACTGTGGCTATTTGCTGACGCTGACCATGCGGGGGAACATGATTCAAAATCAACTTCAGGTTGTGCCATGTTTCTTGTGGGGCCAAACACCTATTTCCCATTGAACGCATTCAGCAAGAAGCAGACAGTTGTAGCAAACTCGTCCACTGAAGCCGAAGTCGTGTCAGCCAATCACGCACTCAGAGCAGAAGGGATTCCAATGTTAGCGTTGTTGGAGCAATTGGGCATTTTCAAGAAATTGTCGCAGAAGGCTGGGTCAAACCCCAAGCCAAACGTCCCCGAACCATGTGATCCTGTTTTTACTCGTATCGACAAAGAGATCGATGAAATCAGGTATGGTAACGTTGAGGGGGGCCTTTCTGCGGCAAATATCAATGGATTGAAGGCCCATTTTCCGGAGTTCTATCAAGTGAAGTTCATGGAAGATAATCAGGCTTCTATAACTGTGATGGGCACCGGTAACTCCTCCACCATGCGGTACGCCAACAAAACTCAGAACATCTGTTTTAAATGGATGAAACAGCAGTTTGAGGAGGAACAATTTGACCTCATTAATGTTGGCACCAATTGGCAGACAGCTGACATTCTTACTAAACCTTTTACTTCCCCAACTAAATGGGAACATGCTTTGAGGTTGATGGCCATTGGAAAGACTTGGATCGACGCCGACAAGCCCAAGGTGCGCCAAGTAGACTCCAAGCCTGCGTGTCCAGCTAATGCCAATGATCAGGGGGGACGTGATGGTTCAAATTCTTTCCAAAGGATGTTGATTGAGTTTTGCTGTTCATCTGATTCGAAGCTATGCACTCCACGGCAAGCCAGTAAAGGGTGTAGACTGATCCGAGTAACTGAAAACGAGGATGGCACCACCCAAGGCTGCCGTAAATGGCTAGCCCAAGAAGTCCAGTCTTTCAGGGAGAGTAATCCAGAGGGTGAGATTTTGCTTTACGCTTCCTTGCCATGTGTGGGCGGCAGTCCATGGGGTTACATCAACAGTTTGACTGACAAAGGGGCTGAACGAATCGAACAGCAACAAAAGGAATTTACAAAACTTTTCAAATCACTTCAAAAGATTATCAGTGAAATCGATGGGCCACATTTTTCAATTGCATTTGAACTCTCAAAGAACTGCAAGTATTGGAAATGGCCAATGGTCCAATCGTTTTTGAAGAGACAAGAGTTGAAATTGTATCCATTCCACGGTTGCCAGTTTGGGGTTATTGACTTGGACGGGAATCCCATGAAAAAGGGTTGGATGATTGCAACAAACATGGAAGAGTTGTCAAGTCTTTCGGAATACGTTTGTGATGGTTCCCACACTCATGGTCAAAGCCGGGGTACTGCATTGAAGCTTGCAGAGAACTACACATTCAAGTTGACTGACTTCATCCATGATTGTTTTCGTTCCAGAGCTAACCAGGCACAAACCGCCAAGAACAGGAAAAGGTTAGCTTTGCCCGCCATGAGCCGCCGTTCTGATGATTCAAATTTGTCGATCACTGACAAGATGAACGTGCGGGCTCTCAAGTCGGCCGGTTTAAAGACCGTGCCCCAACAGAGCAACATGTCGGAGTGGCTTGCTTTTCGGAAGTGCCTTGATGTTCAGGGGGATAGGCACGCAGGGTGGGAGGACATCTTTTCCACGGTCCTCGCTTCGTCAACCATCCTGGCACAGGGCAACAGAACAGAAGACCTTGAGTTGGCCGCAGGATTCATGCAGTGTTTTACTGCGCAGTCAATGGCAACTGACGCCCTGACTAATGTGCCGTGGGCAAAGGAGATCCGCCATCTGTCCGAGCTCGAGCATGACTCGCTGTGGGATCTGAGCTTGCCTACTGAGTACGTCCCTGGGACATCAAGGCCGGCGGTAGACGTCGTGCCCACCATCTATGTGGTGACTTCCGATTCAACTTTGGCTCTGATCACTGGAAAGGGTAAGACTTTGAAGAAGTACACCTTGAAGGAGGATCTGGGATTGCGAAAGTCGGACATGGTTCTCGAAATCGGTCATGACATGCTCTGGGGTAAGGATTTGCAACAGCTCTGCAAAGCAAATGTTTCCATGATCAAGGAGCTGATGGCGAAATATTCTTCTCATGGATCAGCCATCAGGGTTATTTCGGTAATCTTTTGGTCTGGGAATGAAATTTGTGGGGAATATGGTGTTGAACCCCTTCCCATTTGGGGGCAGAGGGAACCACAGGGTGACTGGAATGCCATCATGGACAGGGTCAAAGGCAACATCGTGTGGTGGAACAATCAGCTCAAGGAATTGGGAGTGGATCAGGCCGCCCTAATCGGCGAGCCCGACCCGCTCACTTATGGATTGAGTCTCATCTTCACCACGTTTGTTGATCGACTGAAGGAATGGTTCCACAAGGAGATTGCCAGTGACAACGATCGAATTCGGTGGATTCAGAATGACATGCTTCCACCGAGGCTTGAGCTCAGGGACTACTTTCACGCATTCGAGACCGAGCTCAACCGAAGTGAAATGATCGGATATGTCATGGCAACTCTCCACATGTTGCACATGACGGACATCTTGATTCCTCAGTACAACCTGTCTTTGTACAAGCGCAGGTGCCCTGCAGGAGAAGCTACAATGCGTGATGTCCCGCCAAAGATGGAGCACCTCCCAGTCAGGTTTGTGCAGGTTCTCAATGCTCTCCGGGAGAAGACGAACAAATCTGCACCGAGCGTCTCGACCCCAGAAAGCTTCACAGCAGAGGAGTTGAGAGCTCGCCCGACCGATGCTGGTGTCGCCGAAGATGATGATGAAGAAGGCGATCCATGGGATGCTCTGGATCCCGGTGAGCACGAGGGCCCATCGGTTGGCAAGGCCAAGGCCAGCCACGCAGCTCCACCTGACCCCAAGGCGAAACCTCAGACGACACAGGAGGATTCAACTCAGGCCACCTCAGCTGGTGAGCCCCTGCAAGAAAACGAGATCAAGGGTACCATCATTCCGAAACATGCACTTGGGCACCTTGACAAATATCGTATCACTTTGGACGAAAACATAAATGCAGAAGTAGTTGAACATTGTGTCGTTGATGCCCATCCCTACGAATTGATCGTCAAAACCTGTTGGGAGATGGATGGGGCAAAGGAGCTGAGGTACCCAGATCGCATGGACCGACACAAGACCAAGGTCAATGCAGTGACGCGTGGACAGCCGGGTCAGGACACCTCTGGATTTGATGAAAACATGTGGCTTGACCTTGATGACTTCTTTCGAATGTTCAACCAAATGCTGCCAGCCAAGTTGCCCCGAATGACAGTTGAAGAGCTTATTTCATTGCTCTACTGGGACAACAAGTGCCGTTTTGAGTTCCAGTGCATTGCCGGGTACCAGAAGGCAACCCGTAAAGGGTTAGCCTACTGGCCCATCAGAATCCGTGCAGTGCAGGGGCATACGAAACGTGCCATGGATGCCGCTTCAGCTGAGGACACGTTCAATGCAGTGGAAATCTATGCTCTGTCTGGAGCAGCAGCGATCCAGAAAATGAACGCCAAAGGTAAAAAGATTACCACTCCTCAGATGTGCCCCGGCGTAGTTTATCACAGGACTACAAAAGGCAATTGGAAGGGCATCATTGAGAATGGCTTCGTTGCTGGAGGAGGAGAACGAAATTCATCAGGCAGAGCACACTCCTATTTTAGCGAAGTGCGTGTCGACGAGAAAGAGTATGTGAGCGGTTTGCGTGCTGAACGACCCATTGAAATCAGGGTAGCAATGGCTGAAGCTGTCAAAGCTGGCATTGTGTTTTTCAGGACGGCCTCTGACGGCATTTTGACAAGTGACGTCGTACCGCCTCAATACATTATCTCTGTCGATGACACTGCCAAGAAGGTGAATTTGTATCGTCGCCAGCAGGAGGTCGCACAGTCTGCAGCGAGCAGTGGGGGAGAAGTTGGAGTCCAGGAGCTTGTCGAGACCTTTGAGGCCAAGGCATCAAAACGGACTGGTTCCAAGTCTCCGGCCGCCTCAACTGGCGCGCCCACTGCAACAGCATTTTTCCCAGGAAAGGTGAAGCCTCCGCCACCAAATGTGGCCCAACTTGCCGGTATGCCTGGATATGCAAGCAGCAGATTGTTGCCCCCTCCTCCGAAGGGTGAAGCTCCAAAGCCTCCTGCAGCAAAGGTTGAAAGCCCAAAGACACCGCCGAAAGCGCCTCCAAAACCATCACCGAAGGAAGGGACTTCTGCACCTCATGCACCAGAAGTTCCAAAAGCTGTGACCTCAGAAGTTGATGCAGCAGCAAAGGATGAACCTGCAAAGAAGAAGGCAGCCCTGACAAGCGTGCCCGCAGCTGTGCCTGCGGCATCATCAGCTGCGGCCTTCTTGGAGCCTGTTTCAAAAGTTGCACCGCCGAAGGCAGTACAGAAAGATCCAAAAGCTCCAGTTGCAGAGTCACCCAAAAAGACGCCGGCATCAACATCAAAGTCACTGGTGCCAAAGCAGAAGTCTCGCCCTAAAGGCGATGACCAACCTTCGAAGAAAGAGGTGAAGAAGGAGGACAAGAAGCCGGTGCCGGTCAAGATTGAAGTCACGCAATGTTCAAGATGTTTTGCACAGACTTTCAAGGGACAGATTGAATGCGATGTGTGTGGATTGATGCTCGAAGGGGTGAACAAGGCCGACCGAACCAAGATTGCAGAACGAAGGAAGGCCGCCCTTCACAAGCTGGGCTTGTACTATGATTTTCGTGGTGAGTACCTGCAGAGCATCACACATGATCAGCTTGAATCTTTGGGTTTGTTGGACGACCAGGCAAGAGGAAGCTCTAGTCCGGAAGCCAGTTTGTTGGCAAGGGCAAAGAGTCGATTCGACCGTGCCTTGAGCTTGGGCTATGTGTCTGTGGCTGACAGGTTTGCCCAGGACGCCACATTCGCAGAGAGCGTGCTGAACGAGGGGGAGAACGAGTACGATTGTGAAAGGTACGACCTCCTCAAGTCTGCACATTTGCCAAAGCCAGGTCGTACCAAGGCTCAGGTCAAGATGGGTGTTTCTGAGCAATCTCAACTGGAGCACAACGCGATGAGGCTGGTTTACTTGGATTTGGCAAGCCGTCTTGATGTCCCGAAATCGTTCAGGTACATCGACCAACCATGGTTCTACATGTACCGTACGGAAATCTACTCAGAGGAAGAGTACATTGACTATCTCAACCGGAATCCTGGACACAATCTTTTGTTGTCTTGTACTGGTGTTGACAACATTGCCGTTCATGATGCTGAACGTCATTTGAGGTGGATCAAGGGACAAAATGAGGAGCTGTACAAGCAGAACGCTGCAGAGAAGAAGAAGCAGTCTGACAGGGCTCGCGAGCAGAACGAGGCCAAGCGCAAAGCTGAGCAGACTGGAGCGTACGGCCAAGGTCCCTCCAAGAAAGGCACCGCCAAACCGGTTGCCCGACCATCCACCGTAGAGGTAGCCTCATCATCCACGTCAGCAAGCCAGTGGCTCAATCGCCCTCAGCAAAGTCATTCCCGTGAAGATCGACAGTTCACCAATGAGTGGCAGAAGTGGCATGGGCGCTGGTACCAAAAGGTTATCAGGCATGGCCGAGTCGAATGGGAAGAGGGATAAATTTTGACACTGCTTGCATTGACGATCGTTTGTATATAGCCGCTGTACTTTTGTATGTTTTCCTCAGGTCTGCAAAGGGCTGGCTCGGTAAGGCAGGTGTAAAAGCCTCGCCCTAGTAAGTGGGCAGCCTTGCCGTGTCCGGCTCACCTGAGGGGGGTGTATTTGCATCCCATATAAAACATAGGTGCATCATAGCATGCTGACTAGCATTCGCGGCTCAGGTGAAAAAGGGTCTGAGTTGCGTAGCTTAACGGTTGTTTCCCCAGTGTTTAGGTTTATCAGTCCATTTGGGTGTAATAGGAATTACCCCAGCTGAAACCTGAAAATACAAAACCAAACAAGTTCTTTGCTGAAAGTTATTTGTGCAGCGTGCTCCAATTGGATTTTAGTCAACTGGGTGATAGTTCCAAGCTAGAAGCCCTGCGCAAAGAACCTGAAGATCGCTTGCCAGCTGCTCAAGTGGCACTGGAAGGCTTTGAGGCACAAGGAGTGAAACTTACTGGGTTGTGCAAGAGCGTGAAGAGAGCATTGCAACAACTGAAGCAAAAGTAATGATGATCGAGTTGCCCAAACGCCAACACTTGCCTCGGGCAGTCCAACTTGAATGATTCTCGGGTGGTAAAAAATGCTCTTGGTGTGAAGTCTTTGTCCTTCCCTCTCATTGCATGCGTTCCTGCAAGACTGTGCGGAAGCTTGCTTGATTTTGTCAACGGCAGGGGAAATCAAAACATTGGAAGATGAAAGGTTGTAGATCACAAGTTTGATGGTACTGGTACACTTGGTGATGTAAACCAGCATACGTTCAATCTTAGCACATTCCTAGAACCCCCCCCCTACAATACACAAATCGAGCAAGTGGGCCCACCGTCGCTCGCATCAGCAGGGGGTACCAAATGGACCCAAATGGATCCTTGGAATCCAAATGGCCCCAAATTTTCTCCCGCAGTCACCGCATCAGTCTACACTGAGGTTTGAGCATCTTTGCGAGGCCCGTGGCTCTTGATCCAGCGGTTGGGGTGTGATTTCTCGAGTGCCTAAGTTGAGCCAAGAGGTCCAGAGCAAGTGGCACTTGCGCTTCAACATAGCTCTCACGCAGTTTCACGACTTTTCTGGGGCTAAGAAATGATGTGAATGAAAATTATGACTCAAAGTCCCGAAACAAAGCTAATCACTTTTTTGTTGTTTCAAGGTAGTATATCGGGATCAATAGGATGACTTGTCTGTCAGAACCATCTGCCTGGGCTTCACGGCTTCACACAGGATGAGCAGGAGCGAAATCTGGTCCTCTCCTCCTTGAGGGAAGCATCAGGCCACCTCTGAGGCATTGAAACTTTAGGTGGCATGATTCCTCCAACTGGGAGCCTTGGAATATTTTCCAAGTACTCAGCCCTTCCTGATCCCAATCATCGTAAGAAAAGAGAGCACTGGTTCGAAAAATGACCGACCAACTCACTGACGATCCACGGGTTGTCGTTTGCAACAGGTTCCGCATTTCAAAAGCTGGTGGTTCCCAGATGGATGAAGTTGGCTCAACGCCCGGACCTCTCAGACATGTCATGCGAAGTGAATGGCTTGATGTCGAAATTCTGAATGGCACACTGCACGGGTGCAGGGACATACTGCACCTCGCCACACTAAGAATCGCAATTTTTCTCACACTCTTAGACTACTGCTGTACCACTTGATACCGGTTGACTGTTCTCCTCAGCCACCAACACACATGAGATTCCTGACCCTGCCATTTTGGGCATCCTGAATCAGTTGGCCCATTGCGGTTGCCGGGGATCCCAGCTCCAGCCACCAGCCCCGCGCTGAGTCTTACCACCGGAGATGAAGATGGAAATGGAAGCGTCAAAGTCTGCGCACTCAGATGGAGGCAAAACCACTGCTTGTGAGCAGGAAAATCTGGGTGGGATAGGGGTGGTGATCAATATTGCAGGAGCTAAATACACACACACATCAATACATCTCAGAATACACAATTATAATACATATACACATATTATACGTATATATATAATATACACATATCATTACATATCTATACATACACATGCACACATTAAAGGATACCAACAACCAACCAACCAATCAACAACTGCAACGGACGGCAAACGTCCAAGCAGAGCAACTGCTGAAGCAGTGGGTCGCACACACACACACATTAGATACATCTATGCAGGATACATATGTTATCGATGCAGAAACAGTAGGGGTCCTTGCCCATCACTGTGTAGACACACAGTTTACATGCCCTGATATTGAAAGGTACTTCCTGCTTCAACGGTCATGGGAAGGGTGGTTGGCTTGTTATCTGGTCCATGATGCCAGGGAGTAAAATGCATGCGCAAACGAGCCTCAATGAAGCCAGCGATGTGCAGATGTGTATATTGGACCACAATTTTCCACATGTTGTCTCAAGCACCTAGCAGACAACTCAATCTGATGTCGCCACCCCTACAACTCATAGCGGCATAGAATTTCGATGTTGCACTTGAGGCAACGTTTCTCAAGCCTCCCCGAAGGTGCGCATTTGGGGAAGTCTCTTCCCGAGCGCACCCTGGTGGTTTCGTAGGTTTGAAAAGCAGCCATTTGACCTTGAACATGAGGAAATGTTTGGGGCTACAGCTACAAATTCTGATCCAAGCATCTGAATTGGCACTGAAAAAAGTGACAACTTGGACAACGATGTTTCCTACTTACTTTTCTTTCACCCCTTTTGTTTTCTTTCGAATTCAAGCAACCCGCCCTCAGCCTGAGCTTGGAAGGCGCTGGAATGTCCCGGCCGATGGACCATGGCCGAAGGCGCATTATTTTTCCCTCCTTGGCATCTTATCTTGAAAAGCCTGCAAGGCAAGTTAGGATTTATTTGCACCGCAACAAGCACATGTAAGTGACATAAGGATTCACATTCAGGGAACCATGACATCTGTGATATGTTGAGCACTCGTCGAGGACATGGCTCTCCAAGATTAGTTAGAATTTTGTTAGTACATACATGTCCTGCATTGAGTGTACTTCAACCAGCCGATGGTCGAATGCTTGTGGGACCGCGCATGCTATCTCGATTTTGCTGGTGAACCTCCCCAAGCACCCCTCCTTTTGAAACCCTTTTACCCCGTGTCACATCCGGGGCCATTGGCGAAACCATGGCATTTGTGCCAATTTTCCCAGCTACAGGATGGGCATTCGAGTGCCATCAGCAAGCACTGCACTTTGAGCGGCCTGAGATGGGTGGGGGGACAGGATGGATTGCTGTGGAGCGAATATGATATGATTTGAGTTTGCACCTTCAAGGGGTTTAGCAAAGCTATAGTTACAATGCCACAGCGAGAATGAAGCAGTTGAACTCTCCCATGATTGGATAACCACCGGTGTGTACATAGCAAGCGACAGCTTGGCGGACTGGCAAGCATGTGCCAAGATCAAGGGAAAAAGGTTCGCGCGGGACATGGCTATGATTTCAGAGTAGTGGTACACAAATGACAACTTGAATGGAGAGAAGGTTTGCAATCTCACCGACCAAAAGCAAATCTGTGCAGGAAACATTACAATCCAAAGGCAAGTCACCGATAATCTGCAGAGCTGTATCACAGATTGTATCCATTGATGCAAATTTCACAAAATGGCCATTGACTTTGAGTGTGGAAAAGCAGGGGCATTGTTTTGGGATGGTAGTTTTGGGTGCTCGGCATTTGTTGAGCTACGCCCCACATGGCTCATGGGTGGTGTTTCGTTGACCATTCGCCATGACACAACTCAAGGGGTGGGGCGGTGAGCCATCGAAGCGGGTTGTGAGAGGGGCCAGGGACTCAGCGTTATCACAAGCTGAGCTCAACTGAACCTCCAGGGTGAAGGGGTTTTAAGTGGTGGTATTGTTATGTGCCCTGAATTTGTCTTTCACACACCCTGTGATCCCTGTCTGCAGGAACGGATTGAGGGGCACCGGCCATGTAAAACAAATCCCAATAGGAGAGATTTGGCTGCTTCCCCAACAGATTTTTCATGAACGGATTCTTTTCCAGTTGGTTGATGTTGGTTTTCCATACATAGCCTACCTGCAGCAGAACCCAGTTGATTGGCTGACCTGGAACTTTAGCTGGGGGTGTCATGCCGCGAAGGTGAGATGTGGTCGAAGCAGAAGTCACCACGCTTCGCAGTCGAGAAACCTGCGAATCCTGCAGGGGAACCCTGCGATTTCCTGGGGGTTCTGGTGGCAGTGCTTCCTACTAGTAGTTGGCAAGCTGCAGAAAACACCAAAATGACAGTGGTTGAATTGAAACTTAGTTGGATTACTCTAAAATGTAAGGAAGTTTCAAGTTTCCCAGAACTGGAAGAAGAATCCACAGAACCCCCCTTTGAATTATTCGGAAATGTATGGAAATACCATAGTTTCCCACTTGAAAACTCCTCTCAACACCACTCAAAGATCCTCAGCCCATCCCATCCCCATAGCTGCCACCACTGCCCCGAGATCGGTCCGGGCTACTACGATCTTCCCAGCCTTCTGGACGAGCATTCCGTCACCATCACGGCCTCCGAGCGTTTCCAGGCACGGGCCGAATTTTGGACCTTTTTTTTGGGTCAGAGGATGGTTTGGCTCTTGCAACTGATATGCTGAGGCCATTCCAGGAAACCATTCCTGGCAGTCAAAAGGTGATATGAGTGGTGAATCGTCTTATGAGTCTATGGTGTTCCAATGTGTTCCAATCCCTCAACGGACCTTAGAGCCCTTCACTCCGTCAGGAACAGATGCCGGGTGAGACCCCTGGTCCAGGGAGCTACACCCAGGTGCGCCGGGTGCGGTGTGGATCATGGCGTGCAGGTCAGAAGGTTGAACACAACCCTCACGGCAATTAAGATGGACCTTTGAACATAGCACATGTTTAGTAGAAACTAATCTTCCGACCCCCTAGTTGGCACGAACTATGTGATCTATGTCAATTTACAGCAGGGTATATTCTTCGTGAATAAATCAATAAATAAACACACCATCACTGGCTGGTTATCCAAGTGTTCATTTGCCTCCTGGGGTCCCAGCTTCAGGCAGGAAAGGCCGCACGGCCGAAGCAGAGTAAGGACGGCCTGTGACACGGTTGGACGGATCAATGAAGCTCAGGGACCAACATATGTTGCTGATTCTTCAGTCTTAAACTCTTGGTTTTGCAACCCCCAAATAGATAGAAACAATTGAAACCTGGAAAGTATGAAAAACACCCAGCCTTTGTGGGTGTTGCTGATGATGGGAGGCGCATTTGCAAACTCTACATTAATAAGTCTCCACATTTCCCTTCTTTCAGAGCTGATGCTTTGCCCAAATCCACATCCAACAGGAATTCTTCACAATTCTTCCATTTTGAAGTTGAAGATCGCTGTGAAGAATCAAAATACCCACCATCTACTTTGATCCATGATCTCCCATTTGCAATTGACGTTTGATCTCGAGGTAGAATCGAAGAGTTTTGAGACTTACTTTGATTATTTGTTTAAAGATCAACGACTTTTCTCCTGGATATTCTGGATCTGTTTGCAGAGGAAACTTCGATGACCACATGTCCTGCCAGGAGAACCGGCCTCCGTCGCCTGCCAAGGGTGCGAGCTTGAAGCTGGGGCAAAAGGAGGCGGGGATTTTCGGGGCGCCCGCTAAAGTAATGGAGCTAAGTGACGTCCTAGTTGGGGGTCAACACGATTGGAGAATCCAAGAGGAATGGGGATACCATCCCAAACACGTTTTGAAGATGTTTTTTTGCTATTTTTGGATGGTTTAACATTGGTTCAGCATGATTTTGATGTGAATTTATGCAGCCAAAGCCAAAGCCAGGGATTCAGCCACCAAAACAGGGGATTTGAACGCCGCAAGTGGTGATTTGTTTGCCAGAGTTGGGTGAAAGATGGGGATGAACATCCATTAAAAGCAGCGATCTTCCAGCACCCTTTAAGGGTGCAATGGGGTAGGGCATTGAGAGGGAAATCAGGTTAAAGTAGCTGCAATACCTCATCCCAACTTTGTCTTGGCAAAAGAGTTCGAAGGGAGATGAACCGAGATTGTGTGAGAAGGGACCTGAGTTCCACTAACACCCCAAGAATTTCTACTTCAGATGTTCTGAGCTTCTGGGATCATTGGTGAACATACGTGAAAATGCCTGGCTGAAGATTTAGGTGATTCCTTTGGATATAATTGGTGATCCTGCCTGCAAAACTGCCACTTTTGGTGGTTGTGAAGCGCCATTTTGCTGGCAATTTCCCTGGAATCCCTCAGTTCCTGGCTTCAGGGAAAGGACGAGTTGCAACATCAACTTCAAGAGCAGGTGCCCAGCAGTGCGGTGTGCTGGTCAGGATTTAGGACGTCAGTGGATTCATAGTTTTATAGACCTTGGATGACTCGTTGGTTTGTTCATTTGCGGGTCGTTTGTTTCGTGGGCCATTGGTCGTTCTTTTATGGGGCCCTTAACAGGAACGTCTGCGTGCGCAAGCCGAGCAGCGTGTCAAGCAGTGGAGCCCTCAGTCCTCAACTCCTCCAAGGGGTCAAGGCTGTTGGTGTTGTGGATCCTTGTGGCTAAAAAGGACATACCCTCTGGTAAACATACACAAAACTATGGAAAATCACCATTTTTCATGGGAAAACTCACTATACCTGGCCATTTTCAATAGCAAACTGTTAAATTACCAGAGGGTACCATGGCATACCACACCGAGTTGGGGAGAACTTTGGCGGACTGCACGCATTTCATGTCAGGTTGATTGGACGAGTGGTGGACGGTGGACAGTGGATAGGGTAGCAAACTACTCCAAATGGGTTGATGAACATCCCAACAATCACCATTGTAACACTTTCAGGATGTTACAGCAACCCCCAAAAAGATAGATTTCAGATGATTTTAGTAACATTTGAATCTAAAATAGTGATATTCAATGATCTTCATTACCTTTCGGCATTTTGCTTGGTTGCCAGAACATCAGAGCAGCGTTCTCTAAACTGCCCCACCCACCAAGTGGGGTTGCTTCGTAGCGTCCGGCCGGACTATGACTAGGTTAACGGCTTCAGCGCAGTCAGTCGCGGCAGAGGCTGATCCGATGTGAACATGGTGACTGGATTGGACAACCATGTTTTTTTTGGATCCAATAGGGATATAAGGGGGAGATAATGGGGACATATTGGGAATGTCATGGGGATCTACCCTCTGGCAATTTGTTACATACAGAAGCCATGGCTGATTTAGTTCGATGATTTTGCATTTTTAAACTGGTGATTTTCCAGTTCGCTACGTTACATTGCGATGGGGTATGTATGATCCCAAGCAACACACGTGCGTTTCTCTATGGGAAATTGGTGTCCTAAACTTTCGAACCATCCAACTTGTTGACTGGGTGTTTCTGACATAGCAAATGTTCAACAAATAATGTTTTCGGCTGTAATCTTGATTTTGGTGGGTTTGAACATTTAGGAACTTTCCCCGATTTGGATCTGAACCATGTTCACTGCTGCGCCGCCCTTCGCGCAGTTTGCGGAGCTTCGCGGCAAGCATTTCTCGGTGACTAAAGCGCAGGAGGGGCACCTGGCAGCCACCAGCAGCCAATTTGACGACTTGAGATAGATGAAACGGGCAAAATTGACCTTGAATATAATACGTGGAACAACTTAGTCTAAAATCACTCTGTAATCATTTATGTCTGCCTTCAACTCTCTAATTTTTGCCTTTTACTTCTGCAAACATGAAGGCAGCAGTTGCGGAACTGTCAACTTCTCCCCTCCAACTTTTGTTCGCCTCCCTGAGCCAAGCAACTGGGTTTGTTTGAACATAAGATACCCCCAAATCTGATGGTTTTCTGATGGTTTAGAATTCATTTCCCCATGATGGCCAGCCATGGGGGTATACAAACCCCATTTTCAGGTGCACACCCAAACTTTCATATCAAGCCGGCTAAGATCCTCAACCAAAATCCCTCAAAGTGTTGGTCAAAGTTTCTTATTGTTAATTAAACCTCCATTGGTTGGTCTATACTTAGCCAACCAAGTGACCAGGAAGAGAGCCAAGTGATCATCAAGAACCTCCAGCAGTCCTTGAGTCTGGCTGAAGGAAAGGCAGGAGCCGATGGAGCACTCAGTTGGACCAATCTTGGCACCAAATGGAGCTATTGCGCGAAAAAACGAGGATCTGTATTGTTGCACATAGATATGTGTACATACATGTGTATATTTCATGCCTCCTATAGACCTGACATACTTTTTCGCCAAGGTGATTGACATCCGCCAGCTGCCGGCCAGGTTCCCCAGCTGGAAAAGATGCTGTCGGATGTAGAGGTGCCAATGATCCTACTGGATGTGTGACACCCGATGTTCCGGGCCTGAATCTGCCCCTCTCATAGACCTTTGAAGCCCCACGGAAGATGATCACCACGGTGTTCATTGGATTTTGGACATTTCTTGACCTGCACTTTCCATGCAAAATTCATGGAACATTTCTCCAGGACAAGGACGAGAAATTGCAGAAGCAGCTGAAGGAGGAGGTCCCCAAATTCAGTCGGTCAAAAGATTTCAGGGGTATCCCTAATATCCCATTTTTGGACAACCCACTTGTTTTCAAGCCATTGTTGTTGGTTTGCTACCTAGGCCATGGTCAACGTTTTGTATCACAGTGCCAAAACTGCTGATGCAATCCATGTGTTTTGGGCTACGCGTATTTTGGCTAAACATATGGGGTTTTGATACAACCACGTTTTTTTTTTGGGATGAGATTCATTTTTTTTCATAAGGGTTCCTCCAAAAAAAGGGTACCCGAAAATCCATTGGTTAATCCTCACATATCATCTTCCGTATTACCCCACTTTCCGCTTCTTCGATGCAGTTCTCCACTCTGGGAGTCGATTCATGTGAGGCACGCCTACGGGCTGAAGCTGAAGCAACGGTGCAGCAGCCAGAGCCTCGTGTCACTGAGAAATTGACCATGTATATGTATGTATATATATATACATATATATATATGTTATATTATATCATATATCATATATCATATATAATATATCATATATCACATATTATATATTATATATCATATATCACATATTATATATTATATATTATATATTATATATTATGTATTATATATTATATATTACATATTACATATTATATATTATATATTATGTATTTTATAATATTATAATATTATATATTATATATTATATATTATATATTATATATTATATTATTATATATTATATATTATATTATTATATATTATATATTATATATTATATAGTATATAAATATATATTCTATATTATATATTATATATTATAAATTATATATTATATATTATATATTATATATTATATATTATATACTATATTATATATTATATATTACATATTACATATATTATATATTATATATTATATATTATATATTATATATTATATATTTTATATTATATATCATATATTATATATTATATATTATATATTATATATCATATATTATATATTATATATTATATATTATCTTATATATTATATATTATCTTATATATTATATATTAAATTATATATCATATATTAAATTATATATTGTATATTAAATTATATATTATATTTTATATATTATACATTATACATTATACATAATATATTTTGTATATTATGTGTATGTTTGGAATCTCATGGGACTCAATGGGATTTATCCTCCAGTAATAATGATTCATAATGATTAATTCGATCATAATTGCTTAATGGTGACTAGTGCGATATTAGTGGATATACTCTCCGATCATCAACGTGGCTGGCTGGAAAATCCTGCTATAAAATGAAGGTTTTGATGAGACAATAAACGTTTTTGAATGGTGGATTTTCCATGGCCGGATGTTTGATTACCGGAGGGTAATGTCTGGGATATATATGTACAATAATGGGTACTAATCCATGGAATTAATTTCTAATAAATTCCCACAAGGTTTGTTGGGCAGATGGAAATTCATGGTTTTACAATGGATTTACCTTCTCTCAACGAACATAACCCTGTGTTTTTTTGGAAGATGTGTAGGTTGGGGCATGGTATAATCCAGATGGACACATGGATTGAAATGGGATCATATAGGCATCACAGGAAGTCACTATATATATATATATAACCCTTTCTGACACCTGGATGGTATTTCAAAAGACATGGTTGTAAATCAGCAGTAAACTTGGATTAAAATGGGTCACATGAGTCATATGCCTCATAATTTTGTTGCTTCTCGGACCCAGAGACTATTTCATGAATACACATGGGGATAATCCGCTTCTTTTATTATGCTAGCCATTTTTGGCGAGCATCACATTTTGACCCATCCGGCCGCCGCCAACAGTTCATACAAAACACATCCCTAATTCATCAAGAATCGGGTGAGGTAGGAGTGGAAGCACAGTTCAGCATCTTGGTTTTCTTTTGACCTAGGGACCTTTGAAACCATTGGTTCTCCTCCTCCAAATTTTGAAGGATTTCTCATACCCAGTTTCTTCGAGAAACCACCGCGGAGACCTTGAAACTGCAAAAGGATTCGATAGGGGTGTTGTAGCATGTTGAAACTCAGTCTGAAGAAATTATGGTTTGACTCCAAGCACGGCATTGCAAGTAACGAACTCAGCTGATGTATCATGGCTTTATCTCAACGTCGAATAGTTTATCATCAATTTGTCCCTATTAAAATGACATAAATTGGGGTACCCCATCTTCAGACACACCCTCATCATGCCAGCTGGGGCGGATGCAGGTCCACTGCTGCTGCCGAATCTGCGGCCAAGGAGGTTGGAAGTCAAAGTGGCGGGAAATTGACCACGGCATTGGAACATCAGTGTATTCAGATGGGTTGAACATGTTGAACATTTCATGCCATTTTCCCATGATTTTCCAAGTGCCATGTTTGTTTACCAGAGGTTCTTCATTTTCGATGCCATGGCTTGGGACGCGTTTTTTTTAACGCTGGGCGCAAACGCTTTCCGCAGTTTGCTGAGCTGCGGGGAAAGCACTTCACCTTGACCCAAGTCCAGGATCCGATGGGGCTGATGGGCTATTGTGGAACCCAATTTATGTAGAGATTCAATACTAAAACCAAGATTTTGGGGAGATGTTGATACCCAGGGGTCAGTTATCACATGATATCACCGTCCACTCTCTTATGGTGCTTTTTTAGGAGGAGAGTCAAGCGGTGATCCAAAATCTTCAGCAGTCACTGCGTGCCGCAGAAGACAAGGTGGGGGAACATCCGTTGAAACCGGTAGACACTGCGGGAAGGGCCAGAGAATTGATCTCCAATCCCTCCAGGTCCAGAAATTGTGGCACTTTGAGCACGGAATCATATACTGTAGAAATTTCCTAAAATAGGGGTACCCCCATCGACTTTAATAGGATTTCCCATTATAAACCATCTATTTTGGGGTAACCCCATTTTAGGAAGCCCGCATATAAGCTGTTGTGGCGTCTACCTGCGATTTGGGTGTGGAGGAACTTATTTGCGCCAGCCAAAATGTGAGGTGCCCAGCCTGGAGAAGCAGAAGGCAGAAGTTCAGGACGCTGGGGGGTAGAACCTGTCTGATTTTTCCCATATGGGGATTAGCTTAGGAAAGTTGGGATAGCAGTGGGCACACAAAACTGGTGATGTGGGCTCAACAATTTTGATCCATCGCCACATGAACGTCATCAACAAATCAACCACAAGAGTTTCCCCCCAAAAAAACTGAGTCTGGTCCCTTAGGTGTCCAGCGATGCGACAGCATCATTGAGCCAAGGCACAGCTGGACGCAGCTCGCGCGGAAGTGGACGGCCTGCTGCTCCAGAAGGCAGTGGCCGGAGTGTCATGATCATCATTCTTATGGTTATTGATGTTATTGATTAATATTGTTTAGTATAACCATAATGTGTTATTCTAAGGTATTATTAGTATATGGTTATTTACGGGGTCATTGTCAGTATACTATAATATCATACAGGTATCTTATTGTGGTATAGCAGGGTTATATAATTATTATTAGCATATTGTTCTTCTCCGCATGTTTGAGTTTCTTGGATGGTTTAAGCTCTTTTTAAGTTGTAAAGTGGAGGTGGGCCGAGGTGGGCATTGGTCATGTTTTTACATCACAAACGGATAGAAGCGGGCAAATGAAGATTTCGAACACAGTATCTCAGTATATTCTGTTGATCTTGGGAATTTTGGCCTGGCACTGTAAACGTCAACTCCGTTGCTGTGAGCATGGCATTTTTTGTGCTGGAAAACTGCTGCCTTCGGCTCCTGGTTTCCGCAGGAACAAAACAAAGTGGAGGTGACGGATCTCCAGAACTCCCTGCGGCTGGCTCAAGAAGAGGCGGGGTGAATGAACCGGGTGAACGTTGCGAACACAAAACAGCGAGGACGGAAACCAAACTACCCACTATAGGCCATATAGTTACGGATGATGATCCATGAACTGGATTCCATCTCTTTGCTTGAATCGGTGAATGTATCTGCAAGAAGTAGGGGGAAGGCCAGCCAGACGCTTGACCTGGATACCTGGGTTGCAGGTTCCAAAGTTGCAGGGCCAGCTTGCCGAAGTTGAGGCCGCAGCAGACTTTTCCAAACATTGGGGATGCCGATTTTTCCACCCTTTGATTGCCCAGATTTGGGGGTCCTCTTGATTTTGTAAATCGACAATAGATCATATCATATCATATCCAAATTTACCAGAAATTGGTGATAGAAACTATAGACATCCCCACTTGGAGGTTTATGAAGGGGATTGCGACATTACTTTTGGATAGACCCAACAAGAGTCTTCGCAGGGATCACCTTTGATGATCATTCAGGTTTGGTGGATGGTTTCAAATGCTCATAAAAAGATGGCGATGTCATGATCTCATCAGCAAAACCTGGGAAAACATCAAACATAGTTGTGATAGTGTTGATATCATGGTGCTATTAGCCAACAGCTCTTTGGTCGTTTAAAATCTCCATTAAACATAGGGGGTTCAAAGTCAGCAGACAAACGGACCAACTGCAACAGTGCCACAACTGCTTGGTGCTTTCAAGTGTGTTTGGCGTCCATCCATCCCCCTAGAATTTGATGATTGTCCCAATTGACGAATGGGGGTTTATTAAACAGAAATTGGGACACCCCTATTAGCAATTTTCATGGGACATCGTATTTTTCAAATCCATTGGAATAGGAGGTACCTCATCAGACCAACCGCTAGATTCATCCCCAAAAAGAGGAACCACAACAATTGGCAAACCATTTGGGAAGAGATCATCGTCGATTTCACCAACCGCCATGGCCATGGCCCAGGGGCAACTCGCAGCGGCCCTTGCAGAAGTGACTCACCTCAAGGCTGAAAAGGTGGGACCCGTGTCATGGCTGAGATGTGGCACCATCAATGGAGATTTGAATGGAGAAATCAGCTATAAATGGCTATAAATGAAGATTTTGACATGGCAATGTTTGATTACAAGAGCATGGGAAAATTATGAGAATCCATGAGGTATTGACAAGTCTTGACATTTTGGACACAAGAAATTTGTGTACACACCCAAACGAAGGTACATCATTGAATGGGACTGAATGGTGAATTTAAGTTAGCTTGCCTTTTGACATCAACAATGTGTGGAGTGTTGTGGATTCTCTCTCTTCTTATTGTTTTTGTTTGATGTTGTTGTTTTTATCTCGATTTAGAAAGGATCATCCACCGCAGGAACTTAGCGAGGCTGTGGTGAAAGACCTTCAGCAAGCGTTGGCTAAAGCCGAAGACCAGGCTTCAGAAAGCCGCAGCGCTTTGCAGCAGCAAAATTGCTTCACAAGATGGTGCATGGTATGCCCTCATGAATTCTGTTGGGGAAAACGGATCATGGACCTCTAGGAAATATGGGGTTATGGACCAAGACCAAGTTTCTGGGTCCATCGAAAGCCCCCTCATAATAAGGGCCCAGCCATCCTCACCTTTGGATGTGGGGCTCAGGGCAGCTACAAAAAGATGGATACAATGGTTCCATGAGATTTGGTAATGGCTCGGGCTTATGGGTATGTGAAAAAAGTGGATGGTTAAATCATGTTAAATACTAGAGTTGACATGAACTGACCAACATGCCTGGGTCCTTTGGTATCCCATTCTTGAGCCACCAGGATCTTAAACTGAGACGGTTCCTGGCAGCTTGGTGCAGGTTCCAGTTCTCGAGAAGCGGCTCGCGGAAGTTGAGGCGCCCCCAATTGGGGCCGCAGTTTTGGGGGGACACCCAGGCCTGTGCCGGCCCAAAAAAAATGGAAGGCTTATGTTGGCAGGCATCAAACAATGCTCCCCAAAAGCAGCCAACAACACGTGGGTCAAGGGGTACATTTCGATGGTCAGATGTCATCAAGGGTAACCCAAGAAACAGATAAACAACAGATAAACAACAGATCAACAACAGATAAAAACAGATAAAAGCAGATAAAGAGCAGATAAACAACAGATAAAAACAGCTAAGCTAAACACAGATAAACACAGGCAAAAACAGATAAACACAGCTAAGCTAAACACAGATAAACACAGATAAAAACAGATAAAAACAAAAAACAGATAAACAACAGATAAAAACAGTGGGTATAGTGGGTCAAGGGCTGTCAAGGGCACATGTTGATCCAGGCGCGAAACTGTCAGACCCTTGCAGACCTGGCCGCCGCGGAAGCTGACGGTTCCCAGGCGCGGGTCCGAGCTCAGTTGCCTGGTGAGGCCTGTTTGTCGAATGAAGGTGTTCAATCTGTTCAGTTTACTTTCTTCTCTTAGGCCTCTTGGGGGGGTCGTATTTTTCAACATTTTTCAACATTTTGGTGCCTGCACACTGGCCCAAGGTCAAAGATCTGCAGGACAAAGGGGGAGATGGCAGATTGAGACCCAAATCATCCTGCTGAAATCTGACAACCCGTGGCTCTCTCCAGGGATTTGGAAGTTTTGTTTGGATATCACAACTTTGGTGGGCTGGCAGCTCAAACCCAAGACTTTCTGAAGTTTGCTTGTCAGGATCCGCAAGACCCGTAGATTCAAAATGTGAACAAATCAACACGTCCAAAACTGGTGGCCCCTCACATATTCCTCCAAAGATCACCCAAGATTCACGGTGCTTTTTCAGCAGAGACCCCAGAAAAGATGGCGGGAAACCAGGCGAAACCAGGCTGAAACCGTTGGAAACCAGTTCGGCACATGGATCTTTTGTACATGTTGCCACCCAGACACACTGTGACGCAGACGTCGTAGTCATTTTAGAACCGTAGTTCTCACCCCAAGTTGCAACTTGGCAACCCTTGGTAGGAAAATGGGTTGATTTTTATGAGGGGCATAGATAGTGATTATCATATCCCCCTATGATTCCTATGATGTTGATAGTTTCAGCCATCATATCAACATCGTGCCAGGAGCAATTGACTGCTGCTCGTGCTGCGATGGCAGACTTGGTCACGGACAAGGCGGACTGCTCTGGGTCTTTTCCTGGTGGGCCTGGTGGGGGAAAGGATGATCATGCGAGCCATGCGCTGGATTTTGGCGTCCATTTTCAGACAAACTCACGGATACACGCTTGTAATCAACAGTGGCAATGGGAAATTCAGCACGGGTTTTAATTGGGCAGACCTTTTTATTTTATTTTTCAGTAGGCAGACCATCTACCACAGGGGGATCTATCAGCAAACCAGGAAGGCAAATTCTTTTTGATTACTCCCAACTGCCCAAGTCGTGGCGAACTCCCAAAAATCTTGAAATTAGCTTGGGGGAAGGCTTTTGTGGAAGTCGTGGCGATGCGGCGTTTAGCTTGTGTTTAGGGTAGGTTGCTGTTTTACTATCTCATGTAGACCTAAAGTGGCGAAGCGGCGTTTAGGTTGTGTTTGGGGTAGGGCGTTGTTTTACTATTAGCATAGTGCTTTAATCTTGCTAGTTACGTTCTCATTGTGTTTGGGATGGTTGCTGTTGGGTTCTGCAGCTACTGGGGTCTTGCTGTTGCTGCGGCTGCTGGTTCGACGGCTGCTGCTGTTGCTGTTTGCGGGTACTTCTACACAACGCTGAGATTATCATCTCTACACTGCCATGGCGGTGTGCTGGGATTCTGCAAATTGTCATTGTTTCGCTACCAGTGATCCAAGGAAGGGCAGGTTTGCGGCTTGCCGGCCAAAGTCCATGTGTGTAGATGCGGGGCTTTTTCCGTACCTCGTTTTGGACCTCGTTTTTTTCTTTTATCAGAACCCTTCCTGCAGTATACAAACTAGGAAAAGGCCTGCTTCGCGTTTTTGTTTGTGGGCGTCAACAGTGCCCACGAAAAAAGGCCCGTTGGAAACCGGCGTTCCGATGGGATTCGATCAATTAAAGGACCGGATAACCCCACAAGTCAACTTCTCCCTAAAATTAGCTTCAATGGTTTTAGCGGGGACAGGGAAGCAAAGAAAGACAAAGGAGATGGTGAAAGATCGAGAAGGTAAAATGGTAGGTATGTATGTATGTATGTAGGTCGGTAGGTAGGTAGGTAGGTATGTATGTATGTATGTAAGTTGTTTGTGAGTAGGTTGTTTGTGAGTAAGTTGCTCCGCTTTCTACGAGTTCCACCAGGCTGTGTTATCAAAGCGATGGTGTGCTCAGTTGACTTCTGCTGACCAAAGTAATGTTCTGCACTCTTTCGGGTGCAGCCGCAAATGTTTGCAGATTTGAAGTGACTCCATGTTTGCAGATTTGTTTTGCTTGTTTTGGAAGTTTTCAGATTTTAGAGTTTGTTCAGTGTTGGGACAGTAGATGTGAGTTTGTGCCACGCCTGCCACGTGAAACGAAGGTGGATGTCAGGTTGTGCCACGCCTGCCACGCAAAGTGGCGCGGCGCCCCGGCGCCAAATCCCGGCCCAAGGGCGCCACCCAGTACCATAAGTGGCACGCCTGCCACGCAAAACGACGGTGGATGTGAGTTTGTGCCACGCCTGCCACGTGAAACGAAGGTGGATGTCAGGTTGTGCCACGCCTGCCACGCAAAGTGGCGCGGCGCCCCGGCGCCAAATCCCGGCCCAAGGGCGCCACCCAGTACCATAAGTGGCACGCCTGCCACGCAAAACGACGGTAGATGTGAGATTGTGCCACGCCTGCCACGTGAAACGAAGGTGGATGTCAGATTGTGCCACGCCTGCCACGCAAAGTGGCGCGGCGCCCCGGCGCCAAATCCCGGCCCAAGGGCGCCACCCAGTACCATGAGTGCCACGCCTGCCACGCAAAACGACGGTAGATGTGAGTTTGTGCCACGCCTGCCACGCAAACCGAAAGTAGATGTGAGTTTGTGCCACGCCTGCCACGCAAAGTGCCGCGGCGCCCCGGCGCCAAATCCCGGCCCAAGGGCGCCACCCAGTACCATAACGCCTGCCACGCAACTGATGTGAGTTTGTGCCACGCCTGCCACGCAAACGACAGACAGCCTGCCACGCAAAGTGCCGCGGCGTGGCGCCCAAGCCAGTCCAAGCGCGCCACCCAGTGCCATGAGTGCCACGCCTGCCACGCAAAACGAAGGTAGATGTGAGTTTGTGCCACGCCTGCCACGCAAACCGACAGTAGATGTGAGTTTGTGCCACGCCTGCCACGCAAAGTGCCGCGGCGTCACAGGCGCCCAAGCCAGTCCAAGCGCGCCACCCAGTGCCATGAGTGCCACGCCTGCCACGCAAAACGACGGTGATGTGAGTTTGTGCCACGCCTGCCACGTGAAACGAAGGTGGATGTCAGGTTGTGCCACCCTGCCACGCAAAGTGCCTGACGGTAGATGTGAGTTTGTGCCACGCCTGCCACGTGAAACGAAGGTGGATGTCAGGTTGTGCCACGCCTGCCACGCAAAGTGGCGCGGCGCCCGGCGCCAAATCCCGGCTCAAGGGCGCCACCCAGTACCATAAGTGGCACGCCTGCCACGCAAAACGACAGTAGATGTGAGTTTGTGCCACGCCTGCCACGTGAAACGAAGGTGGATGTCAGGTTGTGCCACGCCTGCCACGCAAAGTGGCGCGGCGCCCCGGCGCCAAATCCCGGCCCAAGGGCGCCACCCAGTACCATAAGTGGCACGCCTGCCACGCAAAACGACGGTAGATGTGAGTTTGTGCCACGCCTGCCACGTGAAACGAAGGTGGATGTCAGATTGTGCCACGCCTGCCACGCAAAGTGGCGCGGCGCCCCGGCGCCAAATCCCGGCCCAAGGGCGCCACCCAGTGCCATGAGTGCCACGCCTGCCACGCAAAACGACGGTAGATGTGAGTTAGTGCCCCAAGCGCCCCACACAGTACCATGAGTGCCACGCCTGCCACGCAAAACGACGGTGGATGCGAGTTTTGTGCCACGCCTGCCACGTGAAACAAAGGTGGATGTCACCAAGTGCCACGCCTGCCACGGATGTCACCAAGTGTGTTTTTGTGTGTGTGTGTTGTGTGTGTGTTGTGTGTGTGTGTGTTGTTGTGTGTGTGTGTGTGAATGTCACCAAGTGTCTTTTGCGCGTGTGTGTGTGTTGTTGTGTTGTTGTGTGTGTGTGCGTGTTGTGTGTGTGTGTGTTGTTGTGTGTTGTGTCTGTTGGTGTGTGTGTGTGTGCATGTGTGTTGTGTGTGTGGTTGTGGTGACAAAGTGTATGTTGATAAAGCGTGTGTGGACAAAGTGTTTGTGGACAAAGTGTTTGTGGACAAAGTGTGTGGTGACAAAGTGTGTGTGGACAAAGAGTGTATGTTGATAAAGCGTGTGTGGACAAAGTGTTTGTGGACAAAGTGTTTGTGGACAAAGTGTGTGGTGACAAAGTGTGTGTGGACAAAGTGTGTGTGGACAAAGTGTTTTGGACAAAGTGTTTGTTGATAAAGTGTGTGGTGACAAAGTGTGTGTGGACAAAGTGTGTGTGGACAAAGTGTTTTGGACAAAGTGTTTGTTGATAAAGTGTGTGTGGACAAAGTGTGGAGGAGGGCGGAGGAGGAGAAGGCGGAGGAGGAGCCCGGGATACAGAATCAAAAACAAGAACCCCACACAAAGATGTGGGGAAAAACGAATAGAACCATGATAGTTTGGGCAAGGCTTGTTAAAGCTAGCGTTTCTCAATGGGGAAAGGGGTTTTGCAAGGTCTGTGCCGGGACAGGGGTCGTGGCGAGCGTTTTGATTGGGAATAGCTGTCAAACGCAAACATTGCAAGGACTTTGGCGTATGGGTGTAGCTGAACCTCAATGGTAGCAACTCACGGTTCGTCCGACCGTTTTGATGGAGGGGATGCCGGCTGCCTGGTTTCAAAATGGGACCCTACGATTTGTCCATGCTCATGTCATCTTATAGCGTTATACATCACTAGGAGAAGAAACACCTGTTCAAAGCCGGTGATGTTTGCCCATGAGTTTAGTGTCCTTTTTCACACCTTGGAAAGGATGGTTGTTGATTCTTCCACCCGGGGTCGGTGCCGGATCGCAACAAGCTGAAGCATCGCACCTTAGTAGGAGCGGGTTTGGTTTTTGACTCACCAGATTTAGTGGACATGGACATTTTCTGACTTCGTATGTCAGTTGTCCTGATGAAGACCCTATAAGAGGCGTATCCCGGTAGCAGCCCCACAGGAAGAGAGCCTTGCGACCATTAAGAATCTGCAGGGATCATTGAGCCAAGCCCAAGAGCAGGTGGGCAGCCCAGGGCTGTGATACCTTTGATTTACAATGGAGCGTGTAGGATCACAGGGATTGAACACGTATCAGGTCGAAATATGTCGCATACCGAATTGCCGAATCCTATCATGTTACCATACCGTATCATGTCAACATATCATGTCAACGTATCATGCTAACATATGTTAACGATTATCATGGTATGGAATCGACTTTGCTGTGGCCGCATCGAAAGATACTCTCTGCCCGAAGGAATGTATATATGACTGTGTCTGTGTCTGAAAATATACTGTAGTGTATACTGTAAACATGGGCATTTAATGGGGATGCTGATGATTCACCACCAAACTCAGGAGTACCTTATTTTCAGACAAACCCACATATATATATATAATTATATTAGTAGATATATAATTTATAATGTTATTCATGTTACAATTAAATATATTAACCGATTAACCCTATATTCACCCGTATATAATTATATATTATATATATAATATTTATAGAGATAGAATACTATGACTCACATCTCCTGCCTGCATCGCTCCCCATATAGAGTCGGAGCGGCCTTTAGGTCCCCCAGCTGCAGAAAGAGCTGCGGGAAGCAGAGGTCCGTTGCGCCAGAACTTGCCTGAAATGGTGGTAGAAAGCACATCAATAAGTGGACCAAGCTAACCAAACTAGATCATATGATTTCATGGTTGATGAACGTTGATAAAAGTTGATAGATGTTGATAAACGTTGATCATATCTGATGAACACTGATAAAACATTGATAAACGTTGATAGGTGGATACGATTTTAGCTTTGGAATGATAGTCATGATAGTTCTTGAGTCGAACAAATGTTTGGAGATGTTTTCAATGATATGTTTCGAGGTTGGAGCACGTCTGGGAAAGAACACAACGGTCAAAAGATTCTGAAATGGAATTTCCTAACAGGATTAGTTGGACGGCCCCGTAATCCAGTACCAGCACTGGTACGTGTACATATATATGTGGGTATTGATCTAAAGGTCCTTGTAAGGAGATTGCAATGACCGTTCATAATCGTTCATATTGTCCCTCGCGATTTGTTTGTTTCTTTCCGATTTTGCGAAAGTAACATTTTCATTCGCGAAATATTTGTTGGAACTCAATATCATGAATCACCATAATTGCATATAATCTATAAGGGAGACTTTCGCGAGAGTTCCGCCAGAGTTACGCGCAGGATCGGGCGAATATGAAAGTGCATTTTGAAGGGGATGGCCCAGCAAGCACACATGTAAGCCCAACATATACTTATACATACGTGTCCAGATCATCACAAATCTATGGAATTAGTTTCTAATTGCCTAAGCATATCATATCATATAGTTAATTAGAGTACATCTAATATGTAGATATGCTATGATATACTACCATATCATACTATATCAATAGATCTACTACAATATGATCCATGGGTCCCCAGGTCATTATCTCCACACTCAAGCAGATGTCTTCTCTGCAGGCACGGCTGACCGCCGCCGGCCATGATCTTGGGCGCTTGCGCGAGGAGAAGGCGTGGGGCCCAAAAAACAACCCATAAAAATGGGTTATCCTAGGTATGAACAGTGGGTCGCTTAACGGTTTTTATGGGATGTGACCTAAGGATTGAGTTGTGAGATGTTTTAAACGCAAGAATTATTGGGGATCTACTGGCATTCCCCCACAAATATGTGTTAGACAATATGAGATAAATGCATGTAATCTCTTCTACACAATTGTAAGCACCCCAAAACTGCTTCCCTGCACCTGCACTTCAACAGATTCAACACAAAACGTGGGATTCTAGGGTGCTTTTTATGATTCGGGGAAACACATTATTCAAAGCTCCAGAATTCTTGGGCAAAGGATTCTGAACCATACTCAGATGATTCGACTGGGAAGACTGTGAATTTGACGTGTGAAAATGGGGCTGTTGAAACAGCAATACTGGGGCATTGAACACTATCAACAATGGTTGCTTGGCAAACCAAAATGGGGGTTGAACCACGAACATGGCAGGGTTGAACTCGGAGTGGAACCAACATAGAACTCACAAAAATAGTGATTTTAACCAACCATTTTGAATCGACGGCCATGTCACCGAGAGTATACGGCTTTGTCCGGAAATGGGGTACCCCTGAATCCCATACTGTATCAGTTTTTTTCTTCCCAAACTTGCAATTTTGGTTTGTTGACAAGTCCATATGTCGATATTCTGAAATTGTCTGCAGGTTGTCTTTTGAGGGTAGCTGTTGTACTTCCTATCTGCATCCTCTGGAGGTTCCGAAGTTGGAAACCCAGCTTCGGGAAGCGGAGGTTCGATTGAACGGCCGGGGGTGGAACGCGAATTTTGGTCATTTATAACTTGGTTAACTGAGGTTGATAATGAACATATCTACAGTCGGATTGGTTTATAATTTATAAAGGTTTCTGCCAAGCCCCCGCCGTCTCCAACGCAAGACACAATTTAAGCGTGCTTTTTTGAAAGCAGTTTTCAGCTGAATTGTCAGCTCAGCACTGCTTGCCTGAGGGGCGGCGGCTGCTTGAGCAGCTTTGCTGTGAAATCAAGGTTCACGCAACCAATTTGTCCAGTCCAACGCGCGGCGCTGGACGCTGGAGACCTTTAACCGTCAGCTTGGCAGGCGCTAAAAGCGATAATGAAAACCCGGTATGCACCTGGTGTCCGGCAGTGAGCTATTGAAGTAATGCCAGGCGCATCCCAACTTGGAAGCAAATAATGATCAATAATTTATGTTGGTGCCAGGTTGTGCCTTTTGAGGCAACATGTCTACTCGGTTTGCTGCTCTTTTTTGCCTCGCATTTTTGCTAACTTGACCGGCATGTTGCCGCCTAGTTTGCCGGGGTTCGGCCGGCTGGTTGGCCAGGGCCGAAGCCACGATTTTCATCTTGTTTCTGGGGAGTGTTTATACTCCCAGGCTTACTCCAACTTATAAATATTAATAAAAACTCAGGTGTTTCCTTCCTGAAGAATTTGAAGCACATCCATTTGTCCTTCCACCTATTGTCCACTTTTAACTCTTGGATCACACTCCTGGGTATGTTCTTGTTTTTTCTTGAATAACCCTAATTACTTTCCAAACATTGAAAGGACAGAATTCCAGATGACATCCGAACTTCTGACAAGTTTGGATGGTCAAATCCACATTTTTTGGTGGTTCAGTTCAATCCCATTTTCGATCGAGAAATCCAATCTTTGATGGTTCAAGTCAATTTTTGATGGATACATCTAATTTATTTGTAGATAAATACAATTTTTGATGGTTCACGCTCATTCTTGATAGATAAATCCAACTTTTGATGGTTCAAACCAACTTTTGATGGTTCAAGCCCATTTTTGATAGATAAATGCAATATTTCATGGTTCAAGCCAATTTTTGATGGTTCAAACCCATTTTTGATGGTTTAAACCCATTTTTGATAGATAAATCCAATTTTTGATGGTTCAAATTCATTTTTGATAGATAAATCCAACTTTTGATGGTTCACGCTCATTCTTGATAGATAAATACAATTTTTGATGGTTCAAACCTATTTTTGATGGTTCAAACCAATTTTTGATAGATAAATCCAATATTTCATGGTTCAAACCCATTTTTGATGGTTCAAACCAACTTTTCATGGTTCAAACCCATTTTTGATAGATAAATCCAATATTTCATTTCAAGCCAATTGTTGATGGTTCAAACCCATTTTTGATGGTTTAAACCCATTTTTGATAGATAAATCCAATTTTTGATGGTTCAAATTCATTTTTGATAGATATCTCCAACTTTTGATTGTTCACGCTCATTCTTGATAGATAAATCCAATTTTTGATGGTTCAAGCCTATTTTTGATGGTTCAAACCAATTTTTGATAGATAAATCCAATATTTCATGGTTCAAACCCATTTTTGATGGTTCAAACCTATTTTTGATGTTTCAAACCCATTTTTGATAGATTAATCCCTGGCAGTTCAAAAAATTTCGCAATTGTTGACCTTTTCCAGGAGCGGCTCACAGCTGCAAGCGATGACCTCGCACGTCTCAGGGAGGAGAAGGTGCATCGATTTTGTGGAGGTAAAAAACCTCAAACAGATGAAGAAAAATAAGATAAACTATATAATTATGTATGTATATAATCTGCTATTTGAGTATCATTTTAATCTTAGCTAATGGATTTTGTCTCTTTATCTTTTTTTGGGGTGGGATGTAGCAATGGATGGGTGAAGCCCTCTCTGAGGCCCCTGTGCAAACCACTGATCCCCCCGCAAGAACAAAGCCACCTGGCCATGAAGGAGCTGCAACAGTCCTTGCGAATGGCTGAAGATGAGGCCGGGAGAGGTTGAAGACAAGGCGTTCCTGGTTTCAACTTTCCGTTGATCGGGAGAGGGTTGAAAATGAATGTTTGCCGCATTTTCTGTTTCTTTTGGGCATCCTGAAAGCAAGGCTGATTCGGGGAAACCGATATAGATGAAACTCAGTCAAAACCCAGGTTTGCCAATCTTCTCTTTTAAAGAAGACATGAACTTGGTTATTTATAATTTATACACACTGATATATACACTATATATATGTATATATATACATACAGACATACATATACAGACATACATATACAGACATACATATACAGACATACATACAGACATACATACATGCATACACATACTAATATATGGACATCAATCCCCAAAATTACCACTTGTCCCCATCTCTGCAGAAAACAAAAAACACGCGCAGCTTGTCTCGAGGCGAACCGCTGCAAGGCGGAGTTGGAGGCGGTGCAAAGCAGCAGCTCCCAGGCGGAATTTGGGTGACGCACGTGTGCAGCTTATTGGGGGTCATAATATATTGTCACATCTATCTATCTAATCTAATCTAAATTTATCTGGTTGGTGGTTCGGAACATTTTTTATTTGTCCATATATTGGGAATAATCATCCCAGCTGAGCAATATTTTTCAGAGGGGTTGCAACCACCAACCAGTAATCTAATCTAATCTAAATTAATCTAATCTAATCTGCATTAATCTAATCTAAGCTAAATTAATCTAATCTAATCGAATCTAATCTAACCGAATCTAATCTAATCTTAATCTAATGTAAATCTAAATCTAATCCAAATCTAATCTAATATAATCCTAATCTATCGATCTATCTATCTATCTTTCTGTCTATCTATCTATCTATCTAATCTAACCTATTTCTAATCTAACCTAATCTAATCTAATCTGAATTAATCTAATCTAATCTAAATTAACCTAATCTAATCTAAATTGATCTAATCTAATCTAAATTAATCTAATCTAATCTAATCCAATTCTAATCTTATCGAATCTAATCAAAATTAATCTAATCTAATCGAACCTAAATCTAAATCTAATCTAAATCTAAATCTAAATCTATCTACATCTAATCTAAATCTAATCTAACTCTAATCTAAATCTAAATCCAAATCTAAATTACTTCATCTAATCGAACCTAATCTAACCGAATCTAATCTAATCGAAATTAATTGAAATTAAATCCAATCTAAATCTAAATCTAAATCTAACCTAATCTAATCCTTCCTATCTATCTATCTATCTGATCTGATCTACTCTAATCTAAATCTAATCAAATCTTATCTATCTATCTAATCTAACCGAATCTAATCTAATGTAATCTGATCTAACTTAATCTAATCTAATCTAATCTAATCTAAATTAATCTGATCTAATCTAATCGAATCGAATCTAAATGCACATCTAATCTAAATCTAATCTAATCTAATCTAATGTAATCTAATCTAATCTAATCTAGTATAATCTAATCTAATCTAATCTAACCTAATCCTATCTATCTAATCTAATCTAATCCAATCTAATCCAATCTAATCCAATCTAATCTAATCTAATCTAATTCTAGTCTAGTCATCTAATCTAATCTAAATCTAAATCTAAATTAATCTAATCGAATCGAATCGAAAATCTAATCTAAATCTAAATCTAAACCTAATCTAAATCTAATCGAATCTATTCTATCTATCTATCTAACTATCTACCTAATCTAATCTAAATCTTATCTAAATCTAAATCTAAATCTGAACCTAATCTAATTCTAATCTAATCCAATCCAATCCAATCTAATCCAATCTAATCCAATCTAATCCTATCTATCTGTCTGTCTATCTATCTATCTATCTTTCTTTCTTTCTTTCTATCCTATCTATCCTATCTATCCTATCTATCCTATCTATCCTATCTATCCTATCTATCCTATCTATCCTATCTATCCTATCTATCTAGCTAGCTATCTATCTATCTAGCCTATCTATCTATCTATCTATCTATCTAAATATCTATCTATCTATCTATCTATCTATCTATCTATCTATCTATCTATCTATCTATCTATCTATCTGTATTTGTCTATATATATATATTAATTATCTATATGATCTATAATTACTAGTTGGGCAGTGATCTTCAAACGCCTGTTGATTGATGTTTCTTTTTGCTGGGTTCGACTCTAAATCCGACAAAACCAGTCGCAGTCGGAGGACAGAGGGTCTTGCAAAATGCTCAAAATAGATCTTGAGATCTTGAGTTCTTGATAGAATATCTGAAAAAACAACTAGATGAATAGAGATATGAATGAATTCAAGGTTTGAGAGTGAGAAATTCAAGGTGCCGTAAAAAATTGGATTGTCCTGGCTTGATTCGAATTGCCATTCTGGAACCAAATTGATATCAGATCCAAAGAACGCCCCGTTTTTGCAGGTGATTTCAAGGTGTAACGAGGTATCCAACATCCATGCCATGCCACGCCCCGAAAAGGCGAAGGATTTGCAGGACACGGGACAGTCGAGCAAGTCCCCACCTCTGACGGAAAAATAGGTGAACTAAGCGTCAACCACTGGAGCTTAGAGGCCCAGTGGCTAGTTTCTGTTGAACCACATTTCCCATGGTTTTTTTTGGGATCCTTTTAATATGTATTTGTATGTATGTCTTGTTGGGGGGGGCAGGGCGGAACAAATAGTCTGAAGAAATCGTGTCCATGGCTCAATTGATTTACGGAACAGTTGCCGTGGTGTCGATTCGACTGTCGATGCATGTTCTCGAACGCACCAATCAGAGAGGAAATATGTTACAGCACACTATGTTACACCAGTGCATATTCATTTTAGGTAATTCTACAGGGGGATCCAAGGCTTCTGACTTGCATCCTCTCGAAATCGCCAAATATTGTGCCAAGTCTTCAGTGAACTATTTTGGCACATGCCCAAAATTCAAGCGTTTTTGAAGGCCCCGAGTCGTCATTCCCAATTTTTATGATTATAACCCCCCCACATTTGTAATAATCGCATCCCAATTTTGGATTGTAAACTCCCAATTATTATCAATTGTTCATGTTTCAAATCCATTCAAAATATCGTTTTTCTCATGGTTTTCCATGGTTTTGCGTCAGATAAATGCCCTATATTTTCTTGGTTCGAAATCTTGTTTGAAATCCACTGGAAGCTCAGCCTGGTGCTGACCAGGAGCAGCTGACGGCAGCTCGCGCGGAGATTGCCGATGCGGTGATGGAGAAGGACACGTGGCTTCCTTCCACGTCTCGGATTTGGATGATCTTCCAAAGTGGGGGGGTAAAGCAACAGACAAATTATTAAATTGTGTGATTTGAGAGGATCATAGAGGATATTTAGGGGAATGTAATGGGATGTATCACCAACACTGGTATATAGGTGCGTCTGAAAAATGGGGGATTTACCACCCACTTTATGGCCATTTTAATAGGGAACATCGGGGGTCCAATCCATGAGTTACAATCGGGGGTTGCATATTTTCAGACAAACCCACATGGCTGAATTTTCAGGTGAATGATTTGTTAGACACTTAGATTTATTCAGAGTTTCTTTTGAACAAGATTCATGAGTGATGTATATATATATATAGGTATTTACATACATATATACAGGTTGTAAAACACGTAGCAACTGGAAAGCATATATCCGAGTAAGGGTTGATCTATCTTGATAGACCCAGTTGCAAAAAAGAACCAAAAGGGGTCAACCGGGATCGGTTGCTGGCATCTCTAGAGAACCTTTGACCCACAAAGATTCACAGGTTGAAGCAAGGCCTCTAGTTAGCTTGATGGTGCTTAGTCGGGAATGGGAGAATGGGAGAATGGGAGAATGGGATGATTGTTGATAATCATTATTGCTAAGCACCAGAAAGTTAGAGGACTGTTAGAGGATCATCCCACTTAGTAATTAATAACCATAGTTCTACATAGCCCATTTACTAATTAGAATCACCCCACGAATTGGGACTTACGAACTAGGCTTATTAGCCACTTACTAAGTGGGATGATCCTCCAAGTATGAGTCGGCTACACAAGACCAGCCGTGGTCGATAATGGACTTTTGACGGATCCATGTCAAGTGTGATGCTTCTTGTCCATCTGCGGGACCAGAAAGGTATTGTCTTGATAAGGAACAGGTATATAACATGATCATGTTAGCGATGAGATGATTAATAGTATGATCAACACAGCATCAGCATCATGGTGACTGTCCTGGAATTCTCATCCAGGATTGATGTCCCGGGTGTCCAGATTTTTCCGCAGCACTGGGTTCAAGATGACACTTTTCGCTGCCTAAGAGAGCCCCCGGCGCCCACAGTGCGGAGCCCAGGAAGAACTTGCCATCTTCACAGAGGGGTGCTGCGGAAAGGGTGCCAAAATGACTCAAAAAATTGTTTGAATCTCCAAAATTGGATCCTTCAAAGCTAAATCTGGCCAAGAGTGTGGTAGTTTGGTTGTTTTTATTACACATCAATATATATATATAGATATATAGATATTATACATTTAAATTTGACTCATTTGATGTATATATATATATTGATACACAGTTAGGTATATATATATATATTATATTTACACATACACACAGCCATGGCTGCCTTGCCGCACCTCTTGGTGTCCTACGGCACCTTGGCAGCTAGGAAGTCATGATCCGGCCGGGCACATCTCTGACGAAACAGAAGCAGAAGCAGCGGGTTTGGGACGCCCAGCCCCCCCATGGTTCCCGGTGTTCCCCATGGGTCCACGGCCTGGAGATCATTTGAATTGACTAAGATGAAATATGATGAAATTCCAAATGGTTGTATTAGTCAATTATTGATGTATAATAGTTAATGACTAATTCAATTATTCTATTTGGATGTATTTATGACATTTATGGAATGTCCTTGTAGTTTGTCAGAGTTTAGGCCGACAGAAGTGAGTCCTCTTGGTTCTTGGTTATTTTGGGCACTGGGACAAACAGATCTTCTAGCATTAGATGGGTAGGGTGGTGGTCAACATCGGGTACAGTATATGTTCCCACACCGACCAGTGGATTGTCACTAAACATCTAGAATCTAAAGATGACCGATTTCTTAGAAGACCAATATCTCAAAATCCGGAACCCCATTCGATCCCATTCTCGATTCTCCCCTATATTGAGTAACGAAGCCAGAAATGGGTTTGTCCGAAAATCGTGTGTCCCCGAAATTCAAAGTGTTCAAATTGCCATAGATTGCTAGTAATCCATGGAAATTCATTTTCATTTCACAGTTTTTGGACTAACCCTAAGCCATCCGCAGATTGCGTTTTCATCCCGAGGCGGTGGCTCCGAAAGTCGCGGTGGGAAAGAAAGCAGAGGTGGGAAGAAATGGCATTGGAGAAACATGGGGGAGGAGCATCCAAGACTTGGTGTTTTTTGATCCGAAAATGGGATTTTGACTATCCAAGAATGGGATTTATCAAAACTGGGAAGTTCGATGACACGGAGAGCTGTGACGTGGATCATCAGAAAGCCATATTATTTGGTGCTGGAAACATCTCCTGAAATGTTCATCATGGTTTGCCCATGGTTTTCCCATATGTCCCAACACGTTTCCCATCTGTTTCTCATATGTTTAGTTTATTTTTTCCCATATGTTTTCATGTGCGTTCCATATCTTCCAATATTTTTTCTCATGTTTTGCCTATAGAACCAGCCATCACTTGGGGCTGCAGAAACCATGGCAGACCCATAGTCGCTGAGGCTGCACGGCCTCTACTAGAAGATTTCCTGGCATCATGTGACTACGTAGGCTTGGACTGGGGCTCAACAGAATGGTTGGTGGTTGATCTGGATGGATGGAAATTGGGAAAAGCTGAAAAAATCTTTGGGGAATACTCACAGTATACTTACTGTAAGTTATAGGAACTAAAAGTTAAACCCTACTTTTTGGTTTTGAACATGAAGCCAGGCATGGTGGTTTCTGATCTAGATTTTTGGGCTCTTTACAAGTATATAATATTATAATATGTATATATATATATATATATATGTAATATGTCTTTATCAAGAAAAATGGTAATAGAAGCAGAACATCATAGAGTTACAACTTGGTTTTTAATGATTGACCATATACTTGTTGGGAATATTCACAACACTTAAGTATAAAGTATTTGGCCTTTCGGACTGGTTGATTCCTAAGCGTTGCCAAAGGCACCCATCAGAACTGCAATCATTCCACCATTTTCTGGTCGTAGTGGTCCTGTCTTCATACCACCCCCGACCTCTTCCTGATTGTCGATCTCGAAGATCGTCGTTGTCGCGCCCATGTTTCATCCTTTGGTAGCCTTAGTGCAAGGTATGGATATGGCAGGTCTAGTTGTGGTGGACAGCGGTGGGCTTTTGGCAGCAAGGAAAGAAACAGTTGTTGATTCTTCTCCCCTGAAAGGATCTTGATATGGCAGGAATGGGGGCAACCTGAGAGCTTCTCAGATTCTTTAGATTTCTTTGATTTTGTTCATGGCACTTTGATGCATTCCTTTTTCGGTTTACCCGTTTACCCCTTGGTCGGTTTACCCCAGCCACACAGAACCCTTTGCGGCACCGGTGACTTGCTTTGTGAGCTCTTGGACGTTTGTTCTTTTCCTGGTGGACTAAGAACCCATCCAACAGGACATACATTTAAGGCAGTCCTTGTGTAGTCCTTGTGTGTTTCGGAACTGTGAAGGAGCTGGGTAGGGGTCGTTTTTTTGGCGCTTTGTCGTTTGAGCGTCATTTTCCATCGATGTGTTCCACTCAGCACGTCCAAGTGCGAGGATGGCTGCATCATGGACCAAGAGGGATTTAAAAGTGAAAGCTATTTTAAAGTCATATCTATCGTACACGCCAACCATCCATGTTTGCAGTTGTTTGCCAATCTTGTGGTCATTTTATGTCATTTTCACAGAATTGGATGGGAAGAATTTGACCAGAAGCCCTGAATAATTTATTTGATCCTTTATCTGTATATAATATTATATAACAATCCTCTATATATCAATAGCAAAAAACCATGGTTTTTTCGATGTTTCACGTCACGTCTTTCCATCATTTCCCTAACATCTTCCAGCCTTTGCGCCACGTCCGGAGGCGCCATCACCCTCTTGGAGTTCGAACGGAAGGCCCGAGAGGCCAGGCCGCGCTGCCATCAGTACCTGTTAATGGGGATATGCCGGGGATAATGGGGATGATCAGTAGAATTCTATTCAAATTTAACTGTTATGTAATATACCTGGCTGGGGAGTATTACAAAGATGAAACCACCAATCATCCTCGTCCGGGAAAGGTGTACCTTTTTTGACAGGGCGAATCTGAAGCAGCTATGGCTTGGTGAAATCCCCATGAAACACAGCTGCACCGCAAATGAACTCCTATCGGCCTATCCCATCTCATGAAAAACGGTTTCCCATTCCGATGGCTTCTTATTTTGATTTATTTTGTTGATAGGTTCGCTTTCCTATGGGTTATATATGATATATATATGTATATATATATACATACACATGTCATATTTGACCTGGGATGATTGGATCCCATTGACCTAATGGTATCTTAGAAACCACGAGAGTCTCCTGTGGAGGTTTCCAAAACCATGGGCCAATGGGGGGGGTAGCTCCAAATCATCCAGTAATGACCATGGCCCGCAGGATCGACCTCATCTTCTGATGTGGCTGGCCTACTGCTACTTCCACAATGGTGACTATAAGAAGGCCATCGATGCCTACGATGATGCCATGCGGAAGGCTGGTGGCTGTTGGGTGTTGGATGGAGCTCCCAACTACTTGGTTTAATGATGTAGATGATGATGTTTCATGATGTTTAAGGATTATTTCCAGTCTTTTTTTGTTCTGATTGGAAAACATTGATTGTTGCGAGTGACCCCATATAGCGTCTCCATGAAGAGCATGTGTGGCTTACTCTACGAGAAGATAGCATGTTGATGAACCTTTCATATTCTGATGAATGATTCACAGATGTTTTTGCGCGGGACTAAGAGCATGAAACTGCAATACCTGCGGGATTCACGTTGCACTTGTCATCATTGACGACTCAGCAAAAAGGTAGTAGCCATGAATGGTGGCCACTGGTGAGATGTGAGGAGAATGATTCAAACATCTACGCCTACAAAGCTTGCTGCTATTATGCACTTTGCCAGTATCAGGTGCCCCGGGCCCCGTGTGGGGTGTTGTGTGGTGTTCACACCTTGCTTTTGGATAGGAGTTGTTGGATTTTTTGAAATTGGCAGCATGACTTGGGGGAAGTGTGGTTGGTTGTGGACTGTCACGACTGAGGCTGTTGGGTGCTTGCCACTGTCTCATTTGCCAGTATTTGTCTCATTTCACCACCTGTATCTGTTGGGACGAACGCAGCTGACGACATCATTTGGTAGGGTTTTCAACAGCCAATCAGAGAACGGAATTGCAGCAAATGGCATCAAACTGGTACCTGCTTACAATAGCCACTTACCTTTGGTATATTCTTCACTTGCACTCGTTTCCTGGCCTTTCATTCTATGCTGACTGTCTCTTAGCCATCCCTGGTTGAAATTCGATTTCCCATTCGCAGCTGCAAATCACAGGAGTCAGCCTCAACTATTAGACGGTATCCCACTGGATATGGGTCACACGGTCACACGGTCACCCGAAGCCTTGAGTGTCAGCCATCACCGAAAGGACTTGCTACCAGTGGTACCCAACAGCCATGGCTGGCACGCCAGGAAGCCGAAGATGAAGCGGCGAAAGCTCCAGATAGTCAGCTGAAGTCTGGGCCTGAGAGGGGGCCATCCCTCCGGTTATGCTCGATGTTGTGAGCCCCTCCTAACCTGTGTAGTGGATGTATACCAATTTATAACTCACATAACTTATGCATAACTGCATAACTATACATAACTAGGGTATATGGATGTATATGGTAGATACACTGAATCAGTGGACAGGGTTCTAAAGCAACAAAGCATAGCTTTCGGGGGCACGACCCATCCCCCATCTGAGGACCCGCATCCTCTTCCACACAGCGCACAAAAGAAATGATGAACCTGCCATGATGAGCCAGCACCAGGCCTTGAATTCGACCACACGGGGCCAGGGGTGGAACTTGGGGCTTGAAACACAAGGGTTAATATGGGTCAATAAATGTCTCATGACCTCGCGATTTCCAATATCACCTTGTGGTTGATGGCAGTGATTCTGCTATGGGCGATGTTCAAATTTCACCTTTCACCATACCTGTGGAACTATTGTTTTTTTCTTGGTTGGAGATACGAAATAAGACAGGATTGGCGTGTTCCACCCAGTTACCACCCCTATCCGGGTATGACAAAATTCACTTTTTGGGATGGTGCTCCAAGCACAACACCAAGCGGATGTGTACCCAATCGTTGGCGTTTTGGTTGCATCCATACAAAAATTGGAAATCAGTAACAGTTTTTTTAAAACCTCTTTCCTTCAACTATCTTACCTTTTACTTTTTTCCAGCATGTTTTTTGGGCTCCCACATCCCCCCCGTCACACCATCACCAGGCCCTATCTGACTCCAAAGAGGATCAGTTGTGCCTGGCGGCGATTCAGTATCTGAGGCCGGGAAGCTGAGATATTGAGCTATTCACAGCCAAATACCAATTGTTGATTGGTTATGAAATAGAGGGATTACATACAATATTTTATTGCCTGGTTGGGAAAATTTAAGTATAACATTGTATAACCCATCATAGGGATATTTACGAACCAGATGGGATGTTATAGGGGTATTTTGAATGGTTCACTTCGTTCACTTCACAACTTCCCTGGTTGGTGGTTTCAAAGGTTTCTTTGAAACTGGAATGATCCCAAATCACCGGTCGGAATCTTGGGGTGTCCGCGCAGGAGTCACTTCCAGGAAGCCACAGATATCTACAAGCGCCTACTGGTGGAGGCCCTCGACTATCCAATGGTTGGGGGCCGGTTACGGCGGCCTATGGCCTATGGCTATTTAAACAAATCTCCCCCAAACAGAAACATATAGAACAAATGGGAAGCCAAGAAGCTGCGATCAGAGTTTCTCAGCCACATGGTAGAAAAGGATTGCATATTGGCAATGGGGAGTTCGGCAACACCACGGATCGGGGTTATTGTCCATAAACAGTGGCTTGGTGGTTTGAACGTGTTTCTTAATTCCATTCCTATGTGGGATGATGATACTACATAACATAACGATATACATATAAACTAGTAATAGCAGGAAGACTCCATACTAAAATGATAATAAAACAACAGACACTACCAACAATCATGAATAAACACATTTAGCTTGTCTTTAGTATATCCAGACATCTCCGGGCACGCATCGCCAGGATCGAGAAGACTGGGCATTGAACGCTGCTCTGCCATGTTTTTTTTTTTTTTTGCGACCCCAACTGCCAAAATGAAATGACAATCTTATATAGATGGAAATTAGGATGAATTTGGGTTTGTCTGAAAATGGGGATAGACCCACCATAGATGTGGTGATCCCTGCGCATATATATATATATTATACAAACATATGGCAATTTTAATAGGGATGATGATGATGATGATGATGACTATTATTATTATTATTAACAAGTGGATTTAGGGTTACCCCATTTTCAGACCCAAGTACGGCATTTTGAATCATCACCGAGGCGGACCAATTGTATCTAGAGGTACCCTTGGGACCCTCCAAGAGTCCGAAGCGACCGAAGAGCCAGGTTTACATTGCGTTGTGTTACTATAAGTTGGACTACTACGACGTTGCCTTAGAGATTCTTCAGACGTGCCCTTTGTGGAGCATCTGGGGGTAGACTCTAGACCGGTAAAGGCTGCTGCTTCAGATGACAGTGAGTCGAAAAATCTGACAATAGGAACATGAGCATGCCAAAACCAATCATTCTATGAATAGAAATGTACCAGGGTGAACTGAAGGTGACTTGAACACCCAATTCATTGTCCCCTACTATGCCCAGTGTTTTTTAAAGCTGATGGATGAAGAGGACACTTTTTCAATGGACATTCCAGATCTTCGTGAGGTACTTGAGCCAATATCCCCAGTCCATCACAGCCGTGAATCTCAAGGCCCAGGGAGGGGTTTGGAAAATCATCGCATGTTTCCAGGATTTGGTTTTCAACATGTGAAGAAAAGTACCTTCCGAAATCTTGATTTTTTTCAGAATGAATTTACCTTCGAAATCTTGAAATAAGTCAGAATGCATGTACTTTTCTTGAGTATTTTCTAGAAGAAAACGGTATGCCTTCGCGTTCAACGAGTTTTTTTCCCCATGAACACGTTGAACACGGTATGGTGGGTCGCTCCAGACAAGACCTGGCTGACGCAGGCCTGTAGTCACTACCAGCTTTACAATGGTAAGGCGGCGGAGGCTGAGTTGAAGGCAGCGAGGGGCTGGTTCTGGGCAATATGGATCAATATGGTATGTTTGTGTAGAGGATATGATCTAACTATATGTATGTACGTATGCATGTCCGTATATATGTAGAATATGTATGTATGTATATATATATGTTATATTCTACACAATGAGTGTAAGACATTGCTCGAAATTTAGATTTTCAACACACTTGAACAAGACATGCGCATGTTCGATGGTGCATACTCGCATAACTTGATGCGCTCAGCCTGCTGTTTGTTGACCTCGTGGCCGTGGCGCACCGTGTCACGAGGTCTTGCAGAATGCCTCAAACAGCGGCAATATTTTTCAGGATCTGGGATGGGTGAGGCTTTTTGTGGCCTTTGTTGGCAACTTCCGTAGTGTTCAAAACCCCTGTTGGATGATTATTTATATGGGGTTACGCTATCCAATATATTGGAGATTCTCACAATGGAAATCCCATTAACCAGCCAGGATACAGGGACGACGTTGCGGGTTTTGAACACTGCTCAATTTGAGATGAAGCAACCATGGGCTGCCTCGGGGCGAAGAACCAGCAGCTGCAACTCCCAGCACTTTCTGGTGGACATGGAAACATCCAAAACTAAGCAATTATAACAACGCAAACCAGACATGGCATAAAATCTCGTGTACCCCTAAATCCACTGGTAAAACCTGGTTAATAGCTAATCATCATTTTCCTATTCAACATTGCAATATACTGGGGGCCCAGTGTCACTGATGACTTCCCCCATCGCCTGACTGCAGCCTGGAAGCACAGCCACCCGCAAGGAGCATGACCTGTTGCAACACAATCTGGTAGTCTTTCGCAATGGTGAGAATGCCATCCAGGCGGCTTGGAAAGCATCGAAACATGTCTGGCTTCCCCCCTTTTTGTCTTTTCTTTAACTTGGGCTGCAAGCATCCAGCTGTCACTGGAATCGGGGCTCCCCTGCTTCAGGTCCTGCCTCCCTTGCTGGATATCATTCCGGAGGCACGGCTGAATTTGGTGATCTATCATCTGCGAAAAGATGAGGCGACGGAGGTGCCATTGGGCTTGCGGTCCGCCGAATCGGCACATGAAACGTAGAGCTGCTTATTTCGTGGATGTGCTTGCGTTCTCCCACGTTTTGGAGGCGATGTATTTGCGCATAATTGAATTTATATGCATATAACTTATAACATGATATATTTTGATATAAATTGATTAATATGCTATAATATGATATGTGACAATGACAATGATAATATAATATATATATAGTATAACATACTGTAATATAATATAGTATAATATAATATAATATAGTATAATAAAAATAAAATAGTATAAACTAATAGAATATAATATAATATAATAAAATAGTATAAACTAATATTATATAATATAATATAATATCATATAATATAATATAATATAATATAATATACAAGATATACCATATAACATATAACATACAACATATATAACATAATATATAAACCATAATATATAATATATAATATATAATATATAATATATAATATATAATATAATATATATAATGTATAATATATAATATATAATATATAATATAAAATATATAATATATAATATATAATATATACTATGTAATATATAATATATAATATATAATATATAATATATAATATAAAATATATAAGATATAATATATAATATATAATATATAATATATAATATATAATAATTAATAATATATAATATATAAGATATAATATATAATAATATATTATATATAATATATAAGATATAATATATAATATATAATATATAATATATAATATATAATATATAATATATAAGATATAATATATAATAATATATAATATATAATATATAATATATAATATAAAATATATAATATATAATATATAAGATATAATATATAATATATAATAATATATAATATATAATATCTATTATATAATACATAATATATAATATATAATATATAATATATAATATATAATATATAATAATATATAATATATAATATATAATAATATATAATATATAATAATATATAATATATAATATATAATATATAATATATAATATAATTTATAATATAATTATGTATCACACGCGCCACACCCACAGATGCCAGGCTTTTGCGCTCATCAAGGACTTAGAGCCGTCAGTCCCAAGGGAGTGACCCCCTTTGGGACCAGGGGTTGATCCCAAGTTGATCGTTCTTGGAGCTGCAAGCTCCAGAATTCGCTAGGACTCCATACTTTTCCTAAATTAGATTCCCTACTTTTGGGTGACCATTTTGGTGTGGGCATTTATATAATTCTGACATTTCTTGAAAGACTGCATGCTCAGGATGACACCTGAAGGCAGCACCCGTAGTTTCTGGCATTTTTTTCTCAGAAAGATAATACTGTAGCTATTTTGGAGCATATATACCACCCAATATTGCCAGGTAGGTTTATGTTTGTTATTGTAATGTACTTATTACGATTGTTATTGTTATTGTTATGATTATGATGATGATGATTATTGCTATTGTTTTTTTTTTTAAATTAATCATTAATCATTTATTGTTATTACCAGCTATTCTTATTACTATTACGTTGGGTTTACCGCATTCCACCGTTGGCTTCGCTGCGAAGGTACATCCTGAAGGGTGTGGTCTTTGCAGCCTTGGGACAAAAGACAGGCAGTGGGGGCTGGTTGGTTTTGAGACCAAAATGTTTGGTTTATAATGGAAAAGCCTATTACAATGGATAGTTAACATCGACAATCCTATTTATAATGGAAAATCCTATAATAAGAGCATTTTATGGATGATTTTTTCGGGGTACCCCCAAAGTTACTGAAAGTTGCTGAAAGTTGGACTGTCTACCCATATATCATCAACCCATTGGGGGATGGCCATGAAAAATACCATGGGATTCCCCTTTAAAAGGGATGGATGACCATAAACCATATATAAACACCATGCTTTGACCCTCTGGCGCATGTGTTGAAGTAAGGATGAAAACACTGATAAAATTCCTGACCATCTGAAAGGTGTTGATTCCTGTTTCAGGACACCAGCTCTGCCATGCTCCAATTCCCCCTATTTTAATAGGTGTTAATACATCCATTCCCAAAAAATCCTGATGAATGATGTTGAGATGACCATGAAACTTTCCATTCCAAACCCCTTGTACCATTCTTGTTGGTTCAATCCTGCTCCATCTCCCAGGCTCAAGAGATCACTTGAAGATGGCACAGCAGTTGTTTCAGTTGGTCGGCGTCTCTTGGCCTTGGAGGGCTACCTGGGATCCCCTGGGACCCCTGGGATCTTTGGGGTGGAACATGGGGTGATTTTCATCCCGATTTGGTGGTGATTTTCATGGTGGAAATGAGGATCTAGATTTGGGATTTTGGGGTAAGCTATGTTGAGGATGGGTCAGAAGCACCAAAGCAGTTTCCATTGATTCATGTCCCCATGCTATTGTTGGTTGTTCCCAATGATATCTCCAGTCTGCTGCCTCATAAATTCTGGCTTGAAACCACGGATTTATCCCCTTATACCCCGCCACTTTTGTTGATCATATGGATAAATTCAAAAGGATTATCATTCTTGTCCCCCACTAAACGGCCAGGGAGTGGCGTATACCCCTATATGTCATACGGCCATAATTTGTGTTATTATAAACTCATTCTTGTTGGTTTGGTTCCCGATTGAAGTAGCAACAAATCAGGGAACATCTCCATTTTTACATTTCAAATACCAACTCTACAAATTCATGAATTTTTCTCACAAGGTTTGGGGGATATCACATCCCCATGTCTCCAGGGACCCTGTTTTTTTCAGTTTTTCGTCGGATCCAACGACGCCACGACGCCTCGCTTCCGCTGCTCAGGCATCAGCGTCTGAGTGCGACACCATCCCTGGGCGACAGTGCCCACGGACGGGCCCAGATTAACTGGAAAACCATGGGGACATGATATGAACATATATGAAATCATAGGGGAAATATGGGGAAATATGGGGAAATCATCTATATCATCTATATTGAATCTATATCATCTATATCATCTATGGCGACAGTTGGGGGAAGCCCCCCAAAAAAGGGGAAATCATCTATATCTATGCAGATGGCTATGAATTGGGATTAACACAGGGAATTGAATCCGCGACAACGAGGATTTAATGGTTTTTTTGGTGGGGATATAAGCACGTACAGTATGGGTTTGCGGAAGACCTGGGATACCGCAATTTATGGCAATTTTGGACGGTAAGACACGGGATTCCACGGTTCAATTTCAGATGAACCCTTGGTTACATAGATCAGAATGGTGCTACACACGACTGTGGGTCCACATTTCAGATGCAGGGACTGCTAGCTTTACCTGGTCCTGTACATTGCAATTGTATCATTTGCAATTGTATCATTAAGTAAGTATATATATATATATGTATATATGTATATATGTATATATGTATATATGTATATATGTATATATGTATATATGTATATATGTATATAGGTATATAGGTATATAGGTATATAGGTATATATGTATATATGTATATATGTATATATGTATATATGTATATATGTATATATGTATATATGTATATATGTATAATATAATATAATATAATATAATATAATATAATATAATATAATATAATATAATATAATATAATATATATATATATGCATACAACCACACCCACACACACATATTCACATGATGTTATATTTGTACACATTTGTAGTCATGCACATGCGGATATGCACACAATATAATATGCGGGTATATATATATACACATCTACGTTATATGTATATGCAGACACATATCATTTAACAAGTGGTGCCCCAAAAAACAACTCGTTAAACCACTGGACACCTCGGTCCGTGGAGGTGCATGGCGTCGTGTTTCTTTTTACTTCGTCAGTTTGAAGACGTGCTGGTCTACTTGAAGTCCATCAAGTGCCTCGGTTGACGCCAGGGCTGGAGCTTGTTGGATGATGGTGAAACATGGCCTGGTGAACCCTAAATGGAGGTTTATAGCTGGGAAAATCATCGAACTGAATAGAGGATGAATGTGGTGAATCCAATAAGAGACATTCAAAAACCAACTTTTTCACCATTCCGAGACTGCTATTTACTATTGGTCATCTTGGGGACGAATTATTCGGAGACTCACCGTTTTTTCACGGAAAACCCCAAGATCTCATGGTTGAGAAAATCAAGTTCTCCCATTTTGAGTTTATTGCCGTAGACTGGGGTCCATCCCTGATTTTTCCTCCCGTCCCAGGCAGTACTTCACCAATGATGACGACTTCAACTGGAATTATGGCGCCTTCAGGGACTGGGTGTGGCCTCGGGATCAATACCACAGAGGTTGGCAAATAGTCTGATGGTGTGTTGAACGCAATCTCTATGGGTCACAACTTAACAACAAGAACGCAAAGCACACAAGTCTCCAATTCTCCAACATGTGACCCTAAAAAAAGGCTATATATATATATGAATATTTATATTTTTATGTATATATATATAAACAAATAAATAAGTAGGTCTATAATTATCGTATTTTTTTGCCACATTTTGGGCGCAGTTCTCGGGTTCAAGCCCCGAGCACTGTAATTTTCGAGGTATCGCTTGTGCAGCTGCCGGCGACTACAAAGAGGCCAAGGAGGCCAGCCGAATCCTTGGTATCAACAAATGTATTAATGGCTGCCATATGATAATTTATGATAATGGTATTAAATGGTATTAATGGAATTATTAATATGTATAAATTATGTATAATAATGGTTGCATAATGGTTGCAGAATGATTGGTATGAATGATGATATGAATTGTACAACTATTATTGGTGATGTCATAATGGCTACTCCCATGGTGATTAATATAAACCATTTATTGATACGATTCAATCACAACCATTAATGGTGGATTTAAGCGACAATGACTGGGGGGTTAAAGCAACAATCATGGGGATGAAACCAACCATGTGATGTATTTGTGTGTCTGAAAAGGAATGATACCGTATAACAGTGGCTTAGCTGCTATAGGTAAACAGGTAAAACAATGGTGAAAACCACTGGACCACTGGTGCCCCATTTTCAGACAAACCCAATGTACTAGCTGTGACATGCAGAGATGATACCTAGGAATGTGCAACCATACATAAGTATGAAGGCACACATCTGTATACATAGAGTTGGAACATGTTGGAACCAGGCATTTGCACTGCACTGGGGATTCATTCGCCATCGAGGTTTCCAGTCCCAGGAACTCATGGAAGCCTCGGAATTTCTACAGTCGACAAGTGGGGTCCAAATTGGTGTACCCCAAGAAATGTCGAAATGTACGGATGAACAACTGACTAAGAAACGTGACTTCAGCTGTTCCGCAACGATCCAGTTAAAGCGTCAGCTTCAAACATCCATCAGCTTTAACAAAAACACTGGGCATGGTAGGGGACAATAAATTGTGTGTTCAAGTCACCTTCAGTTCACCCTGGTACATTTCTATTCATAGAATGATTGGTTTTGGGATGCTCATGTTCCCCAGGCTCCCAAAGGGTTCGTGAAACGATCGCCTGACTGTGAGGCCTTGCTGTCGGTGCAGAATGAGAAGAGCAGAACTGAGTTGGGAGCCCAGATAGCGTTTAGGACTCAAGATCGATATCGATTAGACTGAGACTTGGAGTATTTATTGGAATACAATAATGTATCATTATGATGATGATAGAGATATTAGATATTGTATGATATTGGAATTATCATTATCATCAACTATTATCACTAAATTATCACTATTTATCATTACAACTCTCCTGATGTCACAACTTGGACTATTTGGATAGCCTGACTTAGTCAACCATCCCATGAGGTTCTGTTACCTGAGCTGGTTGGCGCGCTGCTACATCATGAGCAATGAGCCCTCCCTCGCTTGGGAGGTGACCAAAAAAACCAATGAGATGCCGAGAGAACTGCTGTTGAAGATCAATGTTATGTTGTACAATCCAGTAAATACACACACATCATATATCATATATATATATATATATACTCACACAAATATATATACAAATATATATATATATATACTCACACAAATATATATATATATATACAAATATATATATATGATTATATATATATATATACATATATATATATATATACATATATATATATACATATATATATATATATAGATAGATGTTACACTGCATACGAGACACATTTGAATGCCTATTGACTTTGGAGTCTTGCACGTGTTCAGGGGAAGCTTTGTCAATGTCCCATCCAGGCCTATGTTCGGATGGACACCAGCAATGAGTCTTTCAATTTGCTCCATCTGATTGCCAACGACTGCTACAAGATGGGCCACTTCTATTATGCATGCAAGGTGCAGCAGTTGGGGGAAAGGGTTTTTTGCGACCTGCCGCAACCCCGTAAAAGGGACGGATCCAAGGCATTCCGTGAGGCTTTCTATGTCCATCATTGGGGGGAAGGGATCAATGTTGGTAACTTCATGCAAGCAGCAAAAACTGGAGCTTGAAGGAACCTCAAACAGAAGGGAAGTCACTTGAAAAGTTTGTAAGTGTGTTATTTGACCGGTTCCAATTTTGATATTTCATGATATATAATATAAGTTATATTTCAGCACTAATGGCTCTTATATAAGTTATTCCAGCAACTTTTTCCCGCGACCACCATAGGCCTTTGACGTGCTCGAGAGATTAGATCCTGATCCCGAATTCTGGGAAGGCGGGCAAGTTGTGACGAAGACAGGGATGAGTTGTAGTAATGAGGTGGATAGGTGTATACAATTACCTATACAACCGTATATTATATATATAATTGTATATATTACTGTATATATATATGACTGTGTATATATAATTATATGTATTTATAATATGATTATATATATATATATACACACATTACATCGTCATATGAAGATGTATGATTGTGCATGTTGTAGTGATTATATATTTAGAATACGTGCTGCGATTGTCAATTCAAGTTTCGCCCAGCGAACAAAACCTCCATGGCTTGGCCACCAGCGGTCCGTGTGGGAATGGGCTGTGCTACCTATCAAACCATGGATGTCAAATGGGTGGATGATGGTGGATGAACATCAATGCTGGCTGTGTAGCAGCTTAGCAAGCAGCAATTTTGCTGTGACAGCAATTATGAGCTATTTCATGAATTTCAGATGCACATTTTATGAGCTCAATGGAGTTTTTTTTTACATCAACCCAAACAGACCTGGACACATATTGCACAAGCCATGTAAAAAGGTCAAGCGATTTGGGTCTCCACTTGGATCATCGGCAAATGATCTTTGGGTGATCCTTTGAGGATCCCATAGGATAATTCCCCATGACTGGTTGAAAACCTATAGCCACTTACTAACCACTTACTAACCATCTACTAACCAGTTACTAATCAGTTACTAACCACTTACTAACCAGTTCCTGAATGGGTTGATCACAAAAGCCACGCCAGGAAAACGCGGAGCTGCTGTGGGCGTCTTTCAGCGAGTGGTGGCTCGCAAGGACGCTGCTATGTTTTATAGCAACCACCAACTAAAATAGAAAAATAGCAACCAACTAAGACGGAACTAGAACCAGAAGATGTGGTTGGTCAAGTCTTGATGAGTACTACGTTTTAGAAAAATCGACTAAAATAGACCAACGAACACCACTAGTAACTAGTACTATGTTTTAGACACACCAATAGTTGTTTTATAGCAACCACCAAAAAATCAAGAAGTCAAGAACAATTAAATTTCCTACTGAAATAGACACACATGGTGTTTCCACCTTTGAAAGGGGCTGCTGCATGGGGACATAATGGAGATAGATGGGGATGTATATATATATATATATACACATACATATAGCCAACACTATGATATCTTGTTGCTGGTTGATGATAAAGCCTGGCTGACTTTATAGGGATTTCATCCTCATTTCTAGGGTTTTCAGCCATCAAATACATGGGGATATAAGTATGACCCATGGTTGGCTGATGATGATAGCGGGTAATACGTTATACTACCATATACTACCCGATGTATCCATGAACTGAGAATCCTCATTTTCACCACCCATTTCTTACGAAGTTTGAAATATCCTCTATCTGGTTGGTCAAGCCACATGTTTCTGTCAGGGTCAATCAACCTGGGCTTGGTGGGTTGATCGGGTTGATCGGTGATTTCTGCAATGAACCCCCCCCTGGAACCCATGTACTGAGGCTAAAAGCCATTTATCATTGTGTAAAACCACCATTTCCCTCGTCATCCTGAACATGAACTGCAGGTGGGAAGAGATGGAAAGATGGCAGCGTTTTATGCCAGCTTCCAGGGGGGTTCAGAGTTTACCATCTTGTTGCACCCCAGGAGTCGCCAGATAAGCTGCAAGATGTGGTGAACCTCTTAAGAAGTTCCCAGAATTCGCAGGTGCGATTGCGAGGGCGTGGCAAACTGAGGGCTGGGAGAGGTATGTGAGACTTGGAGTGCTTGTGAAAGCTAGGGGAGATTCTCTGCTTGATGTGGAATGGGGATTGTGATGGATCAGTCGTAGTCGTCGTAGTCATTGAGGTGCCTTCAGCCAATGGATAATCGCAGCCTCCCATTTAAGCTGGCTCCCCATGGTTTGGTTGTTCGTATCGCAGTGTTGGTTGGTTACATCCCGACGGGAGCTGTAGCGAATTGCATGTTTAGTTGTTCCGAATTAGGCCTTAATAATTAGGCCTTGAATTGCAAAGGGACTCTAAGGCATGTTAACTTCTCAATTTATGGTTGAATCAGTTGAATCCTGGATTTTTTTAAAAAGATTCTGTTGCTGAATAGCTGAAAAAAATCACCACTCACTGGGTTCCTTTGTTCAATCATCCCCATGGAAATTGCCGCCAACTCGCAATCCCCATCACCGTTTGAGCGGGACCGGCACAGGTTGAGTACATCATCAACAAGGTCATGAAGAAGTGGGCCAAGGCTCCGGTTAAGGGATGGTAAACAGTTAGCCAGTTAGCAATCAAATCCCATGCCCAGTGCATATGAAAAGGGGTGGTTTAACCATGTAACATATTCAAAACTGGTGGTTAACATGGTTTAACTTAGCAGCTCGACCACTCCAAGCTGCCCTCTCAGAGAGAGGATCCCTTCCTCCCAACATGCAGATGATCTCAATGTCTTGAGGAGAACAGGGTGAAGCTAGAGTGAGCAGTGCGCAGCTGCCGCGAAAAATGTGGTGGTTCACGCGCAGCCGTAGCAATGCAGCATTGTAGGTTTGTTTTCTCAAAGTAAACCGGGCTTCATGGCCAAGGTCGAAGGCAGTCAAAGTAGCAGCTGAAAAAACATGTTTAAATAGGTTTGACTTGACTCCTGTTGAACCCTCAGATTCAGGTGGAGCCCTTTCATGCCAATTTCTGCATGAGAATTCGTTGGTGAATTTGATGACCAGGTGCGTTGGTTGAGCCGGAAATGTTCTGTACAAATCAAAGGCTTGACTTTCTGCCCTTGGCCACGCGCCGCCCTGGATCATTCTGAATCGACATTCGATTTGTTTTGGATCCACAGACATCCACTGGATATGGCAGTTTGAGGCTATTCCTTCAGCCAGGGTGGCGGAACGCGCGTATCACTCCCGAAAAAAGTGGCTACGACTGGAGCTGCGCCTCACGGGATACCAGACTGTATCCCACAGAGTGAGCCACTAAAAATTACCACAATTGGTTGCTATAGGAATCCTGCTTCATTGTGGAGATTTATTTTCGGATAGGAATGTCTCAAGACAAGTCCCCCCCACCTATAAACCCAGCTACAAACGAGGATAAGAACGCCCGTCTCTGGCCAGGAACAAATGAAGACTGACCTCGAGAAATTGAGGTGCGCAGCCTTGGTATGCTGTGATGGGCAACGGTGCAACCCCAAATTCCGCAACTGCGGGTGAACCAAACAGATCCCCGGCCCTGTGTCTGGTTTCACTATGTTTCACTAGTAGATCTAGTAGATGCTACATCAGATTCACCTGACAACTCTGGGTACCAAGTCAAGCTGCTAGCAGCTCTGGTGCCATGAGAAGTTCCATTTCAGCTACTGTTTTGATCCAAAGATAGCTTATTTTCAGAGAATCATACAATACATGACACCAAATGCTTAGTAGGTGGTAGTAGCAACTGGCAGCAACTGGGCTATTTTGGGAGTCAATTGAGAAGCTCTTGAGTTATTCAGATTTGCCTAAAGCTCTGTGTGGCTGGGCATCTCAATGATTCTGATCCATACAACGGATGAAAAATTGGGATACCAATATTGGCACCAGATTGGAATATCATGGAATATCATGGAATGTCACCATGTTGCCAAATTCGTCTTCCAAGCATATGGAGTTTGACATGACCAAGAAGCCACATATCAACCAACACAATATCAACCAAGAGTGATCATCTATTGGCACGATCTATATTTCCAGTTAATTGTCCAAATATCAACCTTGAACACTTGAGCGATCTCAACCATATTATCAATGAATCACCGAATTTAAATCCAACCAATTGCTCCCGCATTTCATTGGTAATTCAATCAATGTACATCTGAAAATCATGCTAAATTGCAGAATTTAAACTATTGTGTTATATATTAACTCTCAACCTTCACATTTTTCCTTTGATCATCAACAAAATAAATCTAATTCTATATATCAACCTCCAAGGTCTAAGGCATGGCCCCGTGGCCCCGTGGGGTGGTGGCCCTCAGGTTCGCTGAGATCAACGCCAACATGACGAAGAACGCCAAGGAGCGCGCGGAAGCGCAGCTGCGGGAGGCAAAACAGGACCTGGAGCATTGGCGCTCCAAGGTGTGCAACGGGAGGGGTGTTATTTTTCACGATAAATATGGGAATTTCAATGGTGATGTTTCTGATTATTGCTGTATGTGACGATTACTGTCAATATACTATATACTCTTACTACTATTACTATTGTTATTGTTATGGTTATTGTTATTGTTATTATAATATATAGTTATGTATGTATGTATGTATATATATATATATGTATGACTGTATATGTATATATATATATATTTACATACTATGTTTGATGTTATATTGATGCGGGTGTCGATTCCCGAAGTCTTCCGGGGTTTTTAGGATGAACTTTCTAGACATATCCTAGTTGCGGGTCGATTTGGCTTCCAGGGAATGGATGGAAATGGGCCGAACGGGTGTCCCAGATGTTCAGTTTTGACCCAGCCACTGGCTGTTTCATATATATCTCCATGGAGATCATTCCTCGGGATCTGATTTTGCGTGTGTTTTCCCTGAGAATATTTTGCGGAACGCTCTCCTGTAATCTACACGAACTCACATAACTTGGCATTTTTTATCATCTCCACTTTTGCCTGGACAAATAATGGAACATCAACTACAAGTCGTTTTTTTTTTTAATTGCCACTTTTGAGTACCAAAGGGTAGCCCGGTTCATCACTTTTTCCCAAGGCCGTCAGTGTTCAGGCCTTGAGCTTTGAGCGAGATGAAGACCGGATGAAGAGACAGGAGGAGGTGCAGAGGGATCGATGCGGTCGATGGGCTGGGTTGATGCAGGGAAAAAATATATTCTTGGCTGGAAAAAATATATCCACTATGCATTTCTTATCCACTAGCATCAAGGAATATATATTATATCCAAGGAATTTGGATACAAAAATATAGTGACCTGATTAGTCGACCCACTATAGATGATGAGGAATCATCTCAATATGGCCTTAGATTGGATACATTGATTTACCTAGATTCATGGTAATTATGACAGTAATTAACAAGCGGGATGTCTTGAAATAAAATCCATTGGGAAATTGATGGTTTCAGGAACTGAGTGATGTTGACCCTGTGAAGCTAGGAAAGATTGGGACAAAAGCAAGAACTCTTTTCTATTATTTTTTAACCAACTTCATTCATCAATCCAAGTGATTTCTTCGGGATAGGCCGAAATGATTGGGTACCAAATGGATTGCTGTTGAAATTCACCAACATTTGTGGTCAGCCGGGCTTTAATTTTTGACCCGTAGCCATTGCCTGTGGGGTGGACATTGAACCACAAGGATAGCAGAGTCTGACACCTGTTTGGACTCCTTGGATTCTGCAGTTTTGATGGTACAGCATATCTTGCTACGTAAAGCCCTGGTTTCGAGGTCCAGTATTTTATTTATTTCAGTGTTTTTGGAACGTACAACAAGAGGCAGAACTGGTTGCTAAAGACAACAACGCAACGTCCGAGTTCTCACAACTGGCAGGATTTCAAAACCAAGTTAGCCGCTGGGCTCGTCGATTAGATTCCAACAATTGGGCCAATCCAGCCAAGAGAAAACACGATATAAGAACAAACTAGACATTGAAAATCATTGAAAATCAGACTTTTACACAAGAACTTGCTTTCAACCCATCCATCCAGCAGTCGGCACCCTGCCGCTGCCTTCCCTGGGCCACAGGATGTTTGTCGCTTGGAGAGGGAGGTGAAGGTGCAGTCCTGCCACCATGGACATGGATGGCTGGTGATTTTTAGATATTTTGTAGGGCTGATGCGCCTGGCCGGAGTAAGTCTTTGGTGAGGCTGAGGTTTTTCAGACCCAGCTAAGCAAAAAACAATCAACAAAAACAATGCATTGTAAGATTGGCCCAAGTCCACAAGTGCTTTCCTCACCGCATGAGATGATACTCCATCCCGTATGTACCCAGCCCATGCTTAGGTGGTACCCACATCTCAAAACAGCCAGCAAAATGAGGTGTGACGCGACTACGCATTACCCCATCAGATGCAGCCTGTTGAATTCCTTGACTTCTTTGGATGCATCCGAGCAAGTGAACGGATAAACACATATTATGGTAATGAACTGTTATCGTCATTAACCTCGTTCTTTAATGTCATTCATGGATATTTACGGGATATCGGCAGTTGGGGTATGCACTAACAAGGGACTTCGTAGCTTCATGGATCGGGGGACCAGCGATCGGGCCTTGCAGGAATTACACGATCAAAATCTGCAGCTCCTCACCACCTTCCAGCAGTTCAAGAGTGTCAGGGGTCACAGCAGGGAATGGGGGTTGAGATGGGTTGAGCAAGTTGGTGAGATTTGGATGGACGAAACCCTTGGTACCATGTGAATGCAGGATGAAGTTCCAGCTGTACCTGTTATCTTTGATGCGAAAACCAGGCTACTGGGGTTTTGATTCATGGCCAAATGGGGGAACACCAAGAACTGACCTGATTAAACATGTTTCCTTCAGTAGTGGAAAATGGATGTTCATCTCTTGAGTGCTGAATGCCCAGCGCTGAATGCCCAGCGCCGGAGTCCTTTCCGCGCCATTCCGAGATCATGAGCATGTTCTCAGAGTTTAACTTTAGCGTGCTAGCTTGCTATGCCTATGCCATCCTATGCCTAGAAATACATGAAAATAATTGAAAATACACAGATAGTTTCAGGACACTTCACGGCTGTCTTTTTGTGAACAGATCATCGAGCCACACACGTCTGGCTGACCGACATAGAGATCGGTGTGGGCCAAGGAATGGGAAGTGATGCGAGCTGAGAATCAGAGCTTGCAGGAGCCGGCTCCGGGTCGGTCTGAATCAAGGGTCTGGGTTTGCGAATAACCCAACCATAACCCAACCCACAACAAGAATCTATATGCAGTCATTGACTGTTTTGGACTCGAAGTGTGCCAAGTGCAACTGCTCAGTCATTCAGTGACCAGCGGCGTTGTCGATTGTCAGACACGTCCTTTTTCAAGGAAACCTTAGCGATGTCCGAGATGAGTCTTGATCGAGCCAGTGCCTGGGCAGCAAAGGGTTGGACATTTTGCCGGGAAACATCCGTCCCAGCTCCACTGTTTTGGGCTGGTTGAGAATCATGGGAGCTTTCTATGGACATGGACTATCTACCAAGGATCCCAGATCAACAGCCAACCACTGGATGACATTGGATGACTGTACAGAAAATAGATGAAAATAGCGTCAGAGGATCGTTGTTGGGGCGCCTCGGGCATGATCTCTCTCTCTTTGAAACGACTTCATAACTCGTAACTGTCGTAACTCGTAAAGAAATCAACCATGCCGCATGCCCATGGTGGCCTGCTGGCGGGAGGCAGATTCTGACACGAGGGACACCTTTAAAAGGCTTGGATGACAGGCTCATGCAACTTGATCATTGTAGATTGTAGACCAGAAGTCTGGATGTTCACAGCAAGGTGATGGAGATATATGGAGATGATGTTTGTGAAAATCAGTCATGGTTGATCATCCTGGGGGTGCGTTGTCAGCCTTGGAAGATCATTCTAGATACTCCAAGGTGAATTTCAATTCAGGTGAATTTTGCGTAAAATTGTGCGTAATCTGCGAGTGACCGTCCACTCCTTCTCCAAAACATGGTCTTCCGGCTCAGGTTTGAGTTGGTTACACGTAGAGCTAGATATAGATCCTCCACCGGTGCTCCAAAATAAAATTAAGGGGGTTCAGGGTCCTCTAGGTGACCTTCCCGAATATGTTTTCTATTTTATTTTGACTGCCATTTGGAGCCCAAATCCAAAATAAAATCGCGTCGGGTGCCATGATTCGGGAATGGGTTTCTTGAGTACTTTTGATGGTGTTTTGCAGAGGCTGGGTCCCGACATGTCCCGACATATAGTAAGCCAAACCTAGTCGAGGGGTTGGGTACCTTTATTCTAAGGCGATGGATGTCAAAACCGCAGCTGCAATGTTGGATCCCTTGAATACCAGCCAGCTTGAGATACATGTGCTTGTGATCAGGTCCGCAATCAGATCTTGTTGGGGTTGGGGAGCCAACCAGGGGCTGCCAAGTACTTTTGGGACTTGTTCGAACAAGTTGATGCCAAACCAAACATTATCGCTTTCACAGCCTTGATCGGAGCCTACAAGATCGCGCCTCTGTAGGACATCTGGGCCAAGGGCAAAATGAAAACTCTCGGAATATTCGGAATCGAGCCAAACGATGTTTTCGCTGAGACCTATGTGGCGGCTCTGCTGCAACAACGCTTCCAGCACCTGAGGAGTGTGGATGCCATAGTGGACATTCTGCACCACAAGCCAGCAAAACGCCTAGAAGCTGCCACGGGGGCATTGGAAGACTTTGAGGCAGCAGGAGTTAGAGTATCTGGATTGTGCAGGAGGTTGAGGAGATCGTTGCATCTACTAAAGCAATAGCAATGCCTGACAAGGACAGCAATGATGATGTCACACCTGCCCACATTGGTCTGATTAACAAGTCTTGGAGAGGAACTGTGGCCTTTGCACAGGAGTTTGCTGCTGAAGATATTTTCTCAATTTTTCCGTTCAAGGGACTTCTTCAATAAGTTTCAATAAATATGTTCGCTGCAACCCTGACGTTTGCCCGCCACGGAATCGTGGAAGGGTTGCGTATTTTTGAAAAGCTGTGTCGGTGGACTTTCGACATGTATATGTAGATCATTGTTGAAGTAATGAAGCATACGTGAATGTGTCTATATACTATAAACATATATTATATAATTTGATAGCTAGATATGTAGATGTAATGATATATGATATATATATATACATACATAGTATTGGTTGCTCTTTGTACATGTCCATCTCGGATGTTGAAGATGTGTAAAAACCGTGCAATAGGTAGATTTTGTCTGAAATGGATATCCATCCCTTATGAAGACAAGTTGATGTTATTTCCCCATTAACATATTGTTCAGAGGGGGTGGCGGATTTTGATTCCTCATGAACATAAATTGATGTTATCACGCCATTCAACATATTGTTCAGAAGGGGTTACTGGTTTTGATTTCTACTGAAGATAAGTTGATATTATTGCCCCATTCAACATATTGTTCAGAGGAGGTGGAGGATTTTGATTCTTCATGAAAATAAGTTATTCTGGTCGCTTCGTGACGACAACCGCCCGCACCAGAGTGTTAGCTACGGAGTTGCAAAACATAAACCCAAAGTCGTGCCTTTGTAGGGCGCATGTTGGGAGTATGTTGGGCCTATGTTGGCTCCATGTTGGGCCGTGTTTGGCACATGTTGGGCCCATGTTGGGCACATCTTGGGCCCATGTTGGGCCTATGTTGGGCCATGTTGAGCCCAAGTTTGGCAACTTATCCGATTTTAGGTCCCTGGAAAAACAATGAAAAACACAGGATTCTAGAGAAAAATAGCCCCCTCCCCAAGCTAAAGCTTAGTAGCTATTGCAATTGCTTCTGGATCGTGCGTGCCAACAAAAAACGCCTCGGCACCTTCGGTGCGGGCGGACTACCCCATTCAAAATAGTGTTCAGATTGTCTGTATGTCAATACACAACAAAAGCATACAAAAGCGATGTTCTCCTCGGTGGGCGAACGTCCGGGTTGGACGGACCATGTTCAAACTTATTTGGCTTCTTGCCTCAGGCAACGTCTTGGGATCCAGAAAAACAGTGGAGAGAACCAATCCCCATTGGCCAGATCCTGAGGTGAGGAAAAGGCGCAGATCATGGGCCATGTGAATCCAAAGTTGGGTGCCTCAGATCTTCCTTCAGGAAGCTTATCTGACAGGGGCTGCTCACGGCTGCTCTGGAATTTTGATGACATACAGATAGTGAAGTGCTACCCCAAAAAACAGATACTATAGACAAACAATGACCAAGGGTCCCAAGGGTCCCGCGTATTCTGCAAGATCTGCAGAGTTAAGGTGACAAGGACATCAAAAAAAAGAGGTAGCAGTTTTTGGTTTTCAGCGTCACCAACTTATTCAAAAGTGTCCCTGCTTGTTTTAAGATCAAGTAGGCGGCGCAAGGGTCACAGTAATGGTCACAGGTCCCAGGGGTCGGCCCGCGATTCACCGTGCTGTGCCGCCCGGCCGGCGGTGCTGATGCGGCTCGAGCCGAGCCCCGGACGTCGGAGTTTGCTGCGGCAAAGGGGCAGAATTCTGCCAGGTGCCAATGGGATGATGGGAAAGGGAACTATTTTCATAGGAAATCTGATGGATTGTTGCATAGGACATGGATTTTCGAGGAATCTGATGGATTGGAATTCATATGTGAGAAAGGCTCCAACAGTTGACATCGGTCCGTTCGGTCTGTGACGGTGAGATTTTTTCCGTGATCCTTTTTATGTTTGACTGATTATTTGGTTGGTGGTTTATTGAATCATGTTCGATCCATGTTTGGATAGCTAATGCTGAACATCACAAAATTTTCCGGATGCCTGGCGACCTGGCTCTGTCCTGGTAGGATGGAGCTGCAGTCAAGATCGCCATGCTGGGTCACTTGGCAGATCGAAGTTTGATGTGGTGGTGGGTCTTGCTGCGTAGGACTTGGATGCTCATGAAGCACATGGCTGGAACAGATTCAAATGTGATAGAAGATATAAAAAGGATCTGCGAATGATTAGCTTTCAACTAACAATAAAATACTATATGAATCTATATGATACCTTTGAATGGTCGATGTACCAACAGTGACTCCACCGATGGTTCATTGTAAGGCAGTGGTTTGGCTGCTTGTCATTGGCGCAGAAAGTGCGAGAGAGCTGCAGGGAACCATCCAGAATGGTGAGCTCAATAGTTCAATGATGTTCAATGGCCCACCCCAAAGATGTAAGAATCGAAGGACGCTCATCGCACTTATGGAAATATAGCTAGTGAAAATAGTAGATCTCTCAAATATCCTCAAATAAACTGGCGAATCATTTGATTGTCCTATTGAGACAGTCAGTTTAGGGGTATACACAATTTCTTGGCAAAAGTCATGTCATATTGTTGGTTGTTCTATACCCCCATTTATAGGTGATGTAAGTCTGTAAGTTGCATGTATATATAGTATATACATTGGTCATGTTTGGTTATGCAGGTTGGTTATGAAAGTTATGTACTGTAGGCTATAAACTATACACAACATTTCTATACCCGATTGATATTTGGTACAGCTTTGGACCCTGGCTTTGTTTGAACTCGCTGAGGCTGGTCTTCTGTGCAACTCGGCCCCAAGGCCCATGGCGTTTTTTGTAGCCTTGGGACATACATACATGGGTTTGTCTAAAAATAGGGTATATTCCCAATGAAACAGCCATTTAATAGGGATAATGATCATTAACCATTGGGTTTAGGGGTACACTATTTTCAGACACACCCACATGTGCTCATACTCATTTACGACTATTTTAATTGATTGAGTCAAGTCAAGTCTCCAAGATTTTCTTGGTCGGTGAAATCTCCAACGTCTGTTTCCACTGTTTTCCATCATACTTTGGTTGCGAGACAGTCTCCAGTTTTCTCATGTTTGTTCCCAAGTCCATGTGGGTACGTATCAAAATTGATTGTCATCCCCCCAAGCATGGATGATTTCAGATCCTTTTAGGACCCATTTTTTTAAAATCGTTGTCATGCAATAAAGGTCCTTTACTTGATGTTTCATCCCCTTTTAAAGGGATGATGATGATTTCAGGTCCTAAAAACCAACTATCGGACAACCGGGCCTTTTGTGCCCGGCCCGTTGGGACCCGTTGGGCCCCGCAACGGGCCAGGATAGAGACGAGCGTTGTGAGGCCAAGCTTACGGTGGTGCTGCGGCCGGGCGGAGGCCAGAACTGCATTGACGAGGCGCAGAGACGGAGATGTGGGGATGTGGGCCATGAAAAAAATAGGCCCCTGTTGATGGGTTGATTAATAGGTTAAGTATACGCTTAAGTTACCCATGAAATATGGGGTATAACATGGTATAACCAACACTTAGTGGGAATATATACTGTATATATATATATCATATGGATTCATGTGGTAGAGCCTGAACCATAAACCATCCCCAATACAAGATACTTGTAGAGGTTTCTGGCGGTATCGCTCTATGACCGGGAGGATGAGGATGTCTATTATGACTTATGACCCGCAAATGGTTTTTGCGTGGGATGGTTTCTGAAGTCAATGAAGTTTATTATTGGGTTTAAGTTTAACTCATTACCCCTGTTGATGGGTTGATATAGGGGGTCACTGTATACTACTAGCAACTTGGGGATGATTGGGAAACCTCCAAGCTGGGTGAGACATTACAATTTCAGATGTAGCGAACATATCACAATCACGGATGATTTCTTAATGGTTATGGACCCAGCAGTCTTTATTTTTGTCCTATGTGTTCCCATCAGCATGTATCAAAGCTGTTTTTGATTCGATGATTCTTAGTCCATATTGCTCTTCTGTCAGAGACCAGACACGTTGAATTAACATGAGCTTTATGATGGGCTTGTCGGTTTGGGAGCATAGATGGTGGATGATGACGATGCCCTCGCTCGCTGACAGCTATGAACCCCTGGAGATGAGGTGAACTCGGAAGTGATTTTCATCAGTGTGGGCGAACCAAACAAGAAAGGGTCCTGGCCCCAGCAGTTGCTGCATGAACTGTGACTGAAAAGTTGGCCAAAGTTGGCTAAACGCCTCCAGTGGCTCCGAAAGGAATGGATGTTCAACTTGAAACAACACATGAAATGTCCGTGGACTGGAATTATTTGTCCCTTTTCTCAGGCGCGCCAACTCTGAGTTGCTGGGATTCGTTGCAAGTATTCTGGAGCTGAAAGAGGACCAGGCAATTTCGGGAAATCTGATCACGTTGACAGAGTTACGCGCGTCCAAATCTTTAAACCCTCAAAATCAGACCCGAGACCCAGTCAAAAGTCTCAGCATGTTTCAGTGCCCAATGGGTAGATTGGGGTTCGTTTTTTTCTTTCGTGAAAGTATGGAAGGGCAGTCCCCTGCTGTCATTTTTGGCTTTTGTTGCCTGCTAGTTCTACAGAAGGTCAAGCTGGAAGACAACGTGAGCAGCAAGAGTGACTCGGCCTAGAAACTGATGATAGCTCAAAAAGCATCCAGGATCCGAAAACGCTCGGTTCAAATGTGCGTTCCGGGTCAAAAACCCTAGCCACGCTAGTAGTTTGGACAGGTTTTGTTAGTCCAAAATTTTTGGTCCAATTTTTGGACCGTTGATGAGGTAAGACTGTCCTCCTGTGTGGATTGCAGCATGACAAGCGCAGCCTCATTTGGCAGCTCCAATCGAAGGTGGGTGGAGGAACTGAGACCTTGGTTGATGGGGGCTATCAGCGTACCATACCGGGAGTGAAAATGAGAAACAGTGGGGATCAAACCCAATTGGGGCAACTGTCAGCAGCAAACAGGATTTCAATTTCAACTATCACTATGCAGTAGCTTTCAAAACTGTCGAGATTGGTGTCGAGCTTGATCCTTCTGTGTCCATGGGATTTGTTTCGGATGGCCCTCAAGATTTCACAGCAGAAGAGGATCCATTGTTGGATAAAGGATAGGCATAAAGCCATAGATGTGTGGGGCCCAAAGTTTTTTTTGCCACCTGGCCACCTGTGTATAGATGTTTCTTGGTCTCTATGACTCTATGAACTTCAGGTGGGACAGAAGCACCCCGCTCGCTTTGCAGCGGAGAAAGCCAATGCTGTCCGGGTCTCGGGGTCAAAGTGGTGACTCCAGCCTGGGATGATCCCAAAAAGTGACGGAGTAAATGGTGAGCCACTGGGTTGAACTGCCATATCTCGCTATTTTTGACCTGTTTCAACATGTTTCAACTGATAGTTGTCAGCAATTTCACCAGTGATTTGCTACCCTCTGGCGATATTGGCACCATATTGACCATGGAACGGTTCTGGGAGAGTCATCTGATATCAATGGGTCATGGAGCCAGGCCCTGAGAGAAGAAGATGTCTCCTCGAAGCGACGGAAGGTGAGGCGGTTTTTCCCAAAAGAATCCACGAGAGATTGAATGGGAGACGGGGTTTTCTTGGGACTCAGAATGAGACCTGGGTGTGCGTTTTTGTTTTTTCAAATTGCAAGATTTTCAACAATTTTGTAGGCAGCAGGCATTTCTGACATTCTCCGCCAGCTGTTTGTCAGTTTCTCACAGTTGATCATGCCCTCAGGCGGAGCAAAGTGAATATCGTCGATTGCAAGAGGAGGAGCCGTCTAGCTGATCGAGCTGTGTCCAAAATTGCACAATACAATGGGGAAGGTTTGAACATTCAAAGGCCCCCACCAACTTCCATGAACTGCCTTGTGTTTGAGATGAAGATGAAGATGAAGATGAAGATGAAGAAGAGGAGAAGAAGAAGAAGAAGAAAGAGAAGAATAACAATAAAAGAAGAATAAGGAGAAACAGAAGAAAAAGAAGAAACAGAAGAAAAAGAAGAAAAAAAGAAAAAGAAGAAAAAGAAGAACAATAAGAAACAGAAGAAACACAAAAATAGAAGAAGAAGAACAATAACAGAATAATAAACATAAAAGAAGAAGAAGAAAGAAGAAGACGACGGCGACGACGATCATGATGATGATGATGATGATGATGATGATGATGATGATGATGATGATGATGATCATAAAACGGACTCGTTACGTTGGTACTTTTTCTGATCACGATTGCAATGATTAATGGGTTTGTGCGGCATTGTAGTGTGTCAACCTGTGTCAACTCAAATGAGTTCCATCATGTGATGTGGGATAGTTTCACATGCAGAACACCACATCATTGAACTCATTTCGTTCAACGTAGTATCACATCTTACGCATCATAAGGCATCCCATCACATGTTTACCCATACTATTCTTTGGTGTATGATATACAGATGGCATCCAGCTAGTTTATAGCAGACCAATTTTCTAGGGAAACTATGGTTGTTTCTGTCCATAGCAATGTTGAAAAAGACCGGGGCAGGCTGACGCCGACGCCGTTTCGGCCGCTGCGGCCCAAGCTTCCCCGTACGCGGAGAAGGTGTGGCTGTGGCCCCATCAACAGATTTCCCATGTCCCTGGCCAAAAAGGTGGGGATGTACCGAAATATATATTACTACCATAAATGATCTTGGTTGGGGATGTGTTTCCAATGTTTTTTGGGTAAGGGTGAAAACAAAACCTATGATTTTCACAGATGTTCCACAAGAATGGCGAGTATGAAGATACAATCAGCAGATTTGCTCACCAAATGTTTTGATCTGGAAGCCATTGGTGGGGTGACCCCATTGACAAACTGACGCCCCACTTGATGCCACTTGGACGGACTTGGACGGACTTGGAAGTTCATTGCACTTAGTAAAGTGGATAGCGGTCACTTTTTGGATATCCCCATCCCTCGTGGTGAGTATCACCGTGTTTGGTCGACTAAGAATTAGTTAACATGTTAAAACCTCTGTTGCTTCTTGGTTTTTGTGGATTGGTCAGTGAGCCTGGTTCCGCAGGTGTTGTCGCGACCCACGTTGCCTCGTGGTATGCGTGTTCGAAGGAGCCTTGGGGCGGTGGATGGCCTCACTGCAGCCAATTCGTCCACCAACGAGGATGGGTCAACAACCAACCATTTTCCATCACTTCTGACGTAAATTTCCATATGATTCTATCAGTTCTATCATTGAATCATGTTATATAATAGATTCCCAACTTTTCATATATATTTTCGCAAGATTAAACACCATGCTGATGATCCTCGCACATTTTGAAGCGGTCGGTGAGACACCAGGCCCGGTGAGCCTGACATGGAGTTTCCCGAAGCACCGCCAGAGCAGCCGCCAGAGCCGCCGGAGCCAGGCGGCAAAAAGTTTCTGCAGAAGGAATGGATTGCTATAGCTGTATTATGTTGTATTGTAAAATTGTACATTCTGAGTATGTAATGATTGTAATGATTGTAATATGTTGTAATCGTATATATACAATATATATATATATATACACACTAATATTGTCCTATTATTGATATAAATATAATTCTACAGTACATGTAAATGGTGTATTCATTTCTTTTGTGTGGTTATATCTCATTGTTCAGTATAACTATATATAAAATGAGTACATCAAGAAATCATCTGGTGGTAACATGGATATCATATCTCAGACTGCATAAACTCATGGGAACTGTCCAGGCATGGCTGAGACGGGTGGAGAAGGCGGCGGATTGCAAGGCTTGGCCAACTACAGCTCTGAGGAGAGCGAGGACGGGGAGGTTGGGATCACCGCAACGCCATTTTTTTTTTGGAACTTTGGGTTCTGGGGGAGAACCAACCAAATCTGGAGAAAACCATGGACATTTTAGGGGAAAATCATCGACGATTCCCCGAATCTGATGGTTCATGATCATTTTCCCTTCCGCAGAAAGGACCATTTGAAGGGTATATGGCCCATCCTCAGGAAAACCCAGTTGGGGTTGGTAGGATGGGCATTTACCATTTCTCAAATTATCAGTCCCTGAGCATTGCCATATTTTGGTTGGAAAGAATTATCTTCCACTGATGGCAGGGTCTATGTTAGTTTTGTGAAATGGCATCAGCTATGGAAATTTCAGCAGCAAGAAGTGGGGATGGGTCAGGAATGTCAGGATTGAAATGCGCAGGGAACCACAGATTCTGGTTATTTTAAATATTAACCATCCAATTTTAGGGATACCCGATTTTTGCGCCGCACCATCTAGGGTTGCTTGACTACCGAAAATGAATGAAATAATTCAAGCCATGTGAGCTTTTGTGTGCCAATGGTGTTGCACATTGGTACCACATGTCAAAGAGCCATCCCCACAGGGACAGCAATGGTGGATGATGTTGGCAGAGAATCTGTCAATCCAATGAGCAAACTTTGGGATCTTGAATTCCTAGTTAGATTATATTAACCATATATTAACCATTATATTAACCATATATTAACCATTAGTTAGGTTATGAAATTCCGGGAGTTTCTACCTGGCGAGATCTTGGGAGTAGCTAAGCCATAGTCCCACCGCTGGCTCGACTGAGGATGAAAGTGAAGAGAGCTGAGCATCGCTTCGTCAGTGCCCACGTGGCCCACGTGTTGGTCGTGTACATAGCAAAACCAAACGTACCCGATGTGGTCATCTACTTTGGCACGGAACATCAGTTCAGCCTATTGATTTTCAATAGATGATGTTTCCATATGTTTCCCAAGAGATATTGTGATTTCCCATCTCAAGGTAGAATCACCCGAGGGATCCCGAGGGTAACATGTTTGTGGCCGGTGAAGCTTTCCGGAAAAAAAGATGCCAGGGAGAAATCGGGGTCGCTCATTGAGAGGGTCGCAGAGAGAGGGTTCAGCGACGGGTCGCTTTAAGGCAGAAGATCCGCCACATGGTCAACCTCAAGGAGGCCGGAAATCTGCCATGGCCAGAAGTTCTCGAAGTTCTTGATACGTTGTCATTTAAGTGGATCCATTTGAACTGCATGTTCTGTGCTATACCAAACTGATGTTTTCACTTTAATGGTGTAGTGTGTTTAGGCTTTCAGGATATCCCACTGCATTGTGATTGTGCTAAAGCCATATCATCTGATGGTCCCAACTTTGACCCTAACTACCCGGCAGGAGAACAAAGAACTGCGAGAGCAATTAAAGAAGGCAGGATTAAGGGATAAAAAGACAGCTCATCTGAACTGGTATGTGCATCCCACCTAGTAAGTACTTCATAACATTTCATTACCATGGTCATAATCCAGTTATGAGATGTTATACAAAAGTAAGTTCAGTAAGATTAATCCGTATCAATATATATATATATATGAATATATACACATACAATATATATAATATAATATATGCATAATGTATGTATATTATGTGTATAATATATGTATAATGTATGTATGATATGTATAATGTATGTATGATATGTATAATGTATGTATGATATGTATGATATGTATGAATGATATGTATGACATGTATGACATGTATGATATGTATGATATGTATGACATGTATGACATGTATGATATGTATGATATGTATGATATGTATGATATGTATGACATGTATGACATGTATGATATGTATGATATGTATGATATGTATGACATGTATGATATGTACGATATGTATGAATGATATGTATAACATGTATGATATGCATGACATGTATGATATGTATGATATGTATGATATGTATGACATGTATGACATGTATGATATGTATGATATGTATGACATGTAAGACATGTATGATATGTATGATATGTACAGTATGATATGTATGATATGTATGATATGTATGACATGTATGATATGTATGATATGTATGACATGTATGACATGTATGATATGTATGATATGTATGATATGTATGATATGTATGATATGTATGACATGTATGACATGTATGATATGTATGATATGTATGATATGTATGATATGTATGATATGTATGACATGTATGACATGTATGATATGTATGATATGTATGATATGTATGATATGTATGATATGCATGATATGTATGATATGTATGACATGTATGATATGTATGATATGTATGATATGTATGACATGTATGATATGTATGATATGTATGACATGTATGACATGTATGATATGTATGATATGTATGATATGTATGATATGTATGATATGTATGACATGTATGACATGTATGCTATGTATGATATGTATGACATGTATGATATGTATGATATGTATGATATGTATGACATGTATGATATGTATGATATGTATGATATGTATGATATGTATGACATGTATGACATGTATGATATGTATTATTTGTATGACATGTATGATATGTATGCTATGTATGATATGTATGACATGTATGACATGTACGATATGTATGACATGTACGATATGTATGACATGTCTGATATGTATGATATGTATGATATGTATGATATGTATGATATGTATATAATACATTAATATGGGTTACTCATCTCTCACCAGCTGGGATGGCACATAGACATGCCCAAAAGGCCTTTTTCTGTCGTCGCAAGGAGAATCATCCTGGTGGGTTGGGTGGAAACATACCCAGTCTATGACTCCCCATTCCCCCCTTCACTCCACGAAGGGTCTTTTGGCAAATTCAATATGACGCAACTAGTTGTAGTCACATGTTTGCCATTTTCGATTCCAAAGCCCCCTTTTCACGAAGGCCAGCCGCTAGGCTAGGCGAAGTTCCTTTTGCGAACAAAGTGAGTTAGAGGGGGTCCGGGGGTAGAGCGCGCCAGAGGGTGACAAAATCACGGAAATGGGTGCAGTGGGAGGGGTGTCAAATTGGAGCTTTTTGAGGGCTGTGTACCAGGTGGCAATTGAGTGACGGTGGGGTATCGATTCCCCCCTGGTCCGTCCTCCGAGGTGCATTTGGGGAGACTGGAATGGAAGGGTAAAATTATGGAGAAAACGAGTAAAACCATGGAAAAAACCAATGGAAAAACCATGGAAAAACCGTGCGAAACCATCTGAAAATTGGGTAAACCATGGAAAAATGGAGTAAAACGATGGGAACATGGAATAAAACCATGGAAAAATCGAGGCAAAACCCTAGAAACATTGAGCAAAACCATGGAAAAATCGAGTAAAGCAACGGAAAAAAATTGAATAAAACCATGGAAGAATCGAGTAAAACCATGGAAAAATCTAGTAAAACCATGGAAAAATGGAATGAAACGTTGGGAAAATCGCGGCAAATGGTTTGTCGTCGGAGGTGCATTTGGGGAGGCGTTAGAACACTGGAATCGAAGGGAGTGCCTAAGCAGCTTCTGTCAGTAGTTGGGCAGTTGGGCTTGTTCTTGTCGACTTGTATTTGTTGGGCTCCGATGTGGGACCATTATGAGGAAAAGGCATTGCTTGATGGTCCGTCCTTGGAGGTGCATTTGGGGAGGCGATAGAGAGACTGGAATCGAAGGGAGTCAGAGGAAAAGGCATTGCTTGATGGTCACAAGGATTAGAAGCAACTTCCGCCAGTAGTTGGGTCCGATGTGGGACCATTATGGCCGCAAGGATTAGAAGCAATTTCTGTCAGTTACGATGCTTTGGGAAAGATTGGAATAGAAGGGAGTCAGAGGGAAAGGCATCGCTTGGAAAGGTTGCGGAAGGATGTGGATGAGATTGTTCTCGTCGACTTGTATTTGTTGGGCTCCAATGTGGGACCATTATGGTCGCAAAGATCAGAAGGAACTTCTGTCAGTATAGGATACTTTGGGAGAGACTGGATAGAAGGGAGTCAGAGGAAAAGGCACTGCTTGAGGAACTTCTGAGGAACTTCTGTCAGTATAGGATTTCGACGAGCATGTAGCCATCATTAGCCATCTACTTGTATTTATTGGGCTCCGATGTGGGACCATTATGGTCGCAAGGATTAGAAGGATTTTCTGTCAGTATAGTTGGGCTCCGATGTGGGATCATTGTGGTCGCAAGGATTTGAAGCAACTTCTGTCAGTAATCGATGTTATGGGAAAGACTGGAAGGTTGCCGGAGGATGTGGATGAGATTGTTCTCGTCGACTTGTATTTATTGAGCTCCGATGTGGGACCATTGTGGTCGCAAAGGTCAGAAGGAACTTCTGTCAGTACAGGATGCTTTGGGAGAGAGTGCCAGAGGAAAAGGCATTGCTTGAGGAACTTCTGAGGAACTTCTGTCGGTAGAGGATGTCGATGAGAATGTAGCCATCTACGTGTATTCTTTGGGCTCCGATGTGGGACCATTATGGTCGCAAGGGTTAGAAGGAATTTCTGTCAGTATAGGTGGGCCCCGATGTGGGACCATTATATGGTCGTAAGGGTTGGAAGGAACTTCTGTCAGTATAGGTGGGCTCCGATGTGATTGTGGTCGCAAGGATTAAAAGGAACTTCTGTCAGTATAGGATGTGGACGAGAATGTACTCGTCGACTGGGGTTCCGATGTCGGACCATCATGGTTGTAAGATGTCGTAAGGATTAGAAGCAACTTCTGTCAGTATACGATGCTTTGGGAAAGACTGGAATAGAAGGGAGTCAGGGGAAAAGGCATTGCTTGGAATGGTCGCTGGAGGATGTGGACGAGACTGTAGTGGCCGACTTGTATTTGGTGGGTTCTGTTGGCACGGGATGTGAAATCAGCAAGCTTTGGAAAGGGGTGTTAACATAGCAGAAGATTGCATTTTTTGTGTGAAATTAGGAAGCTTTGGAAAGGGGTGACGAAAATATGAGGTGAGGAGGGCAGAGGTAAGGGTCCGTGAATGGAGGCGCAGTCGCTATGGAGACGAAACTTCTGTCGGTATAAGATGTGAAATTACGAAACTTTGGAAAGGGGTGATGAAAATATGAAAATGTGAGCGTAAGGATCCCTGAAAGTCTGAGGGCGAAAAGTTTGCGGGTGAAAAGTCTGTGGGTGAAAAGTCTGTGGAAGAAGAGTCTCTGGATGAAGAGTCCCTGGGTGAAAAATATGGATGCAACGTGTATGGGTGAAAAGTCAGTGGGTGAAAAATGTGACACGGCTGTGCGTGAAAAAGTCTGTGGGTGAAAGTCTCTGGGCGAAAAGTGTGTGAGTGAAAAATGCGCGGGTGAAAAGTCCGTCGGTCAAAAGTATATGGGTGAAACGGGTATGGGTGCAAAGTCTGAGGGTGCAAAGTCTGTGGGTGAAAAGTCAGTGGGCGAAAAGACTGTGTGCGAAAAGTGTATGGGTGAAAGTCTGTGGGTGACAAGTATATGGTTGAACAGCCTTGGGCGTGAAAAGTATATGGGTGAGAAGTATATGGGTGAAAGACGGTGGGTGAAAAGTCTGTGGGTGAAAAGTATATGGGTGACAAGTCTGTGGGTGAAAAGTAGGTGAAAAGCCTATGGAAAATAACTCGCTGGGTGAAGAGTCTCTGGTGAAATATATATAAGTGAAAAGTCTGTGGCTAAAAAGTCTGTGGGTGAAAGGTCTGCGGGTGACAAGTCTGTGTGTGAAAAGTGTGGGTGAGAGGTTTATGGTTGAACAGTCCGTAGGTGAACAGTCTGTGGGTGAAAAGTCCGTGGGTCAAAAGTATATGGGTGAAACAGGTATGGGTGAAAAGTCTGAGGGTGCAAAGTCTGCGGGTGAAGAATCTGTGGCCGAAAAGTGTATGGGTGAAAGTCTGCGGGTGAAAAGTCTGCGGGTGAAAAGTCTGTGGGTGAAATGTCTATGGGTGAAAAGTCTGTGGGTGACAAGTTTCTGGGCGAAAAGTGTATGGATTAAAAAGTACATGGGCGAAGAAAAGTATATGGAGGCAAAGTCTGAGGGTAAAAAATATATTGTTGAAGAGTCTCTGGGTGGAAAATCTAGGGGTGAAATGTATATGGTTGAACAGTCTGTGGGTGAAAAGTATATGGGTGAAAGACCGTGGGTGAAAAGTCGCTGGGTGAAAAGTATATGGGTGAAAAGTCTGTTGGTGAAAAGTATATGGGGGGAACAATCTGAGGGCAAAAAGTACATTGGTGAAGAGCCTCTGGGTGAAAAGTCTGTGGGTGAAAAGTGTGTGGGTGAAAAACCCGTGGGTCAAAAGTTTACAGGTGAAACAGGTATGGGTGAAAAGTCTGAGGGTGCGAAGTCTGTGGGTGAAAAGAGCGCGGGTGAAAAAAATGTGGGCAAAAAATGTATTGGTGAAAACCCCTGGGTGAAAATTATATGATTGAAAACTCGAAAAATATAATGTAAATATATATATATAATATGTGAAAGTCTGAGGGTGCAAAGTCTGCGGGTGAAAAGTCTGTGGGTGAAAAGTCTGTGTGCAAAAAGTGTATGGGTGAAAACTTTTGGGTGAAAAGTATATGGTTGAACAGCCTTGGGTGAAAAGTATATGGGTGAAAAGCCTGTGGGTTAAAAGGCTGTGGGTGAAAAGTCTCTGGGTGAAAAGTCTGTGCAAGAAGAATCTCTGGGTGAAGAGTCTCTGGGTGAAAAGTATGTGGGTGAAAAACCAGTGGGTGAAAAGTATATGGGGGAAGAGTCTGTGGGCGAGAAGTGTATGGTTGAACCGTCTGTGGGTGAAAAGTATATGGATGAGAAGTATGGGTGAAAGACTCCGGGTGAAAAGTCTGTGGGTGAAAAGTATCTGGGTGAAAAGTCTGTGGGTGAAAAATCTTTTGGGGAAAATAGGGGTAGGTGGGATGCTGGCTTTCGTTTCCCCTCTTCTCAGGTGATCCTTTTTCATCATTTTGTCACAGTTTTTCCGTTACATTCCATCATATTATTCATCAATATCCATTCTTTTCCAATCATGTGTCCATCATTTTCCCATCATCCCATTGATTTCCCCATGTTTTGTTTCCCATATTTTTGCCATTTTTCCCAGGCCAAACAGCGCATCACGCAGCTGGGCGTGTCGCGCAAGGGCGAAGGTTTATTGGAAGCTCTGGCTTGCTTCTCCCATGGCCGGGGCCTAGGCGCTGAACATCAGGGGGAAGGGATGGGAAGGGCTGTATCCCCGAGTTTTTCTCTTCCCAAAATGACGGATGGAATGGATATGTCCAAAGCGGGATGGTCAGGATTTTCTGCAGTTTGGAGAGACTTCTGGCGGTGTGAGACTGTTTGGATCTTCCCTGCCTTGTGAGTTCCTTATCGTGTGGGTTTCTTATCGATGAAACGGTTCTTTCCCAAGCATCGAGTTCCTGGAAACTCGTGGATGTTGAAGGTTTAAGTCTCAACATCGGACATGATCCGATCCGAAATTGTCCGAACTTGACTGGGACTAATAATGATAATAATGATAATAATAATAATTTTAATAATAATAATTTTAATAATAATAAATAATAATAATAATAATTTTAATAATAATAATATTTTTAATAATAATTATAATAATAATGATAATAATAATAATAATTTTAATAACAGTAATAATAATAATTTTAATAATAATAATAATTTTAATAATAATTTTAATAATAATAATAATAATTTTAATAATAATGATAATAATAATAATAATTTTAATAACAGTAATAATAATAATAATTTTAATAATAATAATAATTTTAATAAAAATAATAATTTTAATAATAATAATTTTAATAATAATAATTTTAATTTTAATAATAATAATTTTAATAATAATAATAATTTTAATAATAATAATTTTAATAATAAATAATAATAAATAATAATAAATAATAATAAATAATAATAAATAATAATAATTTTAATAATAATAATTTTAATAATAATAATAATGCATGCATGTTTTCAATGTGTTTTGATATATTTTGGTATCGGAACGACATGAACTTTACTCATTTTGCCGTGATCCCTCAAGTCAGTAATAGAAAAACCGAGCGTACATGGGTCGCATCCCAGTTATTTACCTGGGGCTTTGGGGTAAAAAAGTCAGTACCTAGGCCTAGACTATTCCACTCACTTCAGATGGATTGTCTCTGTAGAGTAGGCCATTGTTCATTGGTTTAACCGGTTTGATATCGTCATGGGAAATTCAGCGGCAACTAACTTTAGGACCGTATTCCCAAGTTTGGCTTCAGTCCCTCTTGAAAAAACTGTGAAGTTCAGTTCCCATCAAAATTTCCGTTTGCAGCTGGAAATCAAGCACGTAAAATCCTTATGTTAGCATATGTTAGCTTCTTTCTGTTGCTTAAATGGCAGTTCTTGATTGGCAAAGCCCCAATGTTTCTTGGTAAATTCACAATTTTTTTTCCGGGCTCCCCTTGAAAGCGCGGTGCCGGTCGCCGGTCCAGGTGCCGACCAGCTCTCCATCCCGGCCAGCGCTTGTCCGGAGACGCCGGGCCCGGCCTCTGTGCGAGGCGGAGAGACGTCAGGCTGCAGATGGTGGTGTTAAAGATCCAGAAAATCACAAGAACCAAATGCTAAATCACAAGATCCGAATATTAAACATGGAATATATATATATAATTATACATGTGTAACCATCAAAAGTGGTGATTGAATGGGATATTCAGATATAAAACAAGTACCCCCCAAATCCATTGGTTAATCATTATTATCCCTGATGGTGTTTCAGCCAAATGAAGAACAGGACATCTCTGGTTGTTGATTGGGGTTGGGACTGTTACTGTAGGGTCGCTGTGATCGAACTACACACGCATTTGTTTGACAAGGGGAAGTAGCATGATATAAACTGGGGAAAATGCAGGTTTTAACCTCATTTACAAGCATTTGCGAGGCACATCACGAAATATTGAACTGGGTGACTTCCTCCAAAAAACACTGGGAAATATCCAGGTATGCCACCCATCTATACCTCAGTTGCCAACTGCGTTATTTTTCCTAATTATATAACCAACATTTAAATCTCTGTATCCCAAGTTCCCACTTCTAAATTCATGTACAAAGGATATCCAACAAATTGATTTAGACAAGTTGCCAAAAGTTGGAATATCAATTATACAATATATAGCATGATAGTTGGTTATAAAGGATATGTCATGATACATCCCCAATTTCCCAAAAAATCCCAACAAACCACTTGGCGCCAGGCGAAGCCCGAACACCTCGACGGCCGACCACACCGAGTCGCAAGGCATCGCCACGCCGGGGCAATCTTCAAGAGGCGCTGGATGGATGCTGAGTGGAGATGTTGGTGTGGTCATACTGCATGTGAAGATATGTGAAGATATGTGAAGTGTTCGGAAGTGTTTGGAAGTGTTTGGAAGGACCATGCTGATGACCATTTGATACCATTTGTGTGTATTAAATGATGATCAGAATGTTCAGACTGTTCGCGCATGATGTTGCATTTCTTTCCGTGCTCAGATGTCTTCACTATTGACTGAATTCGATGTTCAAAATTATCCCGAAAAATATATGCATATTATATAGATCTTCATTGTTCAAAGGACCTTCTGTACTACAGTACCAAGCGTGCCAATCTATGTAGCACGAACACACACGAATCATTTTCGCCTCACAGCGACGAGGAAATGGGTTAGCATTTTCCCAAAAGACGCCAGGATGTGTTTCAATCTTTAGCGCCAGGAGGAGTACCAAGCATGGCTGGCTGAGGAAGAACGTCGGCGTCAGATGCAGGACATGGGTCCCAGTAGGATTGGATTCACGTTTCAAACGTTGCATTTGATCATTTTGATCACAACTTCACACGCTGTCCATATCTGCAATTCTAGTTTCCTTCGTCCTTGAAGCGTTTTCCCTCTACTTTGCACATGCAAGATTTATACGCACACTGAGCCAGTAACGTGGGCATAGCATAAGAATGTTGAACGAAACAGGAGTGATTGAAGAGGCCAGAATCAGCCTACTTGCACGAACTCTCCTACAATGTATGGCTCATGGATGGTGGTGTTGGCCATAACCTGGCTCTATTGGTTTAAACTTGGGCACTTCTTCCCACCGATGTCCGCAACCCGAAAGGAGCGTGCCGTCGAGCGTGTACAGACGGATTTCCAGCATTTCATCGCTTTGATTGAGAGGGTCCGGCACCCTACACTGACTTCACTCTCAACATTACAAAAAAGAACACTACTGTGATGTACAATGTGGAACCAGTCCGGGACGGTTTTTGAACTCGTTGTTGTTGTTGTGACATTTTTGGGCATTGCAAATAAATGTAAGCTCCCCCATTTTGGACGCGTTTCCAGCGTTGCAGTGAACCCCTTTGATGTCTCTGAGCACTTGGGGCCTTGGGGCAGAAGAAATGGCTATGTCATGCTGTGTCTGAATTCATGGCCTATACAACTATACAACCCCATTTAAGTGGTTTGTTTTGTTCATGGGGAAACTGATGACTTACCCATATTTACCAGCGGACTTTATTGGGTAAGCCGGCTTTCCGGGCTTTCAAGGCGGTGCTCTCGGATTCCGGAGCCGAATCTCCGAACCCCGCAGCACCTTGGGTCACATGGGTTGATCGTTTTGAGAAAGTTCAGCTTTGGGAAACAGCAAACAAAAAGCTTCACTTGAGATCCCAGCTTCGCAAATGGACCACATGGACCATCATGGACCCATCCCAAGTTCGACTTCCCCATTTGGTGTCTGCCTGGATTCTTGTTCGGTGCTTTGAGAGACTCTATTCCCAGAATTGGATAAAAGGAAACTGTGCAGGACAGCCGCAAATTTCATGGGGGAAAACCATGTTTCGTGGTCCAATTTTTGCTTCCTCCAGCTCATTGAATCCTCGGTCTGGTTGAAAAATCCCCATTCTGCATCATTTTTCATGGATAAGTCCATCATTCTTCATCATTTTTCAAGGAAATTTCATGGACACGTCGACATGTTTTCATGGTGAAATCCCCCTGCATCACTAAGGCATTGCTCGAACGCCTGCGTGCGGTGGTGCATCCGGGAGATTCTGGATCGGCCCGCGATCCTTGAGGTGTGGAAAATTGAATGCTGCACTAAGGGCCAAACGTCCAAAAACATGGTTAATAAGAGGAATCATCCCAAAGTGGCTTTATTTCCAGGTTAGTGAATTATTATCATTTGGCCAGATAAATGGGTGATTTTCCATTGCTATGTTAAAGGATCCAGAAGGATCCAGAAGGTGTAAATGGTTCAAGCGTGGATAAACATAAGAATTGTGTGCATTATTCCTTGCCAGGTCAATTCATTCATTCATTTTGGTTTGTCTAAAAGCATAGAAGGACAATCGGACAATCCCGGAAATCCAAGTGTTTTTTCATGAGTTCTCCCAGTAAAATCGCTCCAGTTTCAGACAAACCCATTTAATTTTGTAAATGAATAAACATGGTGGATGATGGCTTGCTAGGTGAACACCCAGCACCCGGGACAGCTGGGAGATGAATCATGGTGCTGAGTGAGAACTGCCGTAGGATCAAACATCCCAGGAAAGATAAGGAAAGAGACGAGACATGTCCAGATGACATCGGAGAATCATTACGATATACTGGACATTGATATACCATGTGAATCCATGTGATTTGACATCGAATATCATATGACCATGTGATGGGACCCTTGCCATTGCTATGCCCTTGATCATAGGATTCCAGAGAGTTGGATGTGTCAAGGTAGCTGTAAGTCCTGCAGTAAACGAGGCTTCACACGCTGGGCTCACGCCGTGTACTTTACATCGCTGCAGGAAATTCGAAATTTGCCACCTGGCAGGGCATCGAGACAGACGCAACATGACGCAACGCGACAAAAAGGGGTCCATGGAGAAAGCAGGTTCCAGTTTACAGTAGAGCCTAGCCGTGCCACTGGTGCGAACTTGTAGTTGGCCAAAGGCAAAACGTGTTTTTCTTGATTGCAGCTGTACATGTTTGAAGGTCTGTGAGTGTGCATGGTTGTGTGTTGTTTTTCCCCAACAGCAAAAAGCTGCACCGGATCGCACCAGATTAGCTCCGGTGCGATCCAGTGCTGTTCCGGACAAGGTTCCGGAGTACCTTGTGAGGTTCCGGAAGGTTCCGGAGCAGAGACCTTGTGAGGTTCCGGAGGGTTCTGGTGCAGATGCTTTGTGAAATTCCAAAGGGTTCCGATGTTTTTTTATGGCATAAGCACTTAATTTTTATGGCATAAGCGCTTACAGTAATTTTTATGGCATAAACATTTTTTGTGGCAACAACTCAGCTTTCAATCTGTTGGGGATAGCACCTGAGTTTCTTTTTCACTGATTTCAGTATAGTATATTTCTTCCATATTTATATGATACTATATGATTAAATACCTATGAGAAATGGGGATATCCTTTGCAGTGTTTATGTACTGCAACAGTTTGTCCCACGTCCTACAGTAATCGATTCATTACGCACATCTTCGAAGTGTGGCCTACAAGTGATTTGAGCGAGATTCTTCGTCAGGGAAGTTGACATAGCTTTCAGGATGTGCTATGAGGTCTATGGGATGGGTGGGATCTATGGGAATCTGAATTATATTGAATAATTCCCGAATCAAACCCAAACTTCAACGCAGACAGAGGAATGTAAACCTAAGAGATGGTACTCAAGGTACTCTGCCCGCAATCTCCAGAGGTCCCCACGGAGGGAAGTGAAACCCAAAGTAGTCGGGCACGTTTCCAATGGAAACCTTGTGACATTGTTCTGCCCCCAATCTTTGGGCTCTGAGAAGCGAGCTCGCATCCTAAAGTGGATGGCATCATGTGGAGACGCCTTGCGGAGACAGTCCAACTGGACACCGCTGTTCCCTTCCCAGTCCTCTCTGCCCCTGGGTTGCTGGAGAATGTGGGCGTTCCGTTTCAACGACTTGGGACCCCTATCCGCTCTAAAACAAAAAAGAGTTATATATACCCCCATATATGGAATATTACCACTGGAATATATGGGATTGTATGGGTTTTATATATTCTGGATTATAAACCACTTACTAAGTGGGATGTGCATATGCACATTGCTACTTGAGTTTCTCTTCTTGCCAGCTGACGTTGAGTAGTGTAGTTTAATTACCCACAGGACGAGGGGTTGTCCCGAAGGGACAACCCCTCGTGCTATGAGGGTATGGCCCTCGGCGGAGCTAGCAACCCATTGGTTCCATCATCCCAGTGCCAGGGGATCTCCTTGTCATAACAACAGTGACGTCCTACGCATACTTCTATTAGGGGTTTCATTTAGGGTTTACATAAGTTATAAAATCCCCCGGCCCCATGGAACATATATGCATACTTCTATCAGGGGTTTCATTTAGGGTTTGGGTAAGTTAAAAAATCTCCCGGCCCCATGGAACATTTACGCATACTTCTATTAGGGGATTCATTTAGGTTTTACGGGTTTACATAACTTATAAAATCCCCTGGCCCCATGGAACATATACGCATACTTCTAGTAGGGGTTTCATTTAGGGTTTACATAAGTTATAAAATCCGGACTCGCCAAAAAAGTGAAACAGATTGAAAGAGTGGAAATTGCCGAAAGGCGTGAAGTCCGCAGAGAGTTCACTTTTCTGACTGATTTTTCCAAAAATTTGTCTTAGACCACGCTAACCTACAGATGTACCAGAGTCATAAAACACTGCGCCTGCGCAGAGAAATGAACCTCCCACTGACGTTCATACGACCATTCCGGGACAACCCTCAGTCCTGCCAGTTTAATTACTCGAGCATTTTTTAACACACCAGTGAGTTCAAAATGATCTCAACTAATTTGACAAACCCAATTTCAATGCTATAGACCGCCGCAAAGTGGGGATGGTTTGTACCACTCCTTTTTAAGTCAGCAATCAGGTCTGGCTATGTCTTGCTTGGCCCCTTCCGGCTCTCCTTTTCTGGCTGGCTGAACACTATGCCCGGCGACGGAGAGTGACCGCAGAGGGTTCCGAAGGAACGATGGACGGAACTGCGGACCTCGCATTACTTAGCCCGGTGTCGAGGACCGAGAGGGAATTCACTCCTTTCCATCCTGGACGTTTTCGAGTGATGTTGGCGTCCTTGGAACATTCCATTCCACATCTGGGTTGCAAGGCGCAGGCTGGTGGCCTAGGGAAGGTCATGAACCTGGTCGCCCGTCATCACCCCACAGACATTTTGATGGTACATCCCAAGATGAAAGGCTTGACATACCGACGCTTGCCTGAAATCTTAGCACCAGTTTTGTTTGGTTGACTAATCTAATGTGGGTCCTTTGATTCTAATTATGTTCGATTAAAGGAAAAGCGGAACTTTGAGGAAAGGTGCCTTTTGGTGTCACGAATATGAAAGTCATCCAGCGCCATTAACCTCAATTGGCTGTGTGTTTTTAGCAACCCAGAAATGGAAAGTCCTGTTGTGTGTGGCGTGGGATTTTTGGGTTTTCCCTCGAAAAACATGATGGTTCCAGCCAGAAAACGACACCTTGGCATACAGGTTTGTCTGAAAATATGGTAGCCCTCATTCCATGTACATCCATGTACTGGTTTATCATCATGTTCCCTATTCAGATTGCCATAACTGGGGGATACTTGGGGTTCATCCATCATTTTCAGGTCACAAATTGACCAGGTCACGACTTTGAGCTTCCACCCCTGAGAATCACCATCGACGGGCGAGAGCAGCTGGTGAGGGTCTTTCACGTCAAACCTGCGCCCGATGAGAGTCCCACCGCCAGCAAACGAGGATTTCTGTTGTCCCTTGGACATGAAGAGATTTTGCTGGACCAAAACCAGGGTGTTTCTCCATGATTAATCCTATAATCCTATATTTCATGCAATTATTAGTGAAACAACGTCAATGTGCACCACACAAATGGCGGGCACAAGAACGGTGGATGGTTTGGGTGTTATGGTACCATATTTCGGTGCACTAAGATGTCTATACATAGACAACTACTAGTCATAGCTGCATATGTATCAGATAGTTACGAACTATATGAACACGCCTTTGGTTTTGTTAGACCTTTTTGATACTTTTTGCCTGTCCAAAAAGCTACTGCGCTTTTTTTTGCAGCTGACATTTGAGGCTAGGGCACCCGTGGTTTGAGGAGCGGGGGAAGGAAAACATCTATCCCAACCCGATGTCCAAAAGGAAGGTCCTTTGCTTTTTCTCTCTCTGGAATCAGTGTGTGGGCCATCTGCTGCACCGCTACAAACCGCATATTTATCACTGCCCGGATTTTCACACCTGTATTGCGCCGTGGTATGCTCTCCAAAATCAAGATCCAACGGAAGCAGTGGATCTACGCATGCTGCTGGTCTTGCACAACGCGGAGTACCAAGGGACGGTTTCAACCGATATGGTGGGCTCGAGAGAGAGCGAAATGCTGGCGCGAATTTTCAATGTTTCCCAGGATTTTGTATATCAACATCTCACAGCGGAAGGTCGTTTCAACATGCTAAAGGCTGGAGTTGACTTCTTGCTGACATATCAGGAGTGGGGGAATGGACTGGCCGGTTGCTGGTTGCGCTTGGTTCATTGGCAGGGGCATGATGGAGCTGTATTACCAGGGTTAGAGGGAGTTCTATGATCGAATCATAGAAAAGGAACATGTAGAAAACTTTCTGTATAACATATCATTGTACAACCGCAAGCCATGGACTGGGGATTCCCTTCATCAACCAAGAAAAGTTTTTGGGACCACTGGAGCCAGTTGCCAGGAGGGTCAAGGTGCCTGTGCTGTTTCACAATACTATGCCCATGAATGCCATGCCAGGCAGGAAATTGGGTTCCGGAATTGTCCGAATTGGGACCCAGATTTGGGTACAAACATCCTTTACCAATCTTTACCAATCTTTACCATAAGTGGAATATTTGGATTCAACATAATTCAACATATTTTTGGAATGCCCAACATAAATGGGATTCGTTCTAGTTGGAGCAACCATAATTTCTCGCAACAGTTGGCAGCTCAAGTGGTTGAAATCCTGGACGCCAGGTATAGCGTATTTTGGCAACTGCCAACCATCAGGGGATGTGACAACCCAATGCTGGAGGATGAACGAGAGGCCGGGTCGACATGGTCGAGATATGTCGAGATGCTTCCAGGTTTGCTGTCTTGTTCATCAGGTAGAGAACATGGCCTGAACATGGCCCCAAAAAAATGGCCCTATCCGTCGGTCCTGAGGAGCTGCTCAAAGACTTAAGCAGCAAGAAGTCTGAGGCCAAGCGTGATGTACAGAACCTTGGTGAAGTTCCCATGCTGTCAATGTCTGTTCCTCCCTGATCCTCACTTGGTTGGATTCCTGTTGTGATTGTATATAGGTGCATATTTAATCAACGTTATATAGTTAGTTTTATGCATATGTACTGATCTCTTTCTCTATTATGTATATACGTATATATACGTGTATATATATATATAACATTTATGTACGTATGTTGTAATGGAATTAATGTGTATATATATATATACTGTATATATATATATACATATTATGTAATGTAGTGCAATGTAATGGAATGCAATGGACTGCAATGGGATGTAATTGGCATGGAATGTACAGGTAATGTATATACTGTACTATCAATGCAGTGTATGGTGAATGTGATTGTGAATGTAAATGCGAACGGAATGGATCGCCACACCAGCGGAGAGGAAAGAATTTGGCTTCAACGTGGATCCCAACGCACGTCTCTTTGTCTCCTTGGGACGCCTGGTAAGACAGAAAGGTGTGGATATCCTTGCTGATGTGGCAGAGTGGTTACTGAGCACATATCCAGAGGCACAACTCTTGGTGATTGGGCCGCCTGCAGATGGTTTTGGCTATTATGCACAGAGAAGATTGGAAGCACTGGCTGACTTGGAGCGTTTCCAAGGCCGGCTGGTGGCCAAATGTCAGTTCATCGAAGCAAAACCTTCTTTGAAATGGGGGGCTGACTTTTGTTTGATGCCATCCCGCGATGAGCCCTTTGGATATGTGGACATTGAGTTTGCCTGGCGAGGGGCTGTGATCGTCGGAGCACAATCAGGAGTCTATGGTCGATGCGTTTAAAAAAACCTGTCATCCTGTTGCCCTTTAAAACCTTGTTTCAACGAGGTTTTGAGCTGGTTTAGTTGTTTCGAGTACTACTGTTGTTTCTTAGTAATTAAGAAACTGGGAGACCCCCAACGGTTTTCATATGTTCCACGGGGATGGAACCGCACCATGCTTTGATTGTTATAGACCAGCACATGTTTTGATAGTTGGAACAAAAAACCAGCACTTCGTCTTCCAAAGTCCCAGGTATACATATATATATATATGTATATATACATATATATATGTATATATATCATGATACACACCAAAAAGATGCCATTTCTCACTTCTTCATCTTCCTCCCAGGAGGTTTGGGCAAAGTTCCCGGCTTTTACTACGTGCAGCAGAACCGCGAGAATCTGAACCGCCTCCGGCGGGAGCTCCGGACCGCGGTGAACAACGCCATGCAGGCGACCCCACAGACCTTGGCGGAGATGTCACGGAGAGCCATGGAGAGTAGCTTTCCATTGGTGGAATGGCAGGCTGGATGGGATGGGAACCATGGGATTTATATGGATTTATATGGATTTATCACATTTCATCACATGAATTTATCACTTTTTATGAACAAAACATGGGGAAATTCTATGAAAATCTATGAATTCAAAAGCTGGGACAAGGGAAGGTGGGGAACCATGGGATCATCATATTCTCCATGATTGTAAAGAGTCCCCATAAAATAGTGATGTATCCCACATCGACACACCCTTCTATTCTTCGGCTGCTGGTGTTGTTGGTTAAAGGTTTCTCTTTTTTTCTAAATTTCAAACAGGCCCCCGCCCCATCCAATGGTCCAGGATCATCTTCCCCATCATATTCCGACGACTTTTTGCTGGTCTCGAATTTTATGGCCACTCACAAAATGGGAAATTTTCGGAAAGGGATGCCCCATTCTTGGAACCCAGCTGGATCCTGTTGTTGTAACATCTTGCTGGTCCTGGTGATCGTAAGTTTGCTGCTGTAGATGTCCTGTCTCTGACTGCTTGACCCAAACGGACGACCCAAAGTCGTTTTCCCATTAGGACCTCAGTGGGAAGGGCCCATGTTTGTTGGTTTTTTGGGTTTTTTTGGGGTGTTCCAAAGAAAGCTGAAGGTCATGAGGATTGCTGGAAAAAAAGTGGGCTCCTCTTGTGCATATGCTCAAAGTCTAAAGAATTCCAAGGTACGTCTTGAGATGTCGGAAAAAAGTGTGGTGGGGAAATAGGGTATCATCTTGTATCTTGATAAGTAAGTGCGACTATGAGATAGGTCAATTCGCAGTACCATTTCCCCAGCATTTTTCTCCAAGGGATTCTACTCTGCGCACGCTTCCAGGAGAGCTTGATGGAGAACTACGAACGCGTGCAGGTCCCGGGCTGTGACAGCGATGTGGAGCTGAGCCATGTGGCTTCCAGCAGCGAGATCTGGTTTCCAGATGAGGTGTCTGCGGTGCCCGCTCCGAAGGAGCCTGAGGTGACAGACCCCCAGGGCTGGTTGCCGCAGGATGAAGATGAATTCTTTTGGCAGGAACTTACAGAGGAGGAGATCTCACAGAGGCGCTTTTCCTTTCGGAACATGTTGGAGATGTCTGACAAAAAGTAATTATGTAAAATTACAGAGAAGATATATTGTTATAGACTATGTATATAATTATATATATATATGTGCGTGTCTCATCGCTCGCACTCAAAGCTACCTTCGTGTGCACGGAATTAATGGGTTGGACTCGAGCTGCCCTCGAGCGGATGATGCCTGCAGAATGTGCAGATTTTTTTAGCACTGTGGATGATATCAATGATGGATATTCAAGCAATGTCCAGAAGATTCCTGGATATTCCTGGTTCTTCTTTGTGAATTAAGAAGATGTAATATGAGTGCTTTCATGCGGTTTCTGGACTAATCCAATATGTAAGCCTCATCAGCCTGTACATTTGAGCCCCCCTGAGGGTAACAGCTCAACTGGATGCGAGTCAAAGTGCCAGTGAAATCCCAAGCATCGAGACAATTCTTCAGACGATGCTTGGATTCGATGACGACTTTTTTTGGATTTTCCCAGTGGATCCCAGTGACCCAAAACGGAGGATCTCCTGCGAATCTTCGTTCGTTTTGGATTCGGCCCTAAGAAATCCAAGGATAGGCACTGAACGATCCAAAGAGCGTGAAAGCGGAGCGGTTGCGAAGTGGCTCATTGAGCCATGGTACGGAACGGCAAAGGTGCATTGGCTGGTGTCTTGTGCCTACATCGCATGCCCTTTGTCTTCGCTTTTAGTCTTGGTGGTGGCCATGGAATCTAGGCTTTGTTGAAATATGTCGAAACATTTGAGCGTTGTTGTCGTGGTAGATCATTCAGATTCCATTAGTGGTTGACACAGAAGTGTTCGTCCCCGAACCAGCTTCCCAGGACAAATATATCTTCGATGTTCAGGGTTTACCACTATATAATATGTGAATATATGTGATATATTCATATATATGTGATATATTCATATAATATATATATATGTGATATATTCATACATATATATATACATATTCATAATATATATATATGTATACACATGTATGTAATGTAATGTAATGCAATGCAATGCAATGCAATGCAATGCAATGTAATGCAATGCAATGCAATGCAATGTAATGCAATGCAATGCAATGCAATGCAATGCAATGCAATGTAATGTAATGTAATGCAATGCAATGCAATGTAATGTAATGTAATGCAATGCAATGTAATGTAATGCAATGCAATGCAATGTAATGCAATGCAATGCAATGCAATGTAATGTAATGTAATGTAATGTAATGCAATGCAATGCAATGTAATGTAATGTAATGCAATGCAATGCAATGTAATCTAATGTAATGTAATGTAATGCAATGCAATGCAATGTAATGTAATGCAATGCAATGCAATGTAATGAAACTCTGTTCATGGTAACTGGGGCTTTGGTTTTTGCAACTGGGGCCTTGGTTTCTCATCAAGGCTTCATCTGTGTTTGCTATGTCAAGCTCAACGTGTAACAAAAAGTTTCTGTATTTTTGGCAAGTTAACTTTCTCTTGGCATCCTGTTGGCCAAAGAACACTTGGTCTTGGAGTAGTGGTGATGTATGCTTGGCAGCTCAACACTCAACACCTTCAACAATACTACTTTTATGATGCAATACTTTTATGTGTGCAACATGCCTAATAAAAGAGTTACTAGTTTTTGGTCATATGGATGCAAAAGCATTCCCCTTGAAACTGTATTTGCCAATGGGGAGCAGCAAACAACAGGGAGCTTACTATTTTTTTGATATCAGGACACACAGCCCACAGTTTTACTGAGGCCATGTTTTCCCAATGTTAAAAGGCAGGGGACCTAACACAACAACCATGGACCAAGGACCAAGCACACACACAAATTGCCCCAACACAAGCACAGCTCCAGAGTCCAGAGCAGCCATTTTTCTGCAAGGGCTGAGGGAGCATCTGCAAGCTTCCGATCTTGGTTTCAAGACCAAAGACTGTGCAACCAAAGACCGTGCGACCAAAGACTTTGCAACCCAAGACCCAGAACCCAACGACCGGCAACCTATGGGCCAGGCTGTCGGCGTGTCAGGTGGTCTTCAATGTGGGGCAACAGATCTTTGCAGCCGCAGATTGTAGGCCAAACAAGAAGCCCAACCCCATCATGGCTGAGGAACTGGCCTGCAGCATGTGTTTCATAGTCAAGCAGCAATCCCTTGATATCATCTCTGATGTTGGTGAGCCAGAGGGTGCTGTGCCGGATCATTTTGTGATCAAAAGGCATCACAATGGAAGAGCTGCTGAAGCGGTTGAAGCTCTTGTATGGGGTGTCCTGGATCTGTTTGTCCTGGAGCAAGTTGTCTGCAACAGCAAGAATTGAGGCATGGGCTTTTGCAAGGAGCTTGGACCAGTAAGGGTTGTCCTCGAACATGTCTTGCAGGAACTGAATGACCCGGATCCACTGCTGCATGGTATAGGTGACAACATGCTCATACTCATGATTTGGGTCTCCGAAGCCCTCAGACAGCAGGTCCCTCATTTCCTCCACGTGCTCTTTCAGGACATGGCCATTCGGCATGGTAGGTGGCCAATGACCAAGGACCAAAGACCCTGGCCACCAAGGACCAAGGACTAAAGACCAAGGACCAAAGAGACCAGCGCCCGAATCCAAGTAACTAGCCCTGCTTGAGTCCTGCAAGCAGCACAAAGTTTTGGGAAATTCAGCCAAATCATGCCAGTGAGATCACAGATCCAAAGATTGGAACCAAGGACCAAAATTTTGTGCAAGTGAGTTGCGTGACCAGCACTGTGAAAACAGCATTGCGCCAGCACGGGTCGCTAGTTGTGCAGCCAAGCCTAGGAACAATGCCACCTCACCCGCGAGCGTTACTTATTCCCAAAGTCTCAGCATCTACCAGCTAGCTTAAGCAGTACCACGCATCGCAATGCACGCTGCGCCAGCCCATTATGCTAAATTAAATTAGCTCCTTCCTCCTCATCATTCCTCATCATCAGTGCAGCAACGCGTGCTGTCAATGACCACCCGCAATCTTCCTGCCTGTAGGCAAGCTCTCGGATCACCCCACGTCCTTGAATCATGTACCGAAACATGCTAGATTAAGATTTCCAAAGATCAATCAATCTTGGGAGAACCATGAACTCCAAAAAACCTTTATCAAATCAGTTCCATCAGGGGGTGGGACCCTTTGAATTCAAATGTGTGCCCAGCAACACCAAACTAGCAGTTTAGTTGAACTCCTTAATGCTGTGTGTGTGACCCACCACAAAGGCTCCAAGATAACTAGCGATTGAATTGAAAGGCAGTTGCAATTTTGAAAGGGGTGTTAATTCGAGAATGAAGAAAATAAGTTCAAAAGATGGCACCCACAAAAACAAGTGTAATTATCTCTATATATATATATTATCTTTATAAAATGCACATTGGAAGCCAAAAACAGCATTGGACCTGTGAAGGGGAATTCAGAACTAAATTCACTTCTGATTGTGTTTCCACTTGACAGGTAGGTGGTTCAACAACTACAACCGTGGGTTTGTGCTTTTGTTTTCACATATGCCATATTTACATGGTTCATAGAAGTCAGCAAGGGGCATGAATATTTGTGATTTTTTATATACGCCCTGTATCACAAGGCCTTTAAATAATTAGAAAGCATTTGCTGGAATGGTGCAATGCAAACGCAGGTCCTATAGGTCCTAGAAATCAGTGAAGAATACGATAAGATTGACCCCAAACATGCGTTTTTGTGGCTTTACTTGGCACAAAAACTGCATTAGGTTCTAGTGCCATGATTTTATGATCTGCAACTGATGAATATTTCAAGAAGACGATAGTCATGAGTCATGACGAATGTCTTTGGCTCTTTTACATCTATGTTGTTGTTTCCCTCATTAACATATTTCTTTAGTTATATTCTACGGTTTTCGGTGTTTGGTCCTCGGTCCACTTGCCCTGTTTAGGCCAGCCTTGCCTAGCCAGTGCCTGCTGCAGCAGCAGCAGCAGAGGTGCCTGTCTAGGGTTGGGACGGGTCATGTAGGGAGGTCCTTGGTTAGACACCTTTTAAGGAAGTCCTTGGTTGGGTCTCCTTGGTCCTAAGTCCGATGATATGTTTGATTATTTGTTTCATGTCATGTTGACACCCAACAGCCAAACAAATTGCACCAAACGTGTACCGGAAACAGTTCCTAAAAGAACCGCCGTACCGGAAACCACCAGTTCAGGAACAGGCTCAAAATGTGGGAAACTTGCGTCTTTTTTCATTCAGTAATCAGAAAAAATCCAAAAGAAACAAGTTTCATTGTAAGTGGATCAAAAAACTTAAAGCAGAACCTGTGAATAGCTTAGATTTTTCAGCCCCACAACCCAGTACAGCGCTTGGCTCTGTTTTTCGCAATGCATTAGCTTGTACAGTCCGACTGGTAGCTACCAAAGGACCAAGGTCTTAATCAAAAGTGTTTCAGCTCCAACTCCTGCACCATGCGCCTGACTGTATCCAGGCCCAATTTTGGTTTCCGGAGGATTGTCCTGAATTCTTTCTGAGTCTCCCTCCATGAAATTTTGGCGCGCTTCTGCTTCTTGACGACTGCCCGTAGTTTCTTCATTTGCTTCTTCGATGGGGCCTTCTTTTCCAAGTGCGACCTTGTGCCATTGACCTTTGCCTCACCGAACTGCGTTGTTCTCTTGGATCTTTTCTTGGCCAATGCAAGGCCCTTGGTCAACCTTTCCACAATGAGGTCTCGTTCAAGTTGGTATACTGCCAAGGTGACTAGCCTCACAAAGGTCTCCACTGGCCTGGGTTTTAGTGCAAAGAGGTTCGGAATGTCATCAGCAATGATCTCAATGCCCTTTGCTTTTGCCACTTCATAGATGTCTTCACCAACCTTGGCTGTTCTTGCGATAGCTCGTGCATTTTCCACAAATATCTTGATGTTGTTCTGGGACATGAGTGTGCCCAAGATCTTGCGTTGTTCCAATGGTTTGGTTCCACTGATAACTTCATTGCATGTGGGAATGTTCATCCTTTTCCCAACCACCAGCTTGGCTCGCTGCAGTGCAGCTTGCTTCTGACGTGGGAACCCAGTTCCATCAATCTGCTTCTTTGAACTTACCCTGCCATAGACATATGCTTTATTATTTCGATCTTGGCTCGCCTTTGCGCCTCTCTTCACTTGAGTCTTCATAGCCTTCTTATTGGCCATTGCTTGGACCAAGAACCCAAGAACCAAAGACCAAGAACCAAAGACCAAGAACCAGGAAACCCAAAAACCTCTGAACTAAGCACAAATACTCTGTGTCAAGATGTGCTTCAAATGGTTCGCTTGTAAAGATGGAAAAGCGTTGTGGGCATTTCTGCAACAATTACACCAACAACTTCCTTTGAGCCACATATCGCCGCACACGCACACACACACATTTAGTAAAATCGTGAAGCCTAACAAAAACAAAGTGAGGTAGTGAGACAACCACATGGGGGATAGGACAGATTAAAACATACAAGGTTGACTTGGCTCTTGGTCCTCAGTCCTTGGTCCTAAGTAATGCCTTTGACCATCATACTTGGTAAACAATGGTCCTTGGTGGGTAGTAAGGGTCATCAAAATGATATTCATTCATACTAATTTCCTTTATCTGAATGATTTCATGTGCAAGGTTTTTTTGGACCAAGCATTTGACTGTTGCTCCGAACAGATTTCAGTTGAGCAGCATGTCCGCCTCAGCCCAATCCCTTCTGGGTGATGACTCTGGCATAGTCTATGAGTTGAAGCTGGACAGTTTCCATGGTTGCGCTTGGAGGATTGGATTTGAAAAATGCATTTCAACCTGTTGTTTCACATGTTGTTTGACCAGTTGTTTCACCTGTTGTTGGCAAGTTCTTGGTTTTTCCTTCATGGGTTATTCATTTCCCCTGGATCAGGACCCATGACAAGCTGACCTGCCAGATGGAAATCCGGCTTCTGTTGGATGAGAAGGTCTTGTGGGCCCAATCTGTTGCAGAGATGGAAACCAACATGGCCTTGAACTACAGTGTTTTGTTGCGATCACCTTCTCCTGATGCCACTGTGCAGGTCTGGTTTTTGCTTAAAAGGGGGTGCCGTTTTTAACCGATGTTGGTTTGGTTTGGTTTTGGTTGGTTTGGTTTCACATTCACACATCACTCTTGCTAGGTGACCTTCACACAAGTGCCCAAGCCTGGCTGGGAAGAGTCGGAGCCAGCTCTGATTGGCTCATGCTCTTGGAAGCTTGCTGAGACAGGTTCTTTGATCAAGGACGTTTCACTGCCAAATTCAAAGAAGAAGGTTGGCGCTGTCTTGCGCATGCGTTCCATTGCCTTGGGTGGTGGAAGTACCATTGCTTCTGGCTTGCATGAGCGCAGATCCTTGCACAGTGAGGGCCGCTCTTGGCAGGTTCTCGGCAGTTCAGAAGCTTTCCAGAATCTTGATGGAGTGACCAATTTCACCAAAGATCAAGTCAGCCTCATGCCCGCTGCAGATGAGACTGCAACTCTGGTTCCTGGAGCTCAAAGACCTCAATCTCCTGAACGTCACCCAGCTCACACCACTGGAGGTCCTAGGTCCACAGGTCCTGGGTCTGGCGGTCCTGGGTCCAAAGGTCCTGGAGCTGCATACAGCAAGATGGAGGTTGATGATGTTAGCTTCTATGACAGTGTTTCTCAGGTCGGTGCTCGAGGTCCACTTGGTGTGAAGCCCCGCAGCAATATGACAAGCGCATCATCAGTGCCACAAGCATATGCGGGTGGGGCCGCCATGAATGCATCAGCGCTGTGTGCCAGGTTCATGGTTGACATCAGGATCTTTGAGTGGACACCCCAGTCTGTCGAGGAATACCTGAACTCTGGGCAGGTCCCGAATGGTCTGCCATTGGATGGTCAGGCCAGTGTGTCAGCCCTTGCACTTGGGTTTGACTACAGCACCAACCAGTACGACAATAAATCGCAGATCTACAACTCCGCAATTTGGACCAAGCCACTCAGTTCTGATTTCAACTTTTGCACTACCCCTTCAAAACTTTCTGCAGTTTTTTTTGCACCACACATATTCAAAGCATTACACCAAATGTTTTTTTGCGCAGGGTTCATGTGAGAATGGATGTGGTGCTTGTGTTTCATCATCAGCTCAGGGATCAGCAGCTTCTGGCCACAGCTGTCCAAGAGGGGTTGGATTATGTGCTGAGCCAAGCCGCCCAACTCGATGAGCTCGTCCGCTTGGGGCTTCGCATCAGCCGACAGTGGGTCTATCACATACTGAAAGGTGAAATGGTCTGGGGACCGGCCCTAGCCATGTGGGTCAGCCAAAGGAGGCCCTTGAAATTCAAGACCCGGGTGCAGAGAGGAGGCTTTGAAATTCAAGAGCTCTTGCCAGCGGATGATGGGGACGTGGACTATTATGCCCATGGCAACTGGTACTTGAGTTTCTTGAAGGACAGCCTCCTCCAGGGCAGGGTGTGGCAGGGTGGTCCTAGGTCTTCGGTCCCTCGGTGCCTTCCAGCAAATCAGACGCAAGAACGACATGCAATGGACCAGGAGATTGAGAACTACAACAAAGGTCTGCTGCAAACGGCATTTGAGCGGGTTTCCCTGGTTCCCCAGACTGCAGGATGTTTCCTGAGGCTCCGCGAAAACACACGGCCAATGTATACTTTGCCGCAGATCATTGGCCAGATCTACATGCAAGTGTGCACGGACCCTCACAAGTTCCTCTCTGCAAGTGCTTTGGGTTTGATTGGCCCTCCCGGCACAAATGCTCAGACTTGGTGGGTTGCAATGGACGGTTGGTACTATGTGCTGATGAGCCAGGTGATTGGTGACGGTCTCAGTGCCACAGCAGACAGCATCCGTTGGTACAAGTGTGGTTTGAATGCAGCCAGCCATGACCCCACCAACCTGAATGAAGCTGTGCCAGATGAAGGCAGGTTTTTTTTAATGCAAAAGCACATGTCAGGAAAGATACTTGTAGACATATGCTCATTTTTTTACGTTGTTTTCAAATTTATTTGGCAATTGATTTGGGTTTGCCGAAGGTGGCCGCACCCTTGCCATCTCCTATCACCAGTATGATGGGATGACTCCCCGTTCCTCGGTCATGACTGTGGGCACTCATGGCGAAGTGCAAACAACCATGGTGCTGTGGTTTCAGAAGCCGCCAACCCAACAAGGGCGTCGCCAGCAGGACTGGTGATCAAAACTTGTGATGTTGTTGCTGTTGGTGTTGTTTTTAAACTATCCACTATATATACTTGGGATCTAATGGGACTGCAAGGGATATACATGACCACTGGGATGATTGGGATACTTGCAACAGGAAAATATATGAGGAATTCCAGACCACCTCCTATACATAGACATGGATGCCCAATTTATTTCGGGGAGAGGGCCTATAGCTCCCATTTGGTGGTGGTTGTGGCTATGCAATTGTTTTTTTTTGGTTGTTGTTGTTGTTGTTGTTGTTGTTGTTGTTGTTGTTGTTGCTGCTGCTGCTGCTGTGGTTGTGGTTGTTGTTGTTGTTGTTGCTGCTGTTGTTGTTTTCAAAGATTGCATTTCATGTGATTCCATTTTTCCATCAGAGATTTGACAGGATCGCCATTTGATCCGCTGCGTGGAGGTCCCCACTGAGATCAAGGAGGCCATGCTTGCCCGTCCGAATGCCACAGCAGCTGCCAGCAGCCGTGCACCTTCGGCTGGGGCAGCTAGCCGTGGACGCTCGCAGACCCCGAGACGCCAGTCGGATCAGCAGTGGAATCAATGGAGCTGATTTTTGCCCATGGTCCTGGGTTCTGCATCCTGGGTCTGGGTCCTGGATCCTTGGTCCTTGGTTTTTAGGTCCTGGGTTTTGGGGTCTTTTGTTCACAAAGATTTCATTGGTTCATCAAATTTCTAAATATAGCCCAGGATGCACCAGACGCCATGGTCACGCCACACCTGCAGACGGCAGGTTCTGTGCACACCAGGTGCACATGTATGTCTTCCATTTTCGCAGCAATTCAAGCCATTGACCAATGCTGCACAGTAAAACAAAGTGATCGGTTTAGCAGTAGTGGGCAGTGGCTCGGAATCTTGAATCGGCAATCCTCGGCATCTCAGCTTTCAGAGTCTTCATAAAACTTTTTTTCCACAGGTCCTCGGTTTTCACAGGTCCTAACTTTTCAGAGCACTTGGGTTTCAGAGGGTCCATGTCCCATGTGACATTATACCATCCTAGCCCTTGGTAGGTGCTGCGCCATCTACAGCCTTTGCCAGGCAGGAAGTATATTGGGGGGTGGGTTGGTTCATGTTTGCAGTTTTTGTATCAGCAACTTAGATTTGTCATGCTCTTGTTTCACCAAGTGCTTTTGAACACTTTGGTGTTTATGGTCCTTGGTTTGCGGTCCTTGGTTTATGGTCTTCGGTCTTCGGTTTTTGGTCCTCGGTCCTTGTTATAAATATAAACATATAAAATATAGTGTGTATATATATAGTGTGTTTTTCAGTTCTTTGCGCCCCAACACTGGGAAAACTGTTTTGGTTCCAAGTCAAAAGCCATTGCTCATTCTGGAGCCATTTGGGTCATTTTGGCGTTTTGTGGTTTGCAGTGACAGAACACTGCATTTGTGTTTTGGTAATTCAGTAGCATCACTGCTATGGCTAGCCGTGCCTTCCGAAATGGCAATGATCTTTATCAGGAGGCCACTGTGTCTGAAGATGCCATTGGACCGCTGCAGGCTCCAGAGGAAAAATGCACTGAGATCATCACCAGGTCTTACAATCCTGACAGGAAGTTTTGGCAGCAGGTTCCGAAGTTGCCAGATGAGAAGCCTCCCAAGATCCCCAAGGAGGAGATCAAGATTGATATCTCTGCCCCCCGGGCAAAAGCCATTGCTCGCTTGGAGAAGGACAAGGTGTCTCTGACCTTGAAAGGTCTGCCAGCAACACCACAGACCGGGATTACCAAGGCCAGATATTTGACATATGTTTTTTAAAATCACTCTGTTGCATCAGCAAGCTGACACATTTTCAAGTTTTCAATGCCTTTTTCATTTGGCGATGGCAGGTTCCATCCATGGAGGGTGATGAGAAACAGGATGACATTGAACCCAAGGCGTGTGTATGTGCGCGTGGACATTTTGATTTTGGCATTTTTTAACATATGTTTTGTGGGCCTGATCCTTGTTGGAATGGCAGGTTTCTGGCAAGAGCTCGGGCCGCGGTCGTGGTAAAGGCCGCGGTCGTGGTCTTGCCTGCCGCAGTGACCCCAAGAAGTCAGAGCCAAGTGGCTCAGGTGATTCTGTCCCTGCAACTGGGTCTTCAGCGGTCTCTGGGTCTTCGGTCCCGGGGTCTTTGGTTCCGGGGTCTTTGGTTCCTGCGTCTTTGGTCCCAGGTCCTTCGGTCCCAGGTTTTGAAGACCCTCCAGTGGCTGCAGCAGCTCACCCCGAGGAAACGACAGCAGCTCAGCCCAAGGCCAAGGCCAAGGCCAAGGCCAAGGCCAAGGTCAAGGCCAACAGCAAAGCCAAGGCCAAGGCCAAGGCCAAAGGTGCAAGAGCAGCCCGAAACACCAAGGGCACTTTCGCTGGCCGGCGTCCCCCAAGCAACCCTCAGAAGCTCGCGGTTTTCCTGAAAATGAAGGAGTTGTACCATGAGACCAAATCCAAGCCCATTCCTGGTGACCGGAAGAGGAAAGGAAAGGGCGCCAGTGAAACCCAAGGAGAGTACTGGGGATTCATGCAGCAGAAGATGGCTGAGTTGGCAAAGGAAGGTGTCCAAGGAGGTGAACGCATGAAGTTGGCAGCAAAGGCTTGGAAGGAACGCCCTGGCAATGAAGGCAAGAGCAAAGCCAGTGCCAAGGCCAGTGCAGAGGTTCCAAAACCCACAGAGGGGACGAAATGGATCTTGTTTCATGGCACAACAGAACCTGTGCGCTTGGACATGCTCACCAGTGACCAAGAGCTGATGTTGGAGAATGGCACGCCGCATGTCTATGTGGAGGCACCTGAGCACTGATGCCTTCTTGGTTCTTGGTTGTTGGTTTCTGGTTTCAGGTCTTTGGTCCATGGTCCAGCCCATTGGTCCTGAAGATTTGAATTGGATCTGAAGTTATCAGCTGATTGCTCACCAGCAGTCACAAAGTGTAGGGCTGTACAAAGTTGGCTTGGGGCACGCTGATTTGTAACTGTGATCATGGGGAAACACTTGTGATTCACTGGGTGGTTGGCTGATCAGTCATGGCACACGCAATCCAGAGAAAAAATATTGCCATTCTTGCAAGATGCATCATTAAGGCAGTAGCATGTTGTGACAGGACTGGATTTAGATTTGAGCGACAATTTGATTGAAGTTTCGAGATTTGGTCTTTGGTCCTTGGTTTCTCTGGTATTGAAACTGCTTTCAATGTAACATAAGTTGCCTCAGGCCTTGGCTTCTGCACGAAGGTTGACAGTCCAAAGGTGTCAAAGATTCCAGGAGGTAACGTTGTGTTGTATTCCCTGTATGCCTTTCCTTTTGTCATGGCACATATGTTACTGCATTTAAATTCCCGTATATCTTGATGCTTTCAAAAAAAAACATTTCCCGTGTGTGTTAATGCTTTTCCCCCGTATGTCTTGATGCTTTTTTTGCATTTCCCGTATGTCTTAATGCGTTTTTGCATTTCCCGTATGTCTTAATGCTTTTTTTGTTTCGGGGCGGCCCGTATGTCTTTAATGCTTTTTTGTTTCGGGGCGACGCCGGGTACCGCGTAGCCCCAAACCTCCCGTATGTCCTAATGCAATTTTGTGGCTTTCCAGGCCCGTATGTCATAATGCATTTTGTCAATGGTAAAAATAGAAGTTGCGATGGTTTTCCTTTAAAATAGCCACTTCCCTTTGTCAGCAACCCACAGATCTTTCATGGGAAGCAATAGCTTTAAGAGGTGACTAGGGGGGGCCAGCAGCCCACAAGGTAAGTCATCCCGTATGTGCCACCCCCTGAATTGGGAGAGTGAAGGTAGCAAAGTCAAGGTGGCCCAATTTGAAGTGTTCATGCTTCAGGGTGGCTAGGGGGGGCGCGGAGCCCACAGATTTCTTGTTTTTTTTTGCAATTTCTGCGGGTGGCTCAGATAGGAAAAGTCTTGGAACAAATATATGCAAAATAGTGATTACGATGAAAGAATCCATGACATCCATGTCAAATACATACACTGTTGCTACTTGGTTAGCTTTCCCCCACTGAAGCCATGGCAGCAGCTGAAGCAGCTGTCAAAGAGAAGATTGTGAAACTGGCTGAAGAGACCTTCTGTGGCTCTGGGGATATCGAAGCACAAGATGCCAAGTCGTTTCACCAATACTTTTTGCAGACTTACCCACCTGGCTCTGCAGAGCGCTCCAAGCTGCTTTCTGACCTTCACGGCTTGGAAAACCGTCTCAAGGCCTTGACAGGCTGGGTTCCGCCAGCTGCAGTTGACACAGTGCTTCCTTTCAAGGCTGGCCAGATCCAAAGTTTTGTGGTTGCCCCTTGGCAGCTTGGGCTTGCAGCTGAGGATTCAGTCAAGGGCCCGTCCAAGATCGTGTACATCTTGGATACTGTGTCAAATTTCTTGGCCAGCCCATATCGTTCTGAAAGGGAACCGCTTGACTTGCTGTTTTCTCCAGGGGCCCGCCCTGGTGAACCTGTGGTTGATTGGTCCATGGTTCATGCGATTGGAATGGGAAAAAGTAGCGCATGCCGAATCATTTTGGAATGCACCCTGCGGCTTGGCCTCAGTGATCTTGAGCTTGTGGCAATTTCAGATGTCTTGAAAGCCTTGCTGCGGATGAAGGCCACTTATGAACCATCTGCCACAGAGGAGCAGCAGTTCATGCGAAGCTTGGGTTTCAAAAGTCAAATGGCTGAGCGATCCCGACCAGACCCTCTGATGGTAGCTTGCAAATGGTCAGACCTGCTGCGTGGTCAGGGTTTGAATTTTGCTGCTGTCATTGACCAACGCATTCAGGCATACAACAAAGGGCGCACAGAAGCTGTAGCAATTTCACAACAAGAAAAGGCGTTCATCAAGCTGTATGTCCACCAAGCCCCGGAGTTCACTGAGCTTCTGGAGTACCATTGGCAAAATTTCAAGGTTGCTGAATCCGCAGTCCCTTTGAAAATTTGGGCAAATCCAGACCTCTCACCAGACACAAAGCAGATTCGTTCTGGTGGCAAAGCCTTGTGGACAAACATCTTGAAGTGGACCCCAGCTAAGAACTACTACTGGTTGCTTCGGGCGATTGGAATTTTCCTGAAGAATTTGAAAGAAGCCCAGATGGCAGGCAAGAACGTATCCTTGAAAAGTATGGCCAACAGGCTTCGCTCAAACTTCAAAGATCCATTGGCCCATGACCAGGCTTCTCTTTTCGGCCATTTCCTTCCAGAATGGAAGTCTCATGTCACAAACACCCAGTTGGATGATCTGATTGCGCGCTTCAGCAAGGGTTACTTGAACAAGGAACTTGAGGAGAAGCTCAAGCTGATGGAGCCAGAGCTCAAGGCAACGGATTTTCGATTCATTCAGCAGGTCTCTGGTCAGTGGTCTTCGGTTCTTGGTTCCTCGGTTCTTGGTGATGGAACACAGGAAGCTGAGCGCGCGAAAGAGCAGGCTGAATTCAATTTGTTTCAATCCAGGCTGGCAAAAGAGGCCGCTATGTTTTCTGACTACACCCGGCAGCTGCAACTGTTCCATGCAAGGCAGCATGAGGAAAAGGTTGCTGCAAACTTGTGCCTGAAGCAAGCCTTGGCTGCTGCAACAGACACTTTCTCAAACCACTGGATGCCATGCAGGCGCACCAGTGAATCTGGGGTTCTGCCCTATGTCAATGAAGTCATGGTCTCCTTTGCAGAAAGTGAGGGGATTTCCAGCAGCAAAGCCTTACAGCTTCACATTGCTTGCTTTGACAAGCTGGGCCTCCATTGGTTTGCAAACGCAAAGCCCACTGTCTCCGTCATTGCCAATGCAGTTGGCGCTGCACCTGAGAATGTGGCAGCCATAGTGTTTGCCCCAAACGTTGGGAAGCCAGGGGATGCATACGACATGCTGAAGATTCAAGAATCAGAGGATGAACTGGACGCAATGCTGCGGGAAGACACCTACAACCTTCGAGCCACCCGCGGCTTCATTTCATTTTCAGAAGAATCGGTTGGATGTGGCAAATCTAAGAGGCCAGGTGGAACCACTTTTTGGTTTGTGGTTTCCAAGGTCCGGAATGCAAAAGGCGAGCTCATCTCCAAATGGAATGGTTGCTTCCTCCAGGTGCGAAAGCGTACAGTCGCGGAATGCCCAGTGTTGCCACGCACATCATGGGTGAACCCGTGCTCACCCATTGCTCGGCCACTTGGTGGCGCCAACATTTCCAAAGCAGCTCGCTCCAAGCAGTGGGCCACAGGAGAAGGTTTTTGGCGCACTGTCTTGCAGTCAGCTGTGGAATGGCTGTCTTTGGACAAATCCTGGGTGATTTTTGTCGTCGATCTTCACCCTTATGACGGCACACTTCAAAAGTGCATCACGAATTTCCATTCCAGTGCAGGCAAACTGCCTGAGTTTGCTTCCATTGCTCCCATTTGGGCGAATTTGGGTTCTATTGATGATGGTGAAGGTGACAAGCCAGACAACCTGCGAATTGAAGCTTTTTGCCGACAGTCTCTCAAAACCCACATAGAAGGAGAACTGCGCAGTGGTCGATTGAAGGTAGCAGGCTTCACCATGCCAGAAGCCAATGAGCAGACTGCTGTGAGCCCACCAATTTACAATGAGGCGCACTATGTTGTGACCTGCCCAAATGCAAGTGGTCATCTACCAGTGCGGCAGGACTGTTTTTTTCAACAATCACATTCGTTTTGTTTTTTAATGTCAATTGAGCATATGTTTGTTATGCCAGGACTGGCTCGACAAAGTGACAGCCACCTTTCCTACTTTGGGAGATGAGGTCCAGAAGGCCATTGGTGAGCACAACAAAGTGCACAACCCCTCTGGTGTTCCATACAAAGGAGAGAAGAAGAGAACAGCACCCGAAGCCCAGGAGGAGGAAGAGAAATCAGCTGTGACATTGGAGCCGGTTGACACCACCATTGAGAAGTTGTCCCCAGACGCGCAACTCTGCGGACCAGATGGTCACTATGAACTTCTGGTGAAAGGTCCCCATTTGTACTTGCATGGGCTTGCTGACTGTGTCGTGAGTGCACAGAGCCCCGTGTGCCATTTTTGGGGCAGATACCTCTGCGGGTCAACGGACAAGAAAGATATCGCCAAGTTTCAAGGCCAAATGCTTCCATGGCAAATGGACAGCAAGGAGTATGTAGCTTGCTTTGCAGTGGAAGATGAAAGCAACAATGTGGACTTGGCAGATTTTCCCCAGAACCCTCAAAGTTTGATTGCATTCTTGCGTCACCTGGAGGAAAATTCACTTGTGGGTGTCAACATCGAGGTCCATGAGGTCAAGTACACACAGAAGCCTGATGCCTTGCAGCCAGGCCAAGTGACTACAGAGTACAGCATCAAGCCCACTGAGGAATGTTATTTTCTGCCACAGCCATTGCCAAAAAACACAAAGATCTTGTTGGAGAATGCGGCTTCTGTGATTGCAAAGGGCGATTTTGATTGGAACACTGGCCGCCACTCCAAAAATCATTTGCAGATGTACCTCAGCCTTGAGTTCCACACAGCTCGGAACACCATTTTGCCACGCAGGCCAAAGGTTTTCCTGACAAAGCCAGTGAAGCTCACTAAGGGCCAGATTGTGCAGTTGACCTAAGGTCCTTGGTCTTTGGTCCAAGGTCTGTGGTCTGCGGTCATAGGTCTGCGGTTTTGGGTGAGAAGTAGCAGCCTAGTAGTATGACAGTCGCATTGTGAGAAAAAAAGGTGCAGTGTGCCAAGCCAGTGGAAGCCCATTGCAATCCTTGCAATCAAACCTGAGGAGTGTTTTGCTTGTGCTTGGTCCTTGGTCTTTGGTCTTTGGTGTTGAAGTCTAGCATCCGCAGCCTTTGGGTCTTTGGTCCTAGGTTTTCGTTCCTTGGTCCTGGGTTTTCAGTCCTTGGTACCATGCCGCGCCATCCGTTTGGAGCCAACCTGTCCAAGGCTCTGGCTGAAGCAAAGGACATTACCCAAGACCTCGATGTTGTTGAGCTGTGGTCCGGTGTGGGCAGTATTGCCGGAGCAGCCCAGGAGAAATTCTTCAAGGCCGAGACCATAGAACTCACAGATGGCCAAGACCTTACCTCCAAGGAGGGGTTCAAGGAGGCTGAGGCCAAGGTTTTGCGACTTGGCAAAGGCAGTCTCTTATGGATGGGTTTGCCTTGCAAAAGTTTTGTCTTCCTCAATGCCAGCAATTGCAAGCGCAACCCATACAACCAGTACAAAGGTGATACTTCGTATCAACCAGTGAAGGAAGGCAACCTCTTTGCAAATGAAGCAAAGTATTTGGGCCAATTGGCTCTGCAGCGTGGTGTCCAAGTTGTCATTGAGAATCCGCCTCAGAGCACCTTGTGGCAATACCTTCCCACCAGCTTCATGAAGCAGCTTTCAAGCTCAGCAGTTTGTCACCGATGCTCATTTGAAAAGGCTCCTGATGGAAAACGGCTTTGGAAGCAGTACAAGTTCTACTGCTCTGACCCATGGATTGGTGACCTGCAGGTCGGGTGCAAGTGCCAGCAGGGCCACATTGCCTTGACTTCAAAGAAGGATGGCAAGGTGACAGGGAAGTTGGATCTTTTGAGCGAGTCCGCTGCATATCCCATTGCATTGGGCCAAGCTGTCATCTCTGCATGGTCCAGCCAGGATGTTCATGATCCTGTGGGTGAGCCACGAGCCAGCAAGCGCTCGTGGCAGAGCTTGGATGTAGGTGATGATAATTCGCCTTCATCCTCTGCCTCAAAGCCACGCCGTTTTTGGCAAGAGGACATTTGAACTCTCTGGTTCTCACAGTCCCGGGTCATAGGTACAAGGGCTTGGTTGGTCCTTGGTCACGCATCCAAGTTTTGAGTTTGCTGAGCAGCATATATAATAGCCTGCAGTTGATAGCAAGTGCGGGAGGACGCAGCAGCAAAAAATGCGCAGCTGTTCGTGAATTTGTATTTGGGACAGAGACACATCTGAGCTTTGTTGCTTGTGCATGCTTTCAATGTGTGTCATTTTACTCCATTATGGAATCATTTACATTGATGGCCCAAGTCCACAATGGATTGGAGATTTTTACCTCTTGCTGGGGAAAACCCAGTCAAGCGGCCATGGCAAGATCTTCCCCTTGCTGAGCCCAGCTCTGGTGTGCTCGCACATTCTTCAGAGTTTGTTTCACAAAAAAGAAATCCTATTAAGTATGACTGGCAGTCAGTGGGTCTTGCACAGCCATCGCCACAAGCAGTGCCCCAAGACAAAGGGCGCGATTGGAAAACCATTCCTGTGGATGATGAAGTTGCCCAAGCAGTAGTGAAGAAACGCAAAGCTTGCATCTCAGCTGCTTCATGGCAAGAGTTGATGCTGTCAAAGCCAGCTGACAAAGAATTGAACCAATATGAGACCAATGGCATGGACAAGAATCGCATACAAAGGGTCTTTGCGGATGGCTGTTCCTGCAAACGAAACTGCATCAGCACACTCTCTTTTGCAGATGCTGTTGGTTGGTGCCACGCTTTCCACATGGCTGACCAAGCAAAGCGACAGATTTTGCTATTTGCCTTGTACCACCCCGACATAGAGTGGGAAGACAAGGAGGCTTTGACAATTTCTGAGAGACACCAGAAAACTTACTTGGAAGTTTCAGGTGTGCGGGTGTGTGTTGCAGCATTTTGCCGCTTGCTTGGAGTGAGCAAGAAGACGTTTTACAAAATGATTTTTGGGCAACCAGACATGCGCCGGAAGGAGTCTGGTGCTAAGCCAACTTTCTGTCCTCAACAAGCCAAAGTGGATGAATTTCTTCGGGACATCTATCAATCTGCAGCAGAGCCTCTTGCTATTGGTTTTCACAGCAGCAGTGATTCAGTTTGTGTTTCTTGGCTTTGCTTGATTTCAATTTTGCAATGGTAATTTTCTTCCCTTGATTTTTGCTTTCATTGCCATCAGTGGCAAAGACGAGCAGGTAGTACCTGAAGACGGCGGAAGCTTGGATGAAGAGGCAGATGCAACCCAGAAACTCATGGATTGGTGCCAGCCATCATCCCCTGTGGAATTCGTCATCCAAAATTGCGGGGGGAAGGTGAATGCATTGAGGCGGTACTTGCCACATGGTACACCCACAGACTTGTATTGGCAATACTTGGCATGGCATGAGGCACGCATTGCAGACGGCCACCCAACTGAGGTCTTGGGTTCACAGGTCCTGGGTTCTCAGGTTCTTGGTCCTGGGTCGTCGGTTCTTGGTAGATCTGCTCCAGCATCCTGGTCAACCTTTTGGCGTGCGTACCAGAGATGGCATGACATTCTGCGACCCCGTGCCAAGTCAGACCACGCACAGTGCCAGACTTGCTTTGACTTGCAAACAGATTTGTATGCAAAGCACACAAGTCCTCAAAAGAAATTGGAGTTGGCAGATGCATGGAGGGTCCACTTGCAGCAGCAATATTTGGACCGCCAGATCTATTGGAATCTCAGGCATTGTTCGCGGCAGCCTGGGTCTGACATACTGACAATCATCATTGACAGCATGGACAAAAAGAAAACAGTTTGGCCAAAGTGGTCATTTGACCGCCCCAGCAAAGAAATCGAGAAATTGGGTGCACGTCCAAGGGTGGTTGTGACTGCTGCACTGGCCCATGGTTACGTCACTTCATGGTTCCTAGCCCCAGATGAATTGACCCATGGAGCTGATGCATATTGCGAAGTGCTTTGCCAAGTGCTTTGCCAAGTCATTGAGCAGGTCCATCAGCTTCGTGGCTCTAAGCCTTTACCTCGCCATCTGGTTCTGCAAGTCGACAACACAGTGGCCCAGGCCAAGAATGGGTTCGTGGGAGCTTTTTGCGCGTATGTGGTTGGAAAACAAATTTTCCAGTCAGTGACCATGAATTTTCTCATGGTTGGACACACACATGAAGATATTGACCAAATCTTCTCACTCTTGGTCTCCCAAGTCATCCGGAGGTATCGATATGAGACTGTCCAAGACCTGAAGCAATGCATGGAAGCTGTGCTGGCACCCGCATTTCACGCACGCCATGAAGATTTCAAGGTAACAGAATTAAATTCTGTGAGGTCTTTTGCTGAGTGGTTGAAGCCCCTTGGGGTCACCCAGCACGGGTGCTGGCAGACTCGCCATGGCATTGAGGCGCCCCATAGTTTTTGCTACAAGCTGTTCATGGATTTAACTGGGGAAGAGAAAGCAAAGGCCACCCATCATCGCTGGTTTGGCGCAGCAGGTGACAAGGATGTCATGTGCTGCATCAAAACATATATGAGAGACACGCAGTTGCAGCAGCCCCCGCTCTGTGTCCTTCCTGCAGACTGCTTGGACAGTATCCGGACTTTCTCTCCTGATCGCCATGTTGGACCATCTATGACTGCTGCTGAAATTGAACGCTTCAAGTATTTTGCCAATGTTATTGATGATCGACGCTACGGCTACCACAGGGCAGCTGCAGGTCTTCGGTCCTTGGTGCAAAGGTGCTCGGTTCTTGGTCCACCAGGCCCTGAATCTGACCTGGCAACCCCATGGCTCCTCAATGTGAATCCTGACCGGGCACCATTGGTTTATCCTGACAAAAACCCCTTCTTCAGCCACTTGCCAGACAGCTCGTGGCACATGAAGGTACAAGTTCGAAGACAATAGCGAGAAAAATCAACCATCTTGCAGCAGCTGTGTTCCGCAATGGGTGGTTTGTGGTTCGCGGTTTCTTTCCGGAACGGTTTCCGGAACGCTTTTTGCATGTTGTAGTTTGCACAAACTGATCCATGCTCTGACCCAAGACCAAAGACCGAGAACCAAGAAGTACAGTTACAACATGTTTGGGACCCCAGCCACAATCCCATCCGGGAGGCGCCTCGTGTGCTGCTGCTGCTGCTGCGCACTGGCAGGCAAGGCTGGCGCAGGCAATTGGACCGAAGACCAAAGACCAATGACCAAAGAACCGAAGACCTTGAACTGGGATACTTGAAATATACGGGATTACCGATTGTGAGAAGCACGGTTTGATGGTTTTGGTCCTTGGTCTTAGGTTTGGGGAGTTACTGTCATTGTCGCTTTTCCAAACAAGAAGTGCTTCCCCCATGCAGTTAACATGAAGCAGCAAATCCGGCTGCATCGCGCACAAAATCTATTAATTACGACTTACAACATTGTCACAATTCGCCCGGGGCATGGGCATGCCAGGAAAAGACTATAATAATAGGACTTGTCATTGTGGATGGGAGATGGAACATTGACCATGATCTTGATAGCTCGGGGCTAGGGGATTGTAGATGGGTGCCATGATGATGATGCTGATGGTGCTGATGGTGACACTGGCCATGGTGATGCTGACGGTGACAACGAACACGAGAATGAAAATTACAGTGATGATGATGGTGGTGATGATGATGGTCATGACAATGCTGCTGCTGATGATGATGGTGATGGTGATGATGATGATGATGATGATGATGATGATGATGATGACAATGGCAGTGACTACCATGAAGTCACCCCAGGTAATGGGTGGTGGAACACATGCTATCAGCAGCTATGTATATCATGGGCTTTGCTACACCTTCATCCTAACTTTGACCTGATTTATAGAGATACATAGTGCCAATAAATACCCTTATTATCACCCCTTGGTTCTATATGTTCGCTTTTGCATCCAAATTTACACCTATTGTGGTTGTCAATTCGTTAAAAAAACAACGGGCCGTGTCTGTTGCCACTACCACTGCCTACCGCTCCTAGCTGCAGTGGAAAGAAAGAATAGTTCAAGGGGGGAATAATTGGTACCTGAAAGATGTTGTCAACATGGCATCCCAATGCATCCAGCATCCTATGGTCCAACTGGTTTCAGAAGGTGCCCTATATGCCATTGCTAGGCCCCAATTTATAGCAGCTTCTTTCTATATCTGAGAACCTTCATGGAAGAGTATATATCCAAACCTGTAAAACGGCTGTGTGCAATGGCTGATGCAGCTCATAGCCTACCAAAATTTGTGCAAGATAAATTGTTACCACCATAGCCTTTGCAGATTGTTGTTCCTGGCGCTATCGTGGTGTAACTTCTGTGTGGTACCTCCAGAAAATTTAGTGGTTCCATTCTGCTCTAATAATTTTTCCTCATTAGCCAGATTCCTGGTCCATTGCATGCCCAATGACAACCATCCAAGATTGCCTCTGGTTGGCCAGGGACTATGGGTGCGAGTGGATGGATAACATGTGCACAGTCATGAGCACTTGTTGCCGCAATCGATTTGATGAGGGAAGGAGGAGGCTGAATGAAGGAATGAATGACTTTTGGTGCTGCGAGCTGTAGCTAATGTGGTGCGCTCCTAATGTGGCAGCGAGCGTCTGGCACAGGGCATGTGAAGCGCACGCATTGGGGTGATGGCGAGTTTCAAGGTCCTTCGCTCGGCGCTCATGTTTGGTCTTTGGTTTCCTTGTCCTTGGTCTTTGGTCCTTGGTCTTTGGTCTTGGGGTCTCAGGGTCTAAGACTTAGATTTTTCTAATCTACTGGTCTTTTCCTTTTATGGGAGTTTAAGCTCGACTTTGCTGTTGTATCTGTCATACATTAACTGCCACACTGCATCCATGGTGGCTAAAGTCTTCTGCACATGATTTTTTTCGCGAAAACCAATGACAACCGATTCCCAATCAGTATCGCTTTGACTTTGCGCTGGTTCCCGTGATCTGAGTTGGAAGGAATGATGACGGCATGGGTGCATGGTAGCTTAGTTTTTCTGGCGCTCGCTATTCGGGAGGATGCAGGGCAGCTTTGTACTGGTATGCTTTTTGGTGACAAAGCGTTTGTGGGCGCTTGTGGCTGCAAGGCGTATAGAATGTGGCGGTCCTTGGTCTTATTCTTTGTGGCTTCCGCTTGTTACTACTAGTCTAATTTAGTGGATTTATTTTGCGAAACTATGGCGATCCTTCCCTTCTGACCCCAGTAGTTGTTGCGTTTATAGTATGCAGCTCTCCCTCTATATGATCTGCAAGATTGGGGTGGCGCAGCATCCAATGGACATTTCCATGTCCATTCAAATGAAAGTGTCAATTGTCCACACTGTTTGCATGTGGTTGCTCTATCTTCAAGTATGAGGTGAGTCTCTGGTGACATCAAAGACATCAAGGGCCAACAGCCCGCGTGTTTGTCGAAGCTTGCGTCTCATGTAATGTTGCATGTTGTTGCTGTGATCTGAATGATAGGAAGGACAAGGGATTGATGTCTTTGGTTGCTCGCATTTGGCGCATGCGCGGTGGCTAGAATTGGCGGCGGAAGCTTGGGCAGTGATGCGTGAGATTGCAAATGGGATGGCTAGTAATAGTGAATCTCCTATCAGCCATTTTCACTGGGTCCATCTATCCCCATTGATCCTTTCACCTTTAGCTTTCATCCCTCCTCCGTGCAGTGGATATAACTTGTATTTTTCAATCCTGGCTTGGTTCATGCAAATCATATCTTGCAAAATCAAGGCCCCAGTTGCAAAAACCAAAGCCCCAGTTACCATGAATAGAGTTTAATGTAATGTAATGTAATGCAATGCAATGCAATGTAATGTAATGCAATGCAATGCAATGTAATGTAATGTAATGCAATGCAATGCAATGTAATGTAATGTAATGTAATGCAATGCAATGCAATGTAATGTAATGCAATGCAATGCAATGCAATGTAATGTAACGTAATGCAATGCAATGCAATGTAATGTAATGCAATGCAATGCAATGTAATGTAAGGGTAATGTAAATGCAATGCAAATTTGTTAATGTAATGCCATTGCAATGCAAGTAATGTAATGCAATGCAATGCAAGTAATTTGTAATGATGTAAACGCAATTGCATGCAATGTATGTAATGTAATTGCAATTGCATGCAATGTAATTGTAAGGTTAATTTTGCATGCAATGCAAGTAGTAATGCAATTGCAATTGCAAATGAATGTAATTGTAATTGCAAGTGCAATGTAATGTAATGTAAGTTAAAGCAATGCAATTGCAATGTAATGTATGTAATGGAAATGCAATGTATGTAGTGAATGCCAATGCCAACTGGAATTGTAATGCAATGCAATGCAATGTAATGCAATGTAATGCAATGTAATGCAATGTAAGGTAATGTAATGCAATTTAATGTAATGCAATGTAATGCAATGTGATGCAATGTAATGCAATGTAATGTAATGCAATGTAATGCAATGTAATGCAATGTAATGCAATGTAAGGTAATGTAATGCAATTTAATGTAATGCAATGTAATGCAATGTGATGCAATGTAATGCAATGTAATGTAATGCAATGTAATGCAATGTAATGCAATGTAATGCAATGTAAGGTAATGTAATGCAATTTAATGTAATGCAATGTAATGCAATGTGATGCAATGTGATGCAATGTGATGCAATGTAATGCAATGTAATGTAATGCAATGGCAAGCAATGAACCACCTGTACATGAAGGTAATGCAATGCAATGTAATGTATGCAATGCAATGCAATTGTTAATGTAATGCAATTTGCAATGCCAATGAAGTAAGGTAACGCATGCAATGCAATGTAATGTAATGTAATGCAATGCAATGCAATGTAATGTAATGCAATGCAATGCAATGTAATGTAATGCAATGCAATGCAATGTAATGTAATGTAATGCAATGCAATGTAATGTAACGCAATGCAATGCAATGTAATGTAATGCAATGCAATGCAATGCAATGTAATGTAATGTAATGCAATGCAATGCAATGTTATGTAATGTATGTATGTATGTACGTATGTATATATATAATTAACCCAGCTTTGCAACCCAACAGCATACCTGAATCTTCCACCTACGTCTTTTTTCAGACCCTGTGCCAAAGTCCTGTTTTTTCAGTACCCAGAAAACTTTTCAGGACCTACTCTCAAATTCAGGACCTGGCCATTTTGGGGGATCAATGGTAATGGCAATCATTGGGTGCAAACATGTGAAACCAACATTTGGTGGATATTCAAGCCATTGGCATTGATCCACGCAAATAAAAGCACTCCCAGCCCAAACTCATGGCAAGGCAGGATCAGAATATAGTATATTCCAGAAAGTATGTCAGAATAGATGCCAGATAGGATGCCAGAAAGAATGTCAAATAGAATCTCAGAAAGAATGTAAGATAGTATGTCGGAACATATATGCCACATATACGTCCAGATGATATGTCAGAAACTATGTCAGAATAGTGTGTCAGGGTGGGGATCACTCTTAGTAAGGCAATTTTGAAAATATATTTCAGGTTCGGAATTTTCAAACTGTTGTCCTTCAGGCGCCGAAGCTCCCGTTGAAGGTCAGCATCGCCCCATGTCAACTGGTCCAGTCCCACTTCCATTTCAACAAGTCCAACTTCATCGATTAGGGTGTTGGTTGAATGGACTTGGGACTCTAGCTGGCACGGCATCCCTTGTAACCCTGTAGACACTGTAGTGGGCAAAAAGATTGTAACACACAGAATCAGCATCATTTTGATCAGGCATTCTTTTTGCTAATCCTTTCTCCCTATTACGAAAAATACCCCCAAATGACAAAAACTAGGTGCGATTTCCAATTTGGGGAAATGTCAAATTGGTTAATCTGATTTTTAATTGATCCCCTTGAGGAAACAATTTTAAAAATGAAGGTAC